AGAGGCCTCCTTGATAGTTCTCTAGGATTAACGAATCTATCGTTTTCTGATCATAATACCCATTTTGATTATGATGTAATCTACACCCTCGTCGACTTTATATATTTAGTATCTCTGTATGATGAGAGCCCACGGAGATATACCGGTACATGGACTCTCTATACAACCCCATCCACGCAAACCACGCATGCTCTGGATTCTACAGTCCTATCCAGGGAAGACACTTGAACGCTGAACCGCTTGTAGACAAAATCCATTCGTAGGGTTCACGAGTCTCCTTCACAAAGGAAGCCATCCAAAAGCCCTTTCAGTATTTGGGACTAGGGGATTCCTTATTACCTCGGTTCTGCACAACGATTATATGATCATCTTTACTCGCTGACGGAGCAGTTGATCAATGGTGTGAGGCTATAAGCTCAAAAGGCAAATTCTTCAGATGCAGTGACGACCTTCGCTACTGGCGAAATAGATAGAAAGGTGGTATTCACCCCCACGTTGAAATTATACTTCGATAGAGGGTGTCGTTTAGGAGCTAATAGTACGGATGGCGAGGCCGATGACATTAACGAAATTATGGATACCACCGATACTACTGATGCGGATGATACTACAGGATATTGCTACGATAGACCAATAAAATAATGGCGCCTGAACCAGCAGACTTTCGCACAACATGCCGTACTTACCACTTAGTCAACGGCGAGATATCATACTCGATCCATACTGTTACGGTAACATCATATATAGATGGTGGTCAGTCGTATTGAACAAAAAGCCCGGTATTTTGGTCTTTTTAGCTTAGTGGTTCAGCCTAATCTCGCTATGTCTATAATATATACATACTCATTGCCTTAGCAATTATACTCGGGGTATTGTATATTCGTTGACCATCATCCAGTGTGTTCAATTATTGAGCGCTGCAGGTGCTGAGCACCCACTGTCAAGATGGGAGTTGAAGTCTTACGGATGAAGTGATGGCTGATATCGAAGCCCTTTTAGGTGGTTATTGAGGGATATCTCAGAATATTTGGGTCATCGACTTTGAGTATGTTACTCTTGAGTAAAGGGATGTCCGCAATACCGCTTCAATTCGCTATCGGGAAACTAGATGGCAAATTACTGCTTGCACAAAACGTTAGCTATGACTTATCTCTTGAGGAGTTCCTCGTCAAGTTGGCTACTTGGGAACATGTGGATAGGCATGTACAAGTTCTATGACCCAAGAAGGATTTATATCATCTCGTGGTATAGCCCGCAAGACATGCAATGCTTCCAGAAGCTGCTCTCAGAGGGCTGTGATTTAATCGTCTCTAAGGAAAGCTATCATTTATGCCCAGATTTTTAAAATATTGACGTGGGGAGACTACTTAAGAATCTGGTTCCTAAAACTTGGCCCTCGATATCCCTGTTTGCTGTTTAGGGAAGTCTTCTTGTAAGTTGCGGAAGGGTCAGTAATGTCTATACTTATCACACTTGTCGCTTTTGATTTAGAAGATGTTACGGATATCATAAGGGACATTTGTATAATATCTAAGAAGGATACCAAATATCTCCGAGTCACCGCGGAAAATAGACCTAAAAAGAGTATGCTGTCTTCTTTATTGCCGTATTGTCAATACCTGTGTATATATAACTAGGGGTTTGTTGGATCTTAGCATTGCTATCCTTGACAAGCTCTTCGACAAGGAATAAACCTAGATTAGGTGGAAAGTGAAAGACATAGAAATAAATATTTCCCTCTTCCTTCCAAAAAAAAAATAAAAGTTTATTCCCAAACATAATAAGCGGAGAGAGCACGAAAGGGAAAGGGAAAGGCAAAAAAAGTATGACAAGAGTGGGATTCGAACCCACGCGTCTTGCGACACGCGAAGACACCCTAGTTGGTCTAGGACAAGTTAGAACACTTGAGTCGCGCACCTTAACCACTCGGTCATCTTGCCGTTTTTGTATAGTGATATTTGTAATAATAAAATATAAAAGAGTTGGACTTCACAAGTCCTAACACCACACCAGCGGATAACATGGATATGGGCTCTTGACTTGGTTAGCGCTAGTTTGAACTGCTGTTAGTTTGTGACAGACACAAGACGCAGACCGTTTTTCTGCGGACCTACTTCAACCTCTCCCAAGAGTACATCGGTGAGGACCATTAGACAGCTAAAATTCCTTGCGCAAGAAACATTTCTAGAAAACATATTATTACTTCCTAACTCTAGGGTCGTCACTATGAAATCCCTCGCAAATATGATCTTGTGTTCTGAGAATCAACCACCTAGTATTGATACCTGAAGACCCTGTCGTATGTCGTTGTACCTGTACTGGCGTATTCCACCATCGGACATATAGTTCTAGGTACGGCTGTTTTCGCTAGATAATTAATTGCTGGCAGATTCTTAAACTATCTATCTGAGCATAGTTCTGGAACATTTGAATATGCGTACTATATTTTAATGGCCGTGAAAATAAGCCTCATGAGACCGTAGAAGTTGCGATACGCTTCTAACTCTCCCCAGCTCTTGGACTATAATTTTTGAGAGAGCATATAATTTCTTTGCCCCGTAAATATATACCTATAAGATAGTGCCGTATTGGTTACTAATTACAAGCCACCTATCCTCCAGTATTGTCCTCTTCCACAAATAGAGTGCTCTGTGGTTGAGTTTTGAGGGTCCTCATCTTCCATGGTCAGAAACGCTTACTTTATCTCCCGATCAAATAACTAGTATATTATGGACAAGCTTATTAAACTACTGATAAAATTGTTCTTGACAGCACGGACGATTTTGTGTGGCACTAACGGAGTATAGAAGAAGCTTGTGCGTAAGAGGTTTGTTGGAGCTCGTGAGCCTCGACAAGTTCTTTGACAAGCTTTGATTCAGCCTGAACACATTCATTCCCTAAGAGGATCAGGGAGAGGAAGAGCAAAAATAGATGACAAGAGTGGGATTTGAACCCACGCCTCTCTCGAGAACCGAAGTGACACCTCGTATGAGGCAAGATATTAATATCTTGACTCGGTCGCCTTAGACCGCTCGGCCATCTTGCCATATTATGTAATATGTTTTGGAATAATTGATCACACAACCCAAGCAGTTAAAGTCTTGTCCTAGCCAATCAGGCCTAACATCATATAGATGGAATACTAGTACAAAGTTTTGTGATATGTCAGGGACATATGGTTAGGCACAAAGTAGCTATGACCTGATGATAAGTTGATTCTTGGTTCATGGTACAGGGGAAGTAGCTGCGGATGAAGGACTCTTCTACGTAATGATCCTCTAAACCCAGGCAGGCCCTTTGACCTTATAAACTCTCATTTCAGCAGCACCCTACCTTGGTCTGGTTCCAATTTCTAGTTTATTAGAACAAGGAGGGGCTTGGACACCTAATACCGAACTCACACACGCTGAAAAGATACGGAATTAGTTGGGAACTAATTTTGCGTGAGTCATGATGTCCGTCTTCCTAAATACATAGCGGGACAGAGTACAGGCGGTGCCTAATCTGGATAGAAAGGCTTTGCATATACAATACTTCTCTCCGTATGTGTGTCTATCATATAGAGAGCTCTCGTAAAATGCACCCAAATGTGATAATCTAAATTAAGTATATGGAAATCAAACGAACCAGCTGTCAAATGGCTACCGATACCCGGACTCCTTTCCGATCTGTTGCAGAATATCAAGGAGAGCGAGCCTCGTCAATGAGTAACCTCGTGAGGATGAACTCTACTCCCTTGTTAAAGGGAGAAGGCCGGATATTATGTGATTGCATGAGGCTCTTTCGCTCAGTGATGGCCCTATCTTTATCTTTTGCTTCTAGTATTTATTCCTATCTTTCAATAAGTTACCCGACAATTGCCTTTGTAACCATGATAGCTCATATCTCTAGTGTTTGGCCTAGACACTGTCTCAGAGAACCGATACTTAAATAACAATAGCTTCCTACCAAGGTATTTAGCATAAATCTAGCCGTAGTGGCTGGGAGAAATCCATTACTTCTAGCATAGCCTCGACCGACGAGGTGACGCGGACAGGATAAAATCCCCGAGCCATTACGCACTATAGTAGCAGGATAATCTTGGTAGTGGAGACCGACTGGCAGGACACATTGCATCGGATCTTCCTGCATGTCTCTAAGGCGATAAGTTGTACATACCGGGTGGAACGCATGAAATACCTGCCGCGCATACAAGGAAGGAGAGAGGGATGAAACCGGTTCCCTGTTTGAAAGACCGATATGATATTCATTAGTTCTGTACGCTGGCCCACAATAAATCAAATTGATATGTAGCTCCTTATATCCCTTCCCAGCCATTGCGGAGTATGGGAAAACCCATAGTCCAGCCACCCACGTAATTCTACGCAGATGGTATGTCATATCCATATTTGCCAAGAAGATGTCATCAGAGTTTAAAATGTCGGGCGAAGTATAAGCTTACTCTGGACTGTAAGAGGCTGATGAGAGCTTGTATGGACGACCTGATGGTAGATGGCGGTATACCGTAGTTTGTAATCGAGTCAGCGGCTTAACGCGTGTGCGGGGTTCGGAATAGGAAGGCTGTCCACATTCCAGCAGGACAACTGAGGCTATTGGGATCTGCATTGTTATTGGATCCACTATGCATTGGACACTGAAGACTTTTGTACCTGTTCTCTATTGTAGTACTACTCACTAGTAATACTATGCCATACAGTCGGGTCCAAGATAGTGATATAATATAAAAGTTGCGCTTTGAAATAGGATATGGTGAGCAACAATTATTTATCCATAGATTAACGCCAGAAAAAAAAAACCCCAATTCGCTCAGTCGCTCATGATCCGTCATCAACGTATGGGAGTCCAGCCAAAGTCAATAGAAAGCATAAAATGATCCAGCATATCGCTAATCACAGAATGGGTCTATGTCATGTCACATCAATATGAACGCAAATTATATGCAAAAAATCGTATGGTAGGAGTCGAAATACCCGGAGCCAAGCTGAAAAAGAAAGAATAGGTCAGGTCATCTTCGGCATGAAATTCGGGTTAGTCCGGATGCTCTCCCCGTATCTCAGTAAGTAGAATGATGTCGGTGCAAAAGTAAGTGCAATGAAACCGAGGAGGCTGTTTCCCCAGCCTAGACCGAGGGTGTCGTACAACGGTGTACCCGCTAATGGGACAATAGCACCAAAAATGCACCGCAAAGCTAGCTCGGCGGAGACGGCACTGGCAGCGTAGAGCGTATATGAATCAACAAGATATACCTGGGTAACGAGGTGCACGTAGTAGATCCCTACTCCAATGAAGAAGGTTCCACAAATAGGAACAATCCAATGAAGCTCATATTCTGCGGACCAGCCGTACCAAAACAAGCCGATTGGCACTAGGAAGCACCCAAGAACAAGGGGTGGAAGACGATGCTCTGGCTTCATCTTGCCATGGACCTTCTCCTGTTTTTTGACATGCCGATCAGAGTAATAGCCAACAGTGATTTGTCCAACGCAAAAACCCATACCAAGGCCTAGATAGCTTAGGCCGGCTTGGCCTGGGGTAAAACCGTAGACATTTTCGAAGACGTCCGTAAAGGTAGTGAAGAGAATGTACATGTAGCTGTAAGTGACAGCGCTGTAGAGAGAAACAATCATGACAATAGGTGACAGAAAGAGGAATTTGATCGGTCGTGTCAGCGAAGCAACAAGCATTTGACCGGCTGTTTGTTCCGAGTCAAACTTGGTGCGGTAATAGTGTCCAGTAGTCTTTTGGAGACTTATAGCTTTGCGTCGTAGTATCGTTGGCGCATAGGTCTCGCGAAGTAACACCAGCGATGCGATCACAATGATCCCTCCCTATCGAGCGTTAGAGTTTGAGCATAGAAGGATAGGAATAATAACTAACCAGTATTGCTTCAAGCCAGACAGTCCACCGCCAGCCAATGTTTTGTACCATGTAACCTCCAAAAATAGGACCTTGACTCTGTTAGTGTATGTGATTGATATGAGGAGATAAACTTTCGAGGAGCTCACCAATTACAAAGCCCTGTTAAAATCATGATTAGCAACGTCGGAAAGAGGCTGAGTAGGTAATCAGATATACATACAAGCAAGGGGCCTACAGTCCATATTGTCATTGCAGTTCCACGCCTCTCCATGGGCATCATGTCAGCGACAAAGCCTCCTCCGACCGTTACTGGTACCGAGCTAGCAATTCCCATTACTAGCCGAGAAACAATGAGCATGGAGATATTGATGCTAGATGCGCAGACTATTGCCGCAATCATGAAGAGGATATTCGCTGCGTGGGTGACCGGTAACCTTCCGCTCATTTCAGTGATTGGCGTAAGCATAAGAGGCCCCAATGCGGAGCCCATCACGTAGACAGATATCATGAGAGATGCAATGGAAGAGTTGTCCGTGTGGAACTCCTTGAGGACTTCCGGGACGCCGGGAGCAAAAATGGTAGATACCATAGAGCTAAAAGCTATTAGCATATCAATCACTGGAGTGTAAAATTCATTAGAATTAATCATACACATTGAGACTGCTGAATGATATCAGGCCAATAGTGAGCCATTTGCGAGCATCAGCCCAGTTCATGGGGTTCTGAGGATCATCGGGGCCATCCCAGTGGACGACATTGTCATCCTCATCATGGGATTGCTCACCAGCCTCAACGTCGCAACTCACAACTCTCACACGGGAATTTTCTTTTTCGACAAAGGTACCCAGACACTCTAGGCTAGATTCAGGGCTAGGTTCGACAGAGCTGTTAAGGTCTCTGGAAAGTTGCATCGCCATGACAATTGTGAAGGAGATGAGGATTGTAAGACCTAGAACGACGGAATTGATGAATCGATCTTGACATGCGGGCCATCGTGGTCTTCTAAATAGCTAGGGTGGATATCATCAGATGCAATACTGGAGGCACTACATCGGACATTATCACGATGACGGTAGAGAACGCGCGTCCATACAGTCGGACAATTGTTGGTATGCTGGACCCTTGCTATCCAGCAGCCGGACTTCAATGCTCTCTACTGTAACGTATGGGTCGAAACACCTGGCCCAAGACCCATAGTGGGTACAATTAAAAATATCAGGCGCACCCACGGGTAGGAACCTAGCAAAAGGGGTGGCGTTCCCACTGGAGACCCTTACATGGATCAGCTCTATCCCAGGTCTGCTTCAGACAATGCCAATTAGCTTTGCTTATCAACCAGTGATCTACATAGGTTATCCTTGGGACACATAATGCTCCCCACTTGATGTATTACAGCGCCCGGGAAACTAAGTACCCCTTTCGAGATATCTTGTTGTTTCTTAGCTGCCAAGGCATGTGGACTGTTACAAACAAGTTGTGGTTTTATGGTGTCAGCCCCTTGGATTTGCTCGCAACAAATGTTGACTTGGTTTAAGTGGAGGATAAAGCATGAAGCCAACTTGGGGTTTCTAGATATCACAAGGGAAACATGAACCCTCTTTGGAATTTGAATCCATGTCAGAGGAATCTGCTTGATGGATCAGTTTGTTGATCAGCATTTTTTAGGGTCCCCCTCCTTTGAGGTGTTCATAGTAGGAGTCACCGCTATAGAGTTGGGGATGACCCATCATGTGGAGATAGACTGGGGCTGGAATGGTCTGTCTGCAATGTGTTCTGTGCAAGAACCGCCTCAAGAGTTCGATTCTTAATTAAATTCCTGCAGAAAATTTTGAAATTCCCAAGACCAGGATCGATGGCGTGCTGGTTGCTGCGATGTGATATTGAGACGAAGAGATATGTAGATCTATGCTCGACTAAAGCGGTAAGGATCCGAAAACGGGAGATCCTCAGGCTCCCCCTCTGATGCCCTACCCGAGGTCAATCCCGGTCGCAGCTTTCCCGATTTCTTTTGTTTTCCTTTTCATCCTTTTCATTGACGGAATCACCGGTTTTTCCTCCGAACAGCATGGCGTTGTAAAAAAAAATTGACACATATCAAATTGCCTATAGCGCCTGCTGCGGATTCTAGATTTGACACATGAAGATGATCTTCTAAATAATTACTAACAGATTAGCCAATAAATGAGTTGGATCTGCAGGAGAATCTACCTCAAATCATGGCCATCTGGGAAGCTTAACCAACCATTAAGCTCTGGTGGATAACCGAATCTTCGAGGCCGCTTGGCTGTTCCATGGGACTTCGTGCGGGCTCTCAAAAGTGCTCATAAAAAAGTCTGGTTCCCGGAGATGTACCCACCTACAATGGAATCTCACCACGGTTGATCTACTATCGGTCTTAGAGAGCTTCTCCTACCCCGGGCTACTATTAGAAACAGAGACCTCCACATGATGAGACTGACCGCCGAAATATGGCCAACAGGGGTTCGGAATCGCCCACATGTTTCGGTTAAACTGATCGGATGTTCAAAACAACCTCGAAAGCTCAACGGGATTTTTTTACCTAAAAGAGAAGGCGATCTACAGTATAGATTATCGCTCTATATGCTTGACTCTTCCCAAAACTCCACCCACCTACTTGAGAGAACACATAGGTATGAGAACTGAAGAATTTCCCAACTCCTTGTCTTTTTTCTTCCAATTGCCGATGTCGGCTGCAAATATCGTCTTCCCGTTCTTCTGAACACATGGAAGACGAAGAATCCGAGCGCGTCTCTAACCTGCGGCATGACCAGCATATACTGCTCGCAGTCATTAGAACCTTTCGACCGAGTTTGCCTGTTGGTTTTGGTTTCCAAACTTGGCTTTTAGGAAAGCGGACACAAATGAGTCCTTGATGTCATGATCAGCGCAGCATTGCAGAAATCCTTTGGGGTATTGCGTCTCAGTAAACGAAAAGGTTGTTTTTGGTGAAATAGCTCCCTACGATCTCTTGTTGGCATCGAGGCATTTCAGTACATTAATTTGATCCTCATAAAAGGCGAGACCTATGACTACAACACTCCCTGGGCAGTTAGTCTGGAGAGCATAGTAATCCCAATTATAAGCTAAGTTACTATTAGTAATTGGGTTTGGCTTTCATCCAAAAGGTCGACTTAAATTTATTTCTCCCAACATTATTATTCCGATAGAAGTGGCGGAGTATTTAGTAATGATACTCACATAAATACTTCCGCGAGTCCACCAACTCTCTTCTTGTACCTTACCATACAAACTTGTACTCTTAATCAGCATCTCCCACTCCTTTCCTCCTGCATAATATGCTCTGATCTGCTCACAAACCCCCCAGATCCTTCTGCGGTTTACAAGTTCAAGAATATAATCAGTTGTTCCTTCCTTATACTGCGCCTTCTGAAAGAATTCCGGCATTATATGTAAGGTTCGAGATACTGATTCTTCGGAGTGACATAGGGCATCATCCTGGAGCTCCCAGAGCCAGAGCATATTGTTTTTAACACTTGCTTCATGAGGTTGCTGGGAAGCACGGTGGCATTCATCGATGGAGACGCAGCCTCGAGGGTAAGTATAGAGGTCGTGGGAATGCGTTTAAGAATTTCCAATCGAATTTTGGGAGGGAGTTCGCTGAATATATCCCGTCCGATATCCGTACAACCGTCCGAAGAACTAGAGATTCCTTTGTCCGAATCCCCCCGAATAAAGTCGAGGTATGCATCTAATTCGGGTATTCTAATAGGGTTCATTACTAAAACCTAAACCGTTGTATGTTCAATGTAAGCAAGAAATTTCCCAACAGGATGCAAAATTTTGGCAAGATGGTAACATACTTTGTCGCCTCTTCTGCATTTCCATGGTTTTGCCTGAGGTTGGACTGGGCTTGCCATAGTCCAGTCTTAACCTGACATCTGAGTTAGATTTACAATACAAGTCCAAGTCCTCAAGGATACTGCACAACCACTCCCGATCGAGAGTTGTGTGTCCGTCTTGATTGATGCACCTCATGAGTATGTCCTGGTAGCAGGCCCAATGGATAGGCCAAGAAACCGGCTTATGAAAAAATCCCTGATCGTGGTATCTACGACCAATTAGCCCAGTGGCCGAAAAGAGGAGAATCACACACACACACACACACACAAAAAGATTAGTTCCTGTAGGACCAGATGTTCTGGGAAGAGGATTTATATCATCTATACAAGAACAGCGACACAGGTCCAACAAAAGATGTAACCAGGAAGACTAACTATCCTCCCCAGGAGAAACATATATGCAATCCTGGGATATAACCACTAGTTTTATGAGCGCGTCGATAGTATGAGTGAGATGTCTTACATGGCGAAGCACATGGCCCACGCCCGAAAAGTAATATCTAAAACCCCCAGATATACTTGGAACCTAATTGATGGCCAATAAGGAACAACGAGGAGGCTATAGACCTTTCTGGATACACGTACCAATCGATACCCACGACATGGAGCTGGGTCAGCCATCGCCGTCTTTAAGGACCTCCATGCTGTAGCTTCTGTATCCTTTCCCTCCGGATCCACGTTTATAGAGGTAGTGGAGAACACCGAGCATCAGAGGGCACAGTACACATCGTTCTTCCCGTTATTGGACATTTGGTTGGAGGCAAAGTACTTATTAAATTTCTCGGCATCAATTCTAGGGGTAGAAATTTCCACGCTTAACTAGAACCCGACCTTGCGGGTGTGGGGCTATTAGGTTTCTTTCTTTCAATCACTCAGAGCAATAAATGTCCGCTAAGCTGACTACACTTTGCGCAAGAAGTCAACTATAAAATACATAGACTTCTTGGAGAGTATCTCCGTCTCAGCGCTGGCCCCTAGCTTGGCCAGTAAGGCCCAACGGGCTTTCCAGCTCAATGGGAATCCAAATACTCTAGATTTTATGTTTTATTTGGAATTTTTTCTAGTTCCCTATGATACATATATACTCAACGATGAATCAATATAATAAAAATTCTAGATATGCCATATTACTATTTGACTGAAAACAATAGTTCTATTTTATTATTGTTTTTTAATAAACCCAAAAATTTCTAAATAGGACTATTCTTGTGCGTATGTATGGATCTTGAGGGAAAGCCATGGCATTTTGATATCGCTAAGCTATAATTACACTAAGTATGATGGTGTAAGTACGTAGTTCCTGCATTAGTTAACAGTCCTTAAGGAGAACTACTGTAATATTGCGTCTCTTTTAACTATCACAACTTATAATAGATTTTAACAGGAGTTTTGCGATAGCTATGCTGCGTAGCTATTGATCGTAGGACTCATTTCGACACTGGGAAAGTGGTGGCATGCGGCTTTTTTCTACCCTCGCACGACAGCAAAGTTATGAACTTTTTACAAGCGCCGCAGTTAAAGGGATTCGGGATTGGAAGGAGGGCTTAACTAAACGTTAGACCAAAAATTTATCTCATGGTCTTGAGGGTGGCCTTATGAAAACGGCTCAACAGGGCCTATCAAAATGTACGGTAGACTAAATCGAGTACTTATAACACAATATTAGCCTAATAGTTTTCCTGTAACTTTTTGGCTATAGTTTTTGAAATATATTGCCAAAAGATAGCCTTTCCTAAAGCAGTAGAGTGTCTATTCAACTAACCTTATGATTTGAAAAAAAGTGTCCAAGAGTACGAGGACACTAGTTTTGACACAAACTATGCCCCTGATCCACTTTCCAGAAGTATTTAAGACCTACAATAGCATAGCCAGAGTCCTATTTGATCGTTCAGTCTCTCCCTACCCTTCTTCATTGTTACTACAGCTTTAATCTTCAAAGTTACCCCAAACCTTCTTCTAGTACACCTTCCAGTACACATATTGACATATACGGCGCTTCAGGATGCTGTTATTCAATTGGCTCTTCAAGTCATCCAAAGAGACTTCTGCTCCTAAAGCCCATAAGCCGATCTGGGATCCGCAAACCCTGACCATGCAGCAACCAGCTTCTCCCCAAGTCCCTACTGACCGCGCTGGGATGGAACAATCGGTATGGATAAGCGTCCCTCGTTCAACGCGCAATGGAAATTATCCCACAAAGCTAACATCTGCATCAGAACGTACACGAAAATACGGAAGTTAGTTTACGAGGCGGCGGTGGCGGTAGTGTCTGCTGTGGAGTGTATGATCTCCCCTGAGGCCGTATCACTAGGGCTTCATGAACTGACCTTTTTAGTTGTGCTGGTCTGCTATGCTTCGAATGTTGTTGCTCCTCCGAGTAGTCTCCCCTATTCAAAAATGTGCTTCGGCGTGTATGTGTGTCATACGAGTTTTAAATTAATGGGGTCTCTCTTCGTGGATGTCGATAACCTTTAAAGGATATCGAAAAATCCTACATAGTTTACTACAAACATATCTATAGATTAAGTATTCCTATAGAAAGGGATTCCGCTGCACAGTTTGGACCTTAGCTTCCCACTGGTATCTCATGCGAATCTCTTGCAATGCAAAGATGTATCCTTTTCTGTCGGTGAATTACCGTATCGTACTATTCAAGTTGTTGAGAATATTGACATTTTTATGAATGAACCGTCGAATAGAATGCTATTATGTTTGAGTCACGAAGTGCTAGTGACTCCCGAAGACGCCCACAGGAATGATTTTGTCCACTGCCGGCATTCTAGAAGTTCGGTCTGACCGTGGTAGTTGTTGCAGATCATTAATTAGGTGGGTCAGCAATTAGGGCTATTATACCCATACCGGTGATAAATGGATTCATGATACGAACGCGAACTTCCCTTTATGACTAGTTACCCTAATTGGTGTCGTCTAATAATATCGGTTTGGATAGCTATAGGTGGGGATATGGACAGAAAAGAAATCCAACCCAATCCCGGATTTCTCCCTTGACTACCATTTTTTGCAACTGATTGATCCGTACTTCGTACCGTATTCATTCTTACCAGGGCTGAAGGCCTATAGTGATCATACATATACCGTAAGGCGCTGGAACAAGAACCCATGGCATTCAATACTAGGTTAAACCGGGATTCGTGAATCAATTAACTATACAAGCACATGCACTCTAATTCTCATAGTCTAACCCAGACTCCTTGCGAATCGCCCCATATACACCTGCAATATCCCCCTTCACACCCTTCTCCTTCTTCACCTCCTGCAAATATGCATCAGTAACCTCCACACTCCTCAACCGCACCCCCGCCCCCTGAGCAATGCTACTAGCATGTCCCAGATCTTTCCTAGCCAGATCAACTGCAAATAACGGCTCATCACGCTTATAGTAGTCGCCCTCAACCATCCGATCCGTGTATTTCGCAAACGGTCCAGGAAGCCACGTATGGATCCACTTTTGGTAATTGTCGGCGCCGAGACCGCATTTCTCCGCGAGTACGAGACCCTCCGCGAGGGTCTCAACGGTGTTAAGGATGAAGATGTTACCCAAGATCTTGAGCTGGGAGGCACGGCCGACATCGTCGCCGGGCAAGGGGAGAATAGCTTTTGCCGTGACGCCCTCAAAGAAGGGTTTGAGGCGGTCAATCGCCTCTTGCTGTCCGGCGGGGACGACGATCATTTGGCCTGCGTCGGCCATGTTGGGGGCGCCAAAGACGGGGCATGCGACGAAGGTTGCGCCGCGTTCGAGGAGGGTGGCGTGGGCGCGGCGGGAGGTGTCTGGGTGGACGGTGGAGCAGTCGACGACGATCTTGGAGGTTAGGTCAAGAGATGGATTGGCGGTGATGGTGTTGATGATTTGGTCGAGGGCTTGGTCATCACCGACGCAGATGAAGGCGATCGTGGCTTGATGCACGGCTTCAGGGATGGTGGTTGCAACGGTGGCCTTGTTGGAGCCAATTGAATCTGCGAATGCGGTGGCTTTGGATGTTGTGCGGTTGTAGAGGGTTATAGGGGAGGATTGGGGGCCTTTCAGGGCGATGTTGCGGCTCATACCCTAGGTCGGAAGATGTTAGTGTTTGGGGAGAGATATGGATATATAGATTCGGGTTTGCTTACCCGGCCGATGTTACCCAGGCCAAGCCATGCTACTCTTTCTGAAGACATTGTGTTGAGATGGGATTCCTACCGTGTTCTCAAGGAGGAAGTAAGGGTTGTAGAAATGTCAATTGGGATGTTTAGGGAGATAATTATTTATAGAGTGATAGGTATAACAATAGAAATGCGTCATGCGGGGCATTTCGGAGCCCAACCCGGAGCTGGACTCGGGGCGGGTACGGGTCGGGATCGGGTCGGGTTTGCAGGGACCCGATCAACTCTATTCGGGGCTCGATATGATATTACATTCCCTTCCTAAAAACTTAATCGGAGTGGGACTCGGAGTTAATCTTCGATATTTGTCCAAATAAGTTGAGAATGCTGACTCAGGATGGAGTTATTTTCAAAGAAATGCGATATGTCCGCTCTTGAAGCGAGCTCTGTACTGAGTAACATATCACCAATCATCAAAGCTTCCACCGAACGCGACAATTCCGTTGTCCAATTGACCCCAAGCTTTCGCCGATAAAGACAACAAAATGAGTCGACCGACCCTATCATGATTCATGATGCTTACGCTCAATTATTCACCGGTGCATTTTTCTGTTACAACGGCTCCGCGAGCAAAGAAACGATCTTCTCGTATGCAATGACCCGTCCTTCTTTTGGTCCCAATTGAGATGCAATATTCTTGGCCCTATCCTTCATCGCCGCGCTATGGGCACTGACCAGCACTCGAATCAATGCCCGTCCCAGTTCAGGTCCATTGACGGCTGGCGCAGTTTTGCGACTTCCCCAAACCCCAATTCCTAGCCATTCTGCGCGCCAGGCGAAATCGTAGGTGTCAAACCAGAGGGGAAGTATGACTTGCGGCACGCCAGCCCTAAAACAAATTAAGCCGTTAGAAGACCATTCAACTTTCAAGAGTTGAAAGCTGTATAAACTGACTGTATGGCTTCGTGAAAAGAATTGGATCCCCCATGATGGACCATACATTGTACATGGCCACTCAGGAGAATGCAGATAGGTTCCGCCTCCAACCACGGCTCGACGCGCACTCGGCCCTCTGCGATGGCGGTACGAAGATTGTCGGGTAAAATAGTCTCCTCAGCGACTGTTCCGCCGCTTCGCTTGATCTTCCATAAAATTTGTATGTCCGGCCTCTTATCTAGGAGTATGCGGAACCCGTCCATGAGCTCTCTCAAATCATCGACCATATACATTACATGCGACCCCAGGTTTACCAAGACTGTTGGCCGTCGTTCGAGCCAGGACGCTAGTTCTGGATCTTCTTTAGCAATCGGGGCACAGGGGCGCAGAATTGGTCCGCACAGGGTGAAGTTATCGGGAAAATAGCAAGGAAATTCGATCTCCCGTCTGGCTGGAAGGAGGGCTATAGTCTTATCTGTCTCATTGAACTGGTGAAGAGCCTGTGAGGGTGTTGGACCCGGCAGCCCATGAACATTGCGGTATGCCTGAAGTTCTCTGGCCCGTGGATTATTCGATGTGACCGAGAACATCTGGAGAGCAAGATAAGCATTCGGAAGGATCAGATACCACGGTAAAGGATAAGGATAGCCGGAACATATGCTAAATCGTTAGGCAAGGCCTATAGAGTGAGTATATGGGGAAGATAGAATGGATCTCTCACACTGGATACTTCCACAGACCCGCCAACCGTGGCTGAACCAACAGTTCCTTGAATGTGTTTGGACTCAATGCAACATAACGCTGCCCCAGCATGCGACACGCTTCCACTGCCTGCAAAAAGATCGGATCAAGCACGACAATGGCCGGTTGGACTGCCTGGATGAGGGTAACACAGTCTTGGTAAATTTCCAAATACTGAGGGCCATCCCACGGAGCTGTTAAGCTGGGGAAGATGTTCTTGAAGGCTCTCAGGGCTCCTTGGAATCCGATGTCATGTGTGCGGAATGATTCTGTGGCCATATTGAGCGCTGAAAGGGTCTGTACCATGGGTGTTCCGGTGATCGGATGGAAAGTCGCAGTGTTTGTCGCTGGTGCCAGGGTCGCAGCACGAGCATTGAGATGGGAGACCGCGGGCTCCAACTGAGCGAAGGAACCGATGTGGACGTCGTAAGAAGAGCGAATAATAAACTCATGGGCAACAGCTAAGGGGAGAGTTGCCTGGCCCAGCTCGCTAAAGGTGAGGAAGAGAATAGTTGATCGAGTCATCGCATTCCGCTATAGTCTGTACTATGGGCAAGAAATAAAAAGATTCGTGATGCAGACAGTTGAAGAAATGTTACATACAATAAAATACGTGAGAAATAAAATCGGTACGAGGACAAGAAAGACGCAAGAGGGATGGATATCAGTGTTGTAAATTGAGAGGGAGATAAGTAAAACATAAAGAGATTTCTCAATATAAGAACGGCCTGTTAACCTGTTGTGTAAGTAAGCCAGTCAATGGTTTCTAAGACTAGATATAAACGTCTTGCTGGCCCTATAGTAAGTCATTTCACTACTGTATTCACGATTATTGCCAAGGGCAAGGGGTGAAGATCCCTCTATATTGAGTGAAATTATTAACGTTATATCTAGTTTTATCTATTAACTCCATCAACGTTCGTACTTGCGGTGTCTTCTGCTACTAGAGGAGAATGTCTTGTGTGGTCCCCCCTATGTAGGGCAGGTTAGGAGTAGTACTACCTGTTCCACCTCCCCGCCCGTATCCTGTCACCAATCATAGGTTTAACCTGACGTGCATGACCATATCTCAGCGCCACGAAAGGTGTCGGGTAGTATTTCGCAGGATTATTCGGCGAATATACCGTGAGATATTGTTGGTCTGGTGCCTGGAAGAATCAAGCGATACACTGGTTCAATTAAGGGGCATCTGAAACCTCCAAAAGGCGATCCTTGCTGTTTCACCTAGTCCTTTCGTCCTCGGCCACTAATAGCAGAATTACGGGTATTGATACGATCAATATCGTAAGGATTTTCTTCATATTGTGTCGCTGTGCGACCGAGAGACCGTCCGGACTTTCTGGATACCCGAGACCTTTGTCGATCCAGTGCGACTTGGGACGGCACTGTGCAACTTCTATCGGAATCGTCACTGTCACTACTCATAGAGATAGACTCGGCTTTCTCAGCTGAAGTCACTTTCTCTTGAGCTGGTTCTTCATGCGGAGGTTCATTCTGCTTGGCTGCGAGACGTTGCATGAATGCTTCGGCCTCAGCAGCGAACACGCAACGCTTACGGATCTGGGCTCCATACAGATAAAATAGGATGGGGAATGGCACACAGGCAACCGACAAGAAAGCCGGAATTGAAGATGCCCAATGAATCCCCAGGTTGCGATACATATAAGTGGTGAACAGAGGGAATGCGAAACCGAAGAGAGACCGAAGAGCTGAATTAGCTGCCAGCACCGATGCCGAATAGATCGTATAGGCGTCGATCAGATAGTTGAAGACACTGAGGAAAACTAAGACCAGTCCAAATCCAAACGGCACGCCTGCAGCGACCGGCACCATCCAGTGGATGGTTGGAGAATTGGTCCATGCGAACCAGAAAAGGCCAATTGGCAAGGCGATGCCTCCAACAATGCTTGGAGGTAAGCGAACCTCAGGTGCAAGGCGACCCGTGGTTTGCTCACACAATTTAGCATACCGGAAATTATCAGGAAAGGTGCAAGCGACTGCAATGATCATCCCTACTAGAATGCCCATGAACGCTAAGCCTCCAATACCCTCACTCCAGCCGCGGACTTGCTGGAAGACAATCGGATAGGCTGCAAACAACATGTACAGCGTTCCGTATATGATAGCCATATAGATACAGAACAAAAGCACAATGGGTTCTTTGAAAAGCAGAAGCCAGGGGCGTGAGAGAGCTGTAGTCAATGTCTTTGTCAATGTTGCCTTGCCTCGTTCGATATCCAATTTGCTGCGGTAGATATGGCCACTCAATTCAGAAAGTTTTTCGGCTCGACGCCGCAGAAGGACTGGAGCATACGTTTCTGGTAGTAATACACACATGGACAGCCAGATAACACCTGCCAGTGCCGCGAGGAAACCTTCCACCCAGCGCCAGCCCGCAGCAGAACCAAGGAAACCTCCTATTACTGGACCAAAGGTAGGGCCGCAGAGTGGTGCAGCAGCAAAGAGACTTATCGCAATACCGCGCTTAGCAGCCGGAAACATATCCGCAATAGTACCTCCTGCATTTCCAAAAGGCGATGACCCGAAGAAACCAGCCAGAAAACGGAGAATCACGAGGGTTTGGATATTCTGAGAGCCAGCAGCCCCCGCATTGAAAGCAGTCAGGAGGAAGAATGTGCCAGTAAAGATATGCCGACGGCCGAATGTCTCACTCATTGGGGCCCATATCAATGGCCCAAAGGCGAAACCCAAGACAAAGAGGGAGATACCGAGAATAGCAATTTCCTCTTCGCAGTTAAAGTCTTTTACAATTTGGCCCATTCCTCCGGAATATGCAGAGGAAACCAATGCAACTGTGAGAGTGACAAAAGATACCAAGACTGTATAGGACCATTTTCTAACCTCGCTAAAGTTCATCGGGTTGCGCGGGTCATTAGGAATCCAAGTGACAGCATAAGGGTCATCTTCGGTCCCTGACCCTATGTAGGGATAATTGACCACCTCGGGCGTAACAACCTTTTGATCAAGGACTAAACGCCAGTAAGGTATCTTGGAGGGTTGAGGCGCCTCGCTGCCCCCGGCCAAACCGGTCATGCCCGTTGTTCTGATACTAGATATGGCTGTCAGACTGCTCTATAAGACATACATGTGTTATGGGATCGACATCTTTATCATGGACCCACCTGATGTTTATTCTGTAGGAAACTTTACGAGACAGTAGTATCACTGTCAACTGCGTTGTGCTTCGCAGATTCCTAAAAATTTGGTTGAGAGGCGTAGATCATGAGATCTCGACGTCATGGGCGATGCAAATATCTAAGAAAGAGAAAAAAAAATATGGTAACAATGCACAATAGCTAATCCCAAACCATTAAGGCATAAAAAGGTGTTTAGAAATAGAAAAGAAAAATCCTTCCTAGTAAACCGAGAAATGCCTCGGTTAGATACTAGGATACAAAATATATAGACTTACATATCAACAACGAATCATATTCCTAATATTCGTGAAATAGTGGGTTTCATTACTAACAGGGACATTGATCCATTTCGCCCTTTAATGTTCAAATATGCAAATATCTAAACATTCGAGAAGACTAGCATAAATCACCCGTTAGCTTTTCATACTTGAGCCATTAGCCAAGAGAATGTTTCTCTTTCAATTCTCGAAGTGCAAAAAAAGGCAACGAATGATTAGCGACCGCCACAGACTTCAGCCCGACGCACTATTGGCGACAAGCTTGCTTGGCCAAGTGGAGTCTAGTAACGAGCTTTATCAGACATTTATAAACTGAATACTCTTGTAACCCGAATATCTTGAACTTTTGAACATATGCATGGAAGACACATAGGATCAGTATTTGCATACGTTTCCTTGTTCTTTCAGGGATAATTCTTTACCTTTGGTCAACTCCATACTCCATACTCCATACTGCCTTTGATAGCAGTGTGTGGATTACAAATGGGTCGGTTTTCCGTGCCGACAAAGCGGATCCGAGCGGTGGATTTCCAAATTTATAGAATAGGCGAGAAGAAAATAAAATCGCCCCCGGAAGAAGATGCCGAATGGCTTGTCAGGCAATAATCATAATCTTCAAGGTAGTATCCGATGTGGACCCGGATTATTGCATGTCGTTGCCTTGGTATCGTTATCTGGGCTATCGTGAGCCAGATATGCCCTTGTAAATAGTCAAATTATTTGAATCCGGGGTTTGCTTACATAGTGGCCATGTCATAGCTTTATCATTTCAAACGGTGATAAGAGATCCCAAGAAGTGCGGAGTCTATTGCAAAGGGAACACAGCTCGGATTTGCTTGGTATTTGCACCTTGTTTAAAAGGATCGTAGTATATAAGTGTTGTCTAGATGTATGTTCATACATGACTTAGGTCGGCTGCCAGAAACTCACTCATGATGAGGTCCCAATTGCCTCCTTGGCAGTGAATGCAAATGGTGAGGCCTAGGGCCCTCGGGTGAAAGTCCCTATACATTAAACTGACACTTGCTATTAAATTTAGAAAACCAAGTGCTATGTATATATATTACATAGGATCTAAAGCAATATACACTCATGACAAAAAGCCCTGAGACTGGTTACAATCTATCCAAGACTCCGAGTAAAGATCACAGCCCTAGGGTAATTCTGTTGTTCCAACGATTTCTCCATTGTGATAAGAAGCCGAGTAGTTCTTATGTATAACTCTAGAACAAGAATGTTTAGATCTGAGGCAGTTTTGGCGAATGCAGATAGACGTACCTTCGATCGCCAATTCATAGCTAGTAGTTTGTTCCTCATCGCGATGGATAAGGACAGGAAGATGCCTGTTGAGAAATCCTCTTGCTTTGACTCGTACTTTCAGCCCAACATTCTTGCTCTGACCCATCCAAAGCATATGATAGGGGGCCTCGCCGCCCGAAGACGAGTCGACATCAGCGGATCCCCCCATTGTTGGAGAGGAATTTAACGATTGAACCGAATATTTCGCTTGCTTCCTCAACCAGTCTCTGAACAACCTAATTACACCGTCTTCGACCGTCACTGCACTCAGAAGAAGATTGCTCCCCGGCATCACTTTTACGATATTCACAACCACGCATAGCTGAGAGAAATCCTCAAACTCCTCTAAGTAGATAGGACGTTTCACAACTAAATCATCGGGTTGCTCCCCATCATCTTTGAAAACAATCAACATTGTTCTGCACGGTTCATTTTCTGTGGGATATCTAAATGACCTACCTGATGACGGGACAAGCCTGGCCCCACTCGACCTCTCCTCTACTGTCACTTCAGGGCGGAATTTAGAATAAAGAGAGCCGAGCTTTCCCAGCTGCTGTGCCGTATCAACATTCTCGTACAATGAGCCCTTTCCTTCATGCCGGTTACTCAGGCCATCGGTACCGAGGTATTTACAAAATACGTGAGGCTCGATCAACTTTGAGCTTGGATGGAAACATTCGAGAATAAGCTTATATTCGTTCAGAGATGCAGAGACTAGAAGTCGGTAGTGTAGGATCCGCAATATCAAAGCGTGAAAGCGATGTGACACGGTGGTCAAGGGAAGAAGGGAGTTGGTTGGAAAGGGAGATAGAATCTGTACGAACACCTAAATGCCATTGCGGCAAGACTTAGCCTTAAAAGCTGGAAAGGAAGACGATGTCAGCCCCTTTCATACCTCATTTGGGAGGGAATAGAGGTGGAGCCTCGAGACATTCATCTTTTGCCACCAATTCGTGGAGATCAGGAAGGACTACACAGCTAGTGTGTCCTGTATGTAGGTCCTGCGATATGTCGCAAGAAGAGGTAAGGGTGATTTACTAAGAGGCTTCAACACAAACTGTCAATATAATTCTTAGAATGCAGGTGACGTGAGTTAGGAGGAAATTCCTCATGATATTGCTGATAAGGTACGTAGATAAGAGTCCACCAGTTGCCAGTTGCCCCTCAAATCTAACCGGGACCGTAGCAAAGTCATTACTAATAGGTGATCCCGCGCAAAGTGCTTTATTACTATACTGCTGATCCGCCTGGATTAACAAGATAACGAAAAAATCTATTAATATTAACATGTGAGATATAGGCTAAAAAGAAGAGGTCGTGCCCGGATTCGAACCGGGGTTGTCGGAAGATAAACACTTTTATATATTCAGTTATTAGTTAACTGATTAACAAATATGACTTCAAAATCCGAAGGGATAACCACTACCCCACACAACCGTGAGAATGAGAAAATTTATTCCTTATTCTGTCTCTGACCCAACTGTTCCAAGTCATCGGTATATTCCCCACTCCTCCAATAACACAACATAATTGGGGGAGACATGATCAAGTTATCCATCAAATGTCATATATCTAATGGAAATCCTGGGGTTTAAAAAGCAGTCATGTATATTCTGTCCAATTAAAAAGGCGGATTAGATATATCTAGGATTATCCCAATCCAAAAGGTTGATAACCTGAATAAAAGAAGCCCCATCCTTCTTGAGGCAGCCATATATCTGATTTGTGGAAGATAGTTAATAATCAAAATAATGCCCTTATCAAGTAGGTATACCGCACAGGTGGGTACGGCTGGGTACCTAGAAGTCAACGAAGTGTATCGAAAGTCGCTGGATGGCATCATGGTAGCTCACTTCCTTTTGAATCTCTTGAATGTATCAGAGATTCTATAGGAATGAGGGAGGGGGGGGGGTTATTCGATTAGGTGGACAGTGCGCATTAGTGGCCGGGATTTATGTTTCTACATAAGGTGTCGGGTATATTATATGTACACCGGGCCGATTCTCTATCGGATCCTTCACGTTGACTCAGGCCTCTCGGGCAGCCGGTGAGAAGCCCGGGTTAGCCAAGACAAAACGGTTAATAGTTATTTCATTTGCGACAGACTACGTCACTATGGACGGGAAGAAAATATTGGAGATTTATAGTACTCCGTACAGCGTCCCCACTGCGCATAGATAAGTAACCAATCTCATTCCCTGCGGATAATAGATATGTGTAAGTCACCACTGCAAATACCCGTAGCTGCCATCGTTCCTGCATGGAGAGATGGCAGCGAGGCGATATAGACGGTCTGAACCTCTAGGATAAGAGAAGATGTAGTACATAATCCACAATCAATCCCAGAGGATGGCACTGCGATTAAGGATGAGCGAGTTCTCAGGAACGGTGCTGTTATTTACCCGACTGCAATTGTGTTCTCCCCGGTAGTGCGTTCGGTACCGAAAGGGTTCCTTTTTTAATTTTCCGGAGACCCCGCGAAGCATGCCATGTGCCCCGCCACGCCGTCGCTTCAGCGTCACTTACTTTTCTCACCTGCCTCTTTCTTCCCCTCTTTCTCCGCTTCTCTTCACGAAATTAATCCTCCATCCGAATCGCATAGAAGACGCGCCTTAGGATTTATCGACAACCATGACCGAAAATGTGCTCAATGATATCTCCCACCGGAGGTATAATCCACTCCGGGGTTCTTCCATCTTAGTCTCCCCCCATAGAACTAAGCGTCCTTGGCAGTAAGTTTTGAACAATGTTTTCCTCAAAATAAGGAGATATGGATCAATGCTCCAGAAAGCTGAATCTTTACTGTAAACAGAGGACAACAAGAGAGCCCTTCTAAGACAACTTTGCCCACCTATGACCCTGCTTGCTATCTGTGCCCAGGCAACAAACGTGCGCAGGGAGATGCAAACCCTAAGTACGAAAAGACTTTCGTTTTCGTCAACGATTACAGCGCCGTCAAGGAGGAGCAAGCACCATATAGTCCGGACAATGCAGATAGTGTGTTCCTACATAACCCGCTCCAGGTGTCGTAATTTAAATGTCAATGCGCTAACGTATATGCGTTCCGTCTTTCAGGTCTAGAATCTTTCTTCCTTAAGGCAGAGCCTGTTACTGGCAAATGCTACGTGCTCACCTTTTCCGCAGCCCATAACCTCACACTGGCAGATCTGTCTCCGGCTGAAATTACTCCCGTCATCGACGCCTGGACCAAGCTGTACAGCTCGCATCTGTCGCCGAAGTCACCATTGGCTGCTCTCGCCCCTGCGACCACCCTCCCTCCGAACTCCTCAACCGCTGATCTGGCCAAGCCCAAAGAACAATATCGGTATATGCAGATCTTTGAGAACAAGGGCGCAGCCATGGGATGCTCGAACCCTCATCCCCATGGGCAGGTCTGGACCACCAGTTCGCTACCCGAGGAACCAGCGATGGAGTTGGAACAGCTCAAGAAATACCGCAAAGAGCACGGGGGCAAGCATATGTTGGAGGATTACGCGGCTCTTGAAAGCCAAAAGAAGGAACGTGTGGTGTTCGAGAACGGAGCATTCCTAGTTGTCTGCCCCTGGTGGGGTGTCTGGCCGTTCGAGACGATGATTGTCAGCAAGCAACATAAGCGCGCGCTTGTTGACCTGAACGCTAACGAGAAGACACAATTGGCTGAGGCCATCGCAGAGGTCACCAGGCGGTATGACAACTTGTTCGAGACACATTTCCCATACAGTATGGGTATCCATCAAGCTCCACTCGACGGGACTGAAGAGGAGATTGAGTCTTCGTATCTGCACTTGCACTTTTACCCTCCTTTGCTGCGTAGTGCAACTGTGCGGAAGTTTTTGGTTGGGTAAGTCATGGCTCCTACGTATGGCCTGTCCGTAAATGCTGATTAGTTTCTAGTTATGAAATGATGGGCGAGCCCCAACGAGACATCACCCCGGAGCAAGCGGCGGCAAGATTAAGAAATTGCGGAGGAGAGCTGTATAGGAAGAAGCTCGATAGCTAAGAGATGTCACGGATTGGGTAGGGTAGAACGATTTCGTATCTTGAATGAGTAACAATGCACAGCAACACCTTTTGTCAGCCGTGGGTATCCATGATTTTTCGCCTCCATAACACCAGGGCTGTCGGTAAGCTTCATGTGACCGACTAAGAGCTCAAGAAGGGGTAAGAAGAGAAAAGAAGTACATCGAGAGATTAGATAATGTGTCGCGTTTAGAAGAACAAGAAAGCTAGGCGGCAAGATAGTTTTCCCTCTGTGTCAACATCCAAGCCAGGGTCGAGGAGGCGACAATCAGAGGGCTCACGAACCGCCCCTTGAGTTGGGCACTACCAAAACCCAGCCACTCGCCAACAAAGTGCACCAAGGCAATGCCGAAAGTCCATATAGCAAGGTCATATGCCACAGGAGTTGTGATGTTGTAAGCTGCGTACATTCGGATCACTGCGGAGAGGAAAGTCCAGGTGCCAAAGGTTCGAGAGGATAAAGGGTTGGTTAACGGGCGACCATCAGCGGACCGTCCATTGTAGAGCTCCGCAGCGTAGGAATCTGACCGATACGCTTGAATACTGTTTGCTGAAGAGACGACAGAGACCTAGGAGGCGTACAAACTCAGCATGATGTCCGGGGTGGATGTAGGAATCATATGTTGAGGACGTACCAGGAAGAGCCACTTGGGTAGGAAACCCTCAAAGGGAGGCAAGTAAGACAGAATAGCGGCCATCGTCTACGTTAAGCAGTGCGAAGACGAAGAACTGAATCGATTGACCTTTGGTGGGTTGGATGATGTTAGAAACCTTTGGGGGAAAAGGAGCACAAGTAATGGTTGGGGACCGAGGTTCTTTTCTTGGCACAACAACACTTTACTCCGATCTCCGTGAATTTCTTAAAACCAACCCTTCCTCCCATTGTTGGATCCCAATTCATCCGAACTGAAGGGGAAAAGAAAAAGGTGTCAAACATGGACTTCCTGTCGAAACATATGTCCTGTCTGTCTAATCTAGAGCTTAATCTGGCTCCGGGATGGCAGACTGTTGGCGCGTATTTCCTTCTCGCAGCTGGAAGTTTGTTCGTGGCTTCTAGGGCTTTGACTTTTGTTAGAGTCATCCTTAGTCTGTTTGTTCTTCCTGGAAAATCGGTAAGTCGATCTCATAGCCTTGGATGGATGGTCGTAGAATATTGACTTACAATGTGCCAGCTTCGCTCTTTCGGTCCCAAAGGCAGCTGGGCCGTGGTTACAGGTGCTTCTGATGGATTGGGCAAGGAGTTCTCTTTCCAGCTTGCTCGTGCTGGGTTTAACATCGTCCTCGTCTCTCGGACTGCCCCCAAGCTGACTACACTGTCCAACGAAATCACGTCTAAGTACTCCGTTCAGACCAAGACCCTAGCTATGGACTTTGCACGCAACGAAGATAGCGACTACGAGAAGCTGAAATCCCTAGTGGATGGGTTGGACGTGGCTATTTTGGTGAACAATGTTGGAAAGAGCCACGACATTCCCACTCCGTTCGCATTGACTTCCCAGGATGAGATGACGGACATCATAACTATCAACTGCATGGGCACCCTGCGTGCTACTCAGTTGATCATTCCAGGAATGATGCAGCGCAAGCGGGGTTTGATCCTAACCATGGGATCCTTCGGTGGTCTTCTTCCATCCCCTCTTCTTGCGACCTACTCTGGTAGCAAGGCCTTCCTGCAGCAGTGGTCGACGGCCCTTGGTTCGGAGCTTGAGCAGCACGGTATCACCGTTGAACTCGTGCAGGCATACCTCATTACTTCTGCTATGTCGAAGATTCGCCGGGCCAGCGCTACAATCCCGGATCCCCGCTCGTTCGTCAAATCAGTGCTGTCCAAGATTGGCCGTAATGGGGGATCTCCGTTCTATGCTTACAGCTCATCACCCTACTGGAGCCATGGATTGATGGCCTACTTCTTAACCTGTGTTACTGGAACCATGGGCAAGTTCGTTGCTAACCAGAATCGTGGTATGCATGAGTCAATTCGCAAGCGTGCTTTGCGCAAGGCTGAGCGCGAGAAGGCGAAGAAGAGCTCTTAATCGAGGGCGTTGCGTTGTGCTTGCATGTCGGTATCGCAAAAGGTTGCATGATAATTTGTGATTAATTTTGCAGGGGGTCGCATGATGATATGATGGATCTGGATGTCTACTGGGATAGTCCGTTGTTGAACGAGATTGGACGCTATAATGATTGTTGGCGGGAGGGCGTTGTTAAAAAATTTTTTTAAGTATGGGAGTAGAAGGGCAATATGCGCTAGAAATACAACCCCTTTCTATGGGGCGATTAATGATCTTAGTGTGCAATTTTAGGTGTCGATACGCTAGATCTCGCCGTCAGTCAATCCCTCACACTGCAGAAGATAATGTCGCATACCTTCAGTATCTTAGTAAATGGACACTTTTCTATCCATGCCTCCTTTCGAGACAGCCAGATGAGGAGTGGATAAAGGGATAGCCACTGATATACTTTGCAAGCTTAGAAAGTATCCCAAGATGAGATATGCTTGGGTCTCCCTGTTGTAGCTAGCTTGATCTATGTATCCTTTTGTCCTGGTAGCGATCTTCCATGTTAACCTAAACAAATTTTACTAATCTATCCAACCTCCACAGAATCCGTCAAGTACATGCAGTCTACCACCATAGCCCATGAGAGAGGCATGCGAGGATACAGGTGAGGGTGTCCTTGCCAAACTTCACCTTCTCTAAAGATCAGCCCTCAACCTAAGCATCTACAAGCATATCTAGATAGTATTATACTGATCTAACCTATTAAGGTAGGAACACTGGTTTCCAGGCTCGGAATAATGGTCCCTGAGCATGGGAGATATGTCTGAGTCGTGGGTATTTGACGTGAAAAAGTTCTCAACTTCACATTCCAAGCTTATCGCCTATAATGAGCTTTGACAAAGTCATCGACTGCGCTACAGCCTCAATATCAAATTCGAGAATATTCTAAATAACGCAGTCGCCATTATGGAAAGATTCGGACTTGATGTCCGAGGCTATCTGGAATAATGGCCAGATGCTTAATAGCGGTGGCTTGAGAAGTGAGTACTTTTCGCGAATCTCAAATACATTATGTTCGGGCATCATCGGTGGAGAGAAAGATCATAGACTCGACGTTCCATTCAATCCGGAGAAGTGGATACAATCACCATGTCAAAAGCTTCAGATCTAGGCTTTGGCAGGTCAAAACTAGGGGAAAATGTCGTACGATATTCTTAACCAACATTTATCGGCTTGTCTTGAAGGTCGGTATATCAGAGCAAGTTAAGCTAAGTACCCCGATAAAGATATCGACAGGTAAACCCACTATCTCGCCAATCAGACGCCAGCGATAAGTCTCCAGGTGTAGCTGGTGTGGAGCTAGTCACCGATTACTGTATAGGGCTATAGTCTCACTCTCGGTGAATGTGTTCGTACTTCGCCGCCATGTCTTTCTCCAGGGACAGATTCTGGAGTACCACGTGTGGCAGGGACTAGAGTTCTGGAGATTTGACGCCAGATACTGGAGATCTGGAGTCTGGAGAAGCGCGGGATATCTTAAATGACATGGAGTAGCGATGCTGGGGAAGTCTGCAACCCTAAGAGTTGGCGTATAGCTTAATTTGCTATATTCTTTATACTTCAAATTTACAGGCAATCACCTACTGCTCCTTCGTCTGTAACGCAAAAGCATTATTAATAGCCGAGGAATAAAGCTGTTTGTTCTTTGAACAGCTCTGTTTTGCCTATAATGGTGCTATAGTACTGTCTGATATCGTCTGACATCACGGACCGCATATTCAGGGTACACCACAATTACAATCTGTCTAGAAAAATGTTTTTCATCCTCTACCACGGGAAGTAGCATGCAATACGTCTTATGACGCAGGCCGAGTTATCTACGAAACATATTTGCCATCCCGAGAGACCGGTCAACAGTAGAATTTGCCGTGCCATGACTCGCTCAGGAACATCGGTCGGTTTCCATGGGTATCGCCGCCGAGCAAGAAAGCACGTCCCGGTTTTCGATCTACTGATGATAGGGGTCATCATTATAGACAAGGAAAGCGAAAAGAAGCAAAAGACAAGCAAATAAGTTAGAGAGACAAGAAGCCATGCTAACACATGATGTAGGTTGCATGATGGTTTCCGTAGTTGTCACACCACCGTGAGTCGATGCCTAGAGGCCTGATTTTACTAAACACCCTACACAGCAACCACATCTGTTGATCTGCATGCAGATTTTTCCCGGCTAGACCCAATCCATCAAGGCTTCCTTCCATACGGCATGCCGAAGGGTGCAATGTAGGCCCCTAATTCCGTGGTTTCACCGGAGTCCGAAATGGTCAAGTCTGGTCGAATTTGCTCGGCAAGGCTCCGAGCGGGGCCTCAAAGAGAATAGGAAACCTCAGCCGTGGATTTTTGAGACTTTAGCTGAACCATTATACTGAAGCATGCACCTTTCAACGATGGTTGGATGGGAATCTGACGGTGGGCCCGACGCTAAGGTACATTAATGCGACAATCCACCGCTCGAGCGAAATTTTCTCCCAAGTTAGCGCGAGACTATTCCGTATGTGACGTCGAGCTGACCGAATCGGCACACCGAGTCACCAGACGATGCCGAGACTCTCGGGGGACCGATAGGTTCGGAATGTTTCTAATGACACAGAACGGAAGACATGCAATGGACATTGTTGTTGGCTATCATAATCAGACAATGTCATTGTTTCTTTTACTTTAGATCAAAATCGTAACCTTTCTAAATAGTATTTTCCAACCAAGCCTGGTTAGTAGTACAGAGGTTGGATGTTGCATGTGTTCATCGTTATCGGGATCCTCTGCTTCAGTCTCTCTACCCGGCTCGGGATCGCCAGCAGAATTTTTTCTTCACTAGAGGTGGATCCGGTTAGATCTTGGTACTGACTCGGAACCAGAAAAGTTTACTCATAGGTACGTACTCGGTGCATTCAGGGAGCTAAAATTAAAATTTCAGGAAATGAAAAACAAAATTTTTCTTTTTTCCCTTAAAACAACTCTGTTGAGAAAGGAGTCAAGGGATGTAGTGGATCGCTCGATGAAAATGTCCGTAAAATCTCCTGTACAGCAAACTAAGAGAGTAATTGGGAGCGTGCATATAAAAATATGTAGCAAATGGATTAAGCATTTGTAAACATAGCCATTGTCTCGTGTTCGCCTGTCAGTTAGCAAGAGTATGTAGTGAATCCTGATAGCAACAGTAGGAGAATAATCAATTGTCTTCCAATAATAGGAATTAAGTAATAAAAATGCAGAAAAGAGCGAAAACCCCGACCATCATGAGACGCACATGACATCCCCGTGACTGGGTTTGGAGGGATCCAGACTCCAAGACTCTCACGATGGGTAACGAACCTCAACCCATCCTTGCCAATACTCTCTTTTCGTCGTCTCCAGGCACATCTCCACTGTCTCCCCACCGCAAGACTCTCTGTCGAAGCATCCAAGAACACACTCCGCCCCCTAGCATCCGACTATCCTTCCTAGTTCGGTCCTTGGGATCTGGGCCCCCGTTTTTCCTTGCCATGGTCCCTACCCCGAGGATGGGGTGCCGCCAATCCCTAGGATGGAGGCGACGTTTTGTCTTGCCGACGGATGGGCCATTCGAGTAAAACCTTTCATTTCACTCAATCTATTTTTTTATTTTTATTATTACGCGCACTAATAATGTCACGATGCCGTTCTTTAACTTCCGAGCCTGTGTTATATATCTCCGCGTCTCCCACGTTTCCTCCCCGGGTTTCTTCCTCTTCTCATACCATACCTTAACACATCACGTCAATCACTTCTGAGGATTCAATCCCTCGTGAATCCATCCCTCACCATGGGTGTCTCCAATCTGATGGCCCGGTTCAAACCCCAGGCCGAACAACCTGAACACCAGGAGCATTCCGATACTCCTACTCCCGTCAGAGCCGACTCGAATCTGGAGAAGGACAATGTTATGCTCGACGACAGCCCCGTCCAGTATCTGACATGGCGATCCTTCGTCCTTGGTATCGTTGCCTCTATGGGTGGTTTCATCTTCGGTTACTCAACTGGTTTGTCAAATTTCATGTCGATGATGTATTACGCTCCTTTGCTGACTTTTCCCTCAGGTCAAATTGCTGGCTTTACCACTATGCATGACTTTAAGATTCGTTTCGCGGAACGTCACGCTGATGGAACATACGCGTTCAGCAATGTTCGCAATGGTTTGATCGTCGGCCTGGTAAGTTAACGACACCGGTACACATGACCAGCCATGTAAGGAGAAAACTAACATTTCTATAGTTGTCCATCGGTACTATGATTGGCGCCTTGGTCGCTGCTCCTATCGCCGACCGCATGGGCCGCAAGTTTTCTCTCTCTTTCTGGTCGGTGGTCCATATCGTTGGTATCATCGTTCAGATTTCGACCACCGACAAGTGGTACCAGGTTGCAATGGGCCGTTGGGTAGCCGGTTTGGGTGTTGGCGCTCTGTCCAGCGTTGTCCCTATGTACCAGAGTGAATCTGCCCCCCGTCAAGTCCGTGGTGCCATGGTCAGTGCCTTCCAGTTGTTCGTGGCCTTTGGCATTTTCATCTCTTATCTTGTCAACTTTGGTACCGAATCCATCAACGGTACCGGTTCCTGGCGTATCACCATGGGTATCGGTTTTGCCTGGCCCTTGATTCTGGGTGTTGGTACCTTGTTCCTCCCTGAGTCTCCCCGTTATGCCTACCGCAAGGGTCGTGTCGAGGAAGCCCGTGATGTTATGTGCAAGCTTTACGGCGTTGGGCCCAACCACCGGTGTATCGCACAGGAGATGAAGGATATGAAGGACAAGCTCGACGAAGAGAAGGCTGCCGGACAGGCTGGCCTCTTCGAGGTCTTCACTGGCCCCCGTATGTTTTATCGTGTCATGCTTGGAATTGTTCTGCAGTCCCTGCAGCAGCTCACTGGAGCCAACTTCCTCTTCTACTACGGTAACACGGTCTTCAACTCTACTGGTCTGGACAATAGCTACGTAACCCAAATTATTCTGGGTGCTGTCAACTTCGGCATGACTCTTCCTGGTCTTTATGTTGTGGAGCACTATGGTCGTCGTAACAGTCTGATGGTCGGTGCCGGCTGGATGTTCATCTGCTTCATGATCTGGGCCTCTATCGGTCACTTCGCCCTGGATTTGGAGAACCCTCCCAACACTCCCAAGTCCGGTACTGCCATGATTGTCTTCACCTGCTTCTTCATCGTCGGTTTCGCCACCACCTGGGGTCCTATTGTGTGGGCTATCTGTGGTGAGATGTATCCTGCCCGCTACCGTGCCGTCTGCATTGGTCTTGCCACCGCCGCCAACTGGACCTGGAACTTCTTGATCTCCTTCTTCACCCCATTCATCTCCAGCGCCATCGACTTTGCCTACGGCTACGTCTTCGCAGGCTGCTGTTTGGCCGCCGTCTTTATCGTCTTCTTCTTCGTCAACGAGACCCAGGGTCGTACCTTGGAAGAAGTCGACACCATGTACGTCCTCCATGTCAAGCCCTGGAAGAGTTCCAGCTGGGTGCCCCCGGAGGGCATCGTCCGCGATCTCCACGGACCTCCCGCTTCTCCCAAGCAGGAGGGCCAGGCCGAGCACAGCGAGCCTGCTACTGAGATCCGCGAGTAAACGGTATCACGTCTGAATCAGATACGGCTGTCTACGCATTGATACAACGCTATTGTGTCCCCCCGTCCCCTGTACCCTTTTAATGTTTGTTGTTTTGGGCGCAACTATTCTCCTTTTGATATACCGATGTGAATGCATGCATGCATGAGTACATATGTTGAGGGGCCATGACTATGGCATGATTTGGATCTAAGGAACCTTTTACCGGCGTTTTGGGTGGGTAAATCAGCAAAGCAAAACACTACGAGCTTATGCAGTTAAAGAGAAATAAAAATAATATATACTATGAATAGAATATCCTGGCCTTCTTCCTGTAAAGGATAAGATCAAGTGAAAAAGACCACATGGTGTAAGAGACCAACGTCCTTGACAAACGATGCTTAAGTGTATGGTGGTTTAGTATGTATATCGTGAGGTCAGTTGGCCAGTTGGTACCTTGATGTACCAAGAAGATGCCCATATTTAAAAGCACTAAATATAGCAGACTGCTAAGGAGTGCTCAAGATGGCAAGTAAATCAAAACAAGAATAATCAAATTTTCTTTCTATCTTCGTCCTCATGTTCATCAGAATATTCAAATCAATCAAGCCGATAAATGGTGATTCGGTTGGGCCTGAACAACCTCAGGTATTTACGCAGCAGTATAATTCATCCAGAGACCATCGACTGCAACAAACAATCAAACATATGAAATAACCCCCGACGCCCTGTTTTTTGACACCCAGTTCATGACATATAGAAGATGAGATATATTAAAGGGTGGCGAAACTGTCTCACCGTGCACTCCACACTCGAAGACAAAGCCTTTACCGACGTTGAGTCTTGCCGATGGTACGTTTGCCAGTGTACTAGGGGACGAAAAGTTAGCATACGTAAAAACAGGTGGAAAGGGTGGTAAGATGACATACCAAGTGCTTGGGCAGAGATGCAGTAGTGTGGCGATCAGCTTCTCCCTGTCTTGCCATCCGGTTCATCTTCTTCTGACCCAGCTTGGATAGACGCTCGGCCTTGCTGCGTGCCGTATCACTGGTAACACCGTCTAGTAGACGGTTGGTTGCTGCTTGGCTGCGAGCACGGCCCTTGGCCTTGGCAATAGCCTGGCGAGGATCGGACATGTCGACATCCATGGCATCATCGCCATCAGCGTCGCGAGTACTGGCACGCCCGCGGGCTTGGCTCTTGGAGCGGGCACGAGACGAGGCAGCATCGACATCGTAGCCGGCCTCTTCGAGAGCGTTCTCCATCTGCGACAGTGTCTTGGCCTTGGCGCTGCGAGGGATAGCAGCGCGGTTCTTCAGAGACTTGCGCATCTTAGCCTCGTTGCGCATCAAAGCCCGCTTTTCGCGAATGAGGTCTGCCTTCATGCGGGTGTCTGCATCTTCAGCATCTTCAACGCTCTCATCAGAATCATAATAACCGTCGGCTTCCAGTTTCTCTTCCTCCTCCTCCAAAGTAGCCAATTTCGCCTCAATATCGGGATCTACGAAATCGTAAACGTTCTTGCCGTTCCACACTTCAGGAATCTTATCGTGCTTCCATTCATCGTCGGCCAAGTCGTAGGTCTTCTTGAGATCAATGTTGTAGACACCAGCACCACCATTCTCCTCCTCGATGTCCCTCTCCAACCTTTTCCGGTTGGGATCGTCCTTGTCATACTTCTGGAGTGACTTGACGGCCTCAGGAATGAAGGTTTCACGCTGGACACCACCCATGGGCTTTGCAACATGGATACGGGCCAGGACGTCACCTAGTCGTCCACCAGGGGTACCGGAGCTGTTTGTTCCAGACTTAAGTTTCTGCGCCACTCTCTCGGCCAGGAGCTTATCGCAAGCGGCGTTCTTCACGTTAGTCACGCCTTCAGTAGTAGTGCAAGACAACTGCAGCATTTCCACATCTCCAGACTTGAGAATTGTTTGGAGCTCCTGCTGGTACTCGGGCTCCAAATCCTCGGGGCGCCTGACATCAATCTTGTTGACTACAAGGAAGACAATCTTGTTGGCGAACAGCGGGCGGATGCTGTGGAACAGCTTGATTTGGTCGGCGACGGAGTAGCCGCACTGCTCGGAGAGATCCATAAAGTACATGACCGCGGACCGGAGATGGGCGATGGCGGTAATGGATTGCATCTCGATCGTGTTCATCTCCTCCAGGGGATGGTCTAGGATTCCGGGGGTATCAATGGCCTGGAATCGCAAGTACTTGTAGTCAAAATGACCGACGAACAAACTCTTAGTCGTGAAAGCATATGGTTGAACGTCGACATCAGCACGTGTGATGCTGCGCAAAAAGCTGGACTTTCCGACGTTGGGGTACCCGCAAATTAGAAGAGTCCGGGTGTTGGGGTCGATAGACGGCAAACGGCCCAAATGCTGACGGACCTGCTCCAGGTAGACCAGGGGGTCTTTGAGGCGTCGGCAAATGGTGGCCATCCGACCGAGGGCCGCGCGCTTAAGCTGCTTGCACTGGAACAGAGACTGGGCGTATTTGATGAGACGGACATAATCGCGGGAGACGGTTTCGATCAGATGTTTAGCGGTAGAAACCTGACCCAGAGCGATTCTGAAGTGGTCGGCATCGTAAAGTGTGTTCATCAAATCCTTGTCTAGTGTCTGTTAGAACGTCGCACCAAGAAATAGCTGATATTCAGGTGAATGAACATACGGAAAGGATGAATATCCTGCAATCTGGGGAATCCGTCCAAGATAGCTTGGAACTTCTCGCAGAATGTCTCTTGAGTATATTTGACCTTTCGGGTATAGAAGCCTAACCAGCGGGGGCAAAAATTCGTATCAGTAAAAATCCGAAATTTTTCGTTTCGCTATTTCGGATCACATAACGGATGTTCCGACGTTGGCCTCCGGGGAAATTTCTATAATACCTCTGATACGACTGATATTGAAACCGGCACGAATCTGAGTCGGCAATTGTCTCTGCGTACGGCTGAGGACAATATCCAAAAACTCCTGGTGCGTGGGCACAGGGGCGATCTGGTTCAGCGGTGAAAAAAAGAATCTCATTAGTTTGAACTGTTCTAGAGGCCGGTGGCAGCATTTCAAGCGCAACAAAAAAGACTTACATCCTTCCAAGTGGTCTTCATGATGGGCAATCTGAGAAGTACTGAAGAAGACTCTCAAGAATATCCCCAAAGGTGATGTGATAAGATTTTGAGTGAACGAAAAAGGAAAAAAAAAATATTCCGGGCGGTCGGCGCAAAGTTTTGGCGGGCGGTGAAGAATCGTAATGTGGGGAACAGTTTTCCCTCCTTTGGCGAGACTTATTTACTACTATTATTATTCTTATACCATCACTACTGCTGCGCCTATTACTCATTCTAGATTATCTTACTTGACTCCTCATTTGATCTGATCTGCTCTCTATCATGATCATGTACATTGAACTACCGCGGGACTATGATACACAAATATTCCTGCCCTGACCTGAAACTAACCGCCTATTCATGGTCATCATCAGCATGGGGTATCTGTCCCAGAACCATCGTAGCCCAGACAAACTCCGTTGCTTTTCTCTTGAACCCACCATGTAAAGACCAAACCCAGTGTTTCAACATAACATGCGTCAAATGTCGCGTGGGAATTGTGAGGAAATGACAAAAGGGGAAAATAAGAAAGAATAATGAAAAGGAAAGAAAAGAAGTCATAGAAAGGAAGATACGCGAGGTAAGAGGAAAAGGCGCAGATTTCTTCGCAGCCGTTAAGAACATTCTATAGAATTTCACTCTGCGATGAAATCCAACACCTAGAATCGGTCAGCTACAAGCTGCAGGGACGGAAGTGACTTCACTCACCAGATTTGTCCAACCGCCGCTGCCAAACTTACACTTGCTGGGACCACGGTTTTCGAATCCAAACGATTCATAAAATGGCACCAGATGATCGTGGGCGATGAGAGAAAGGCGTTCGGCAATCTGGGCTTCCCTAATCCTTTGGATGTACGACTTCATCAACGTGCTGGCTACCTGCTTGCCCTGGTGTTCCGGCGAGACAGCCAGAGAGTGGATAGCAATCGTGCCGCCGTATTCATCATGGCCAACAGTCTCTCCGTTTTCCACAGTCATGCGCTCGGTTTCCCAGTTCGCGGGGAGCTGCATAGATTTATCGGTCACAAACGGAGTCGAGGTACGAGTTGCGACGATGTGTCCAACCAACGTCGGGCGAGGCTTTGGCTGGTCCTCTCCTAGAATAGGGAGCGTGAAGAGGCCTAAACAAAGTTCGGGGCATCGGTTCAGGCGATATACAAACTTTGATACAAAGTCAGCCAAGCGACGTTCTCCGCTCATTTTGAGTTTTTTTCTCTTTTCTTTCTTTCTTTCTTCTTTTTTTTTCATAGGGGAAACCATGTCCATACCTTCTCTCGGGTACAACGCTCCTGTTCGGGAAACGCGTTCTCCACATTGACACAGTCGTCCACGTTCGACACGGTCAAAACCTGTACAAAAGGGTGCAACTCGTCCAGCTTCGTGCGTTGATGCACAGGTGGGCGGCGGAACCAATAAGGATATTCGTTGATATCGTCATGGTCAACGGCAACGTAGTCATCTTCGACCTCTTCTTCGTCATCATCATCCATATCCTCCATGGAAATCCCGTTGGCCATTGAAAATTCTCCACGAGCGCTCAGACGTGAGAGGTCATCCCCTGTCGCAGGCAAGGAGAAACCTTCCACATTTGATAACGGCTTGAACCCATTTATGGGCTGGTCCGTAGCAGACTTATCAGCGGTATAGTCGGACATGATCTGTCGATTTTCACGAGGTCGCAAAGCCGGTAGGGGTATCCTTAGAAGTCCGAAGGGTAAATCGGAAGAAAATTAGCAAATGCGAAAGTAGGAAAAAATGTATTGAGAGAGTGTGCGTAAAAAGTCAAAAAGTTCCAGGCAGACAGGGATTACTGAAAGCGCAGGATTGTGGAAGGGATTAGCTGGAGGGGACCCTAGGAAGGATGAAAAAGAGTCGAATCGAGGGGCGTGAATCCTCGGAAAATGGTGGGGATCGAAAATTAGCTCTGATGCGGACGGGCGATAAGACTCGGGTTGCAGTTCCAGAAGCTTAGGGCCGGATCGCAAGACGCAAGCCACTAGTTGGGACCTGAATGAAGGAGGTTGTGTTAAATTAGGAACCGGAAGGTGTTGCCAGCCAGGACTTCTAGAATGCACGCAAGGGAATGTGAGTGGATTGTCGTGTGCCAAAGGATGGAGACTTACTTTTTGTCTAAGAGGCGTTTGGTTGCCACTCACACTGAGGCAAATGAAGGACCACAAGTGGAAGTGTTCCCCAGGGACTGTGTGATTGGTTATTTCTCTTCACTGGGTTTTGATAACTGGGACAAATTTTTTCCTCTTCTTTTTCTTTTTCTTTTATTATATTATATTATTTTTTTTGGACCTTTCTCTTGGAGCGAAAGAGAACCAAAAAATGGGGGGATGGGATAGTCAAAAGATAAAGGAAGACCAAAATGAACGCTGAAAGGAATATGGATGCTCCTGAAGGATCTGATACACATACTGTACACTTACAGACCTTGAAGATTTAAAGATCGACCTCCCCCCTGCAGGTCGTCCGTGATTCCAGTACTAAAATTGAGATTATTTGATCTTATCCCCAGGAACTTAATTTATTCCTCTCCTCCGGTGAAGTAAGATTGCCGAATCCAAGCGCGCGGGGTATTCATTTAGTTCTTTAATCGTGCCACCGATAATGCAAGTCATTCTGTAATCGATGTATTTTAACTAGGCGTAACATTGACGGGTGGGTAAGTCGGGGCATGATATGGAGAATTTGATCGTTTCTGCCCCGTACCTGGATTAAACGGGTCCGGGAGGTTCTTACTAGTCCGTAATATAAATGTGATACGATATGGTCTTTTTGTCACACTATGCTTCAAACAAGGACATGTAACACGTGCTGTAACATTGGAGGCGAGCAAGGATCATGTGAGGGGCCGCCCATCACGATATTTACTTTGATGTACAAGACAACTGAACCTACCTCCAATGCCTCAAGACTCTAGTAACTAAGTTACACAAGATGCTCAAATGTCTACTCTACTACCTCACAACTGATAGGTGATAATCTGCGTTCTCGGAGATATGTCCGTGTCTCATATCATGACACCATACTGGCTGCTTGTTGATTGGTCTCTCCACACCTAAATACATGCAGTGGTGGCCAGCTGAACATGTGAGGGGTTCTTTGGAACACACATCATCCTGTTTAGTCCGTATTTACTCCTTTACAAACTAGACAAGCATAAACCAGCTACTCGCAACTATGACTGACGCGTTTCCTGTCAACAATGGTATGACTTCATTCTGGCGCACCGAGCCCCATTACCTCGATAGCCATCGCTCAACAGAGACATTGCCCGATACAAGTGACGTTGTTGTCATTGGAGCTGGATATGCAGGCGTATCGACTGCCTACCACTGTATGCGTCTCAGTCAATCCTCTCCAACTGAGAAACCTTCGATTGTAATCTTGGAAGCCCGCCAGGCCTGCTCTGGGGCTACGGGTCGCAATGGTAAGAAGCAACAGCCAAGACTTTACATGTACATAATTTCCAAGGGGCTGACTATGACTCCTCATCTCCCTAGGTGGGCATCTGAAACCTGATGTATACTACCAGATTAGTAGCTTGGCAGGTGAATATGGGGTGGAGGCAGCAGAAGAAGTGGCTGCTTTTGAGTTGGCTCATTTCTCAGCGGTCCGGTCTTGTGTAGAAGAGGAAAAGATCGATTGTGACCTAGACTTCAACAACGTCATTGATGTGCAATTTGATGATCGCCATTGTGCCAAAATCAAGGCGGGATACGAGTCTCTTCTTTCCCAAGGCGCTGTTACACCAAAACAGGCTGATTTTTATCCGAAAGAGGCGGCAGAAGCTGTGAGTACTGCTCTAGCCCTTGCAGATTGCTCTCCATTCTCACCGCTTACATAGGTGTCTGGCGTGAAAAATGCCTGCGGTTGCTTCTGCTCTCGCACAGGGCGATTTTGGCCGTATAAGTTCATTACACAGCTATTAGAGCGAGCTATCGCGGCTGGCGTCAATCTCCAGACACACACACCCGTACTTGGGATATCTGAAACTCCTGATGCCAATGGGCGATGGAATGTTGATACTAGTCGTGGTTCTATTGGAGCAAAATATGTTATTTTTTGCAGTAATGCATATACGTCTGCCATCGCGCCCGAATACAAAGGCAAGATTGTTCCCGTACGAGGAGTCTGTAGTCGAATTGTGGTACCCTACCCACCGAAAGACCCACTGGATTGCTCTTACACGTTCAGCTTCAATGCTTGGGATTATGACTACCTAATCCCCCGACCGGATGGCAGCATTGTCGTTGGTGGAGGAAAGTCTACGTTCTTTCATGACTCCAATGAGTGGTACAATAACACGGATGACAGCAAGTTGATACAGTCAGCTGCCCGCTACTTTGACAATTACATGCAACGACACTTCCACGGCTGGGAGGACACAGGGGCATATACGGACCGAGTTTGGACGGGAAGTGCGTCTCCGAACATATTCGTTCTGTGATTTTGTAGAATGGCTAATACTGACTCTTCGTACCTAGTAATGGGTTACAGCACCGACTCCCTGCCGCATGTCGGACAGATCCCCAACAAGCCTCGCCAGTTGATAATTGCTGGCTTCAACGGTCATGGTATGCCACAGGTCTTCCTTTCAGCACGCGCAATTGCACAAATGGTTATCAGTGGAGCTACGTACGAGCAGACGAATTTACCACGGCTGTTCAGGACAACACAAGAACGGCTAGAGAGCCAAGAGAACCACATCTTGGAACACATGAAATCTGTCTGAAGAAGAAGAAGAAGAAGAAGCAATCGATTACGTACATGAATGGGGCTTTAATTGAATCTACATGCTGCAAGGTTCCAAGTCTGCTATCCAATGTTGAGGTTTCCATATGGCTATACACTCATCTTCGGTCAGCGTTACTCTCTGCCGACCAACCTGAGTGACTATAATCAATGAACCAGGATTCAGACATTCCTCCAGAGTACAATGAATGTATACTTCCAGTGAGAAGAAACCCACTGCTATGAGTTGTTCACTGTGGAGCTGTTTTTTATCAATCTCCGAACAGCGGGCGTTATCGGCTCCAATCAGAAGCCGAGAACGGAATGCGTCATTATCCGCATCGTCTCATTTTTGTTTTCTTCTTCGAAGGACTCCCCCTCACTCCCCTTTGCTTTCCTCCTGCTGAGCGATCTCTTTTCTTAAGTCTCCTCCTTCACTACCTCCTATGTATTCATTCTCGAAATCGGGGTTTTTCACACTTGACGGAAATGAAACATGAGTTCTAGGGCACTGACTTGGCCGCGGACTGCGAAGTCCTCCCTACTGAGAGTGAGCATCGAACTCCCCCTCTCCTTCTCTCTTTGCCATTAATCTCTGATTGACCTCTTCGACCCGTAGCAGCAACAAGCTTCTCCCTTCGGTGGTCAGCCAACCCTAGGAGCTTCCCCTCACCGGTCCTTTTCCTCCTCCGCCTATCGGCCGATCAACCAAAGTGCCGAGTTTTCATCGAGTAGCAAAAGCTATGACCGACTAGGTCGTCGGGCCAAGGAAAAGTTATTGGATCGTGTATGATGGTCGCCCAATACCAATACATACAGGATATGCTCACTGACCACTTCAATGGTATATACGACTATAGGAATTTTTCCTCAGCCTGCTGAACTCCGCATCTACTAAACGAGAGGCCAAATCGTATCTGGCTCGCCTAAAAGCACAACACTCCCCGAAAGCGGAGGAGAAGCCGACTCCTCATAATTCGAAAGATATAGTTACACAATCCTTACCATCGGGTGTCAATCTGGGAACTTTCTATGGAGCCTCGAGGTCTGTCTATGATAGCCCGGTCTTCAGGCATGACTCAACGCCTCCCCCGCCACCCTTGAACCTCCCAGAGGAACGACTTCATTTATCCCTGATTAAACTCAGGACACCGCAGCTACTTGATGACTCTATAATTGATGGAGTGGCTAAAACCTTGTCCCAGCTTAATCGCCTAGGGATGGCTTGCTGTGTTGTGGTTGACCCAGGAACTGTGGACAATGCGAATGCCTTACGTAGGGTCGCTGCAGAACAAGCCGAACGTATCTCAATGGCAGTAGATGCACAGCCAGACTCAAAGTGTGCTCATTTGGACTCAGTCCTGTCCTTGTCTCCGGCGCATCCAGAATCTCCCGCTGTCCTGTCCAGAAAGGCTCTCCTCAACCCGCTACGCGACGGCCAGATTGTGATACTTGCGCCCATCGCCTACACAGAAGATGTTCCGAAGGCTGTCACTATATCTGCAAATGACGCCATTCTAGCTCTTACGAAAGAGCTTGCAGGCCTAGCGATACGTCCTGACCCCGATGAAGACCCTTGGCTCACAGCCCAGAAAGTCGCGAAGCTGCAGAAAGAGGTCTCGCTGGATCGAGTGATTCTACTGGACCCTATTGGAGGAATTCCTTCCTTCCGAGGACCGCAGACATCCCACGTTTTCATCAACATGGAGCAAGAATTTGATGATATCAAGAATGAGTTGCTTCACGTGCAGTCTGGAGAAGCTTATAGGGCAACCGCACCCAAACCGGACGATAATTCCCTTAATGGTCATTTTGAGGGCCATGTGGACAATCTACAGCTGTCCCAGAAGGCGCTTGCCATGCTCCCATCGACGTCCTCCGGGATTATTACCTCTCCATTAGAAGTCTCCAATTCAGCTAGGACACCCCAGGCTAACCCCTCAGATGTATCTGCAGTGGGGACTCGACGACAGCGAAACCCACTCATTCATAACCTACTCACGGACAAGCCATTGCTTTCTTCGTCGCTTCCTGTGAGCAGACGGGAGGCGATGAACCGCAGACGAGGCTCTATCAATGCGCCCAGCTCTCACACGACTTTTGTCAAGCGGGGCATGCCTCTCACAATGATTCCTAATCCACGAGTTGAGGTGTGGACGGCGCAGAATAGGCCACGGCTAAAGCTGGATGATCCAAGCATCGACCTGCCGCGACTAGTCCATCTGATCGAAGACTCATTCAACCGCAAACTGGATGTGCAAGACTATCTCGATCGAGTTAACGATCGCTTGGCGGGACTCATCATTGCGGGAGAGTACGAAGGTGGCGCTATTCTGACCTGGGAGCTGCCCCCGGGCGTTGAAGACGATAGCAGCGCGGCCAGTGAAGCTCGGATGGTTCCGTACCTAGACAAGTTTGCCGTCTTGAAACGCAGTCAGGGTGCCGGTGGCGTGGCCGATATTGTGTTCAATGCTATGGTCCGCTCCTGCTTCCCCAATGGAGTGTGCTGGCGCAGTCGCAAGGACAATCCGGTGAACAAATGGTACTTTGAGCGATCTACGGGGACGTGGAAGCTATCTGACACCAACTGGACAATGTTCTGGACAACTCCAGGATTGGCGGAGAATTCACAAAAGTTCAATGATTATGAGCAAGTGTGTCGAAGCATCCAGCCCAGCTGGGCGGATGACACAGGAGTTGTGGATTGAGGAACGTATGAGCCTTTCAGGCTTTTTTTGTGATTTATTTGGGAAATGGTAGTAGTACATAATGTCATGAATGTATATAGATCGCGCTAGTGATTTGGAAGTATAAATCCCATAGACAGTTACATACATCCACTCTCACCGCCTTCGGTCTATCCTCCAAACTGCCGTTGCGATTCTCCCTTCTTATCTCTGCCGAGGAACTATGCATTTCCAGGATGACTAGGAGTCAATGACATGATGCCCATCTGCATCGAGTGCTCGTACCCTGTGTCGCATTTGTACAGCACTTACAGTCGTGCCGATGATCGGTCGTTAGGCAAAGGTGTGCGTCTGACACAATGTCCACGCTGCCAGCGATTCGCGGATAAGTATGTGGAATATGATTTCGTCGTGATCTTCATTGATCTCGTCTTGATCAAGCCGCAGGTATGCACATTGGGGCGACACTTTGGCTGCGGACACTATGCTGATCATGAAAGGTCTATCGCCATCTCCTTTTTAACAGACTGGGGGGGGGCAACAACCAATTTGATGTACGATATCTCTTTCTCACTCTCACTTTCCTTTAAAATGCCCGCTTTACCGTATTGACTGATTTCGTGTTCTCTAGCGTTCCATCATTCGTTTAGGAGTCCTTCTCCTTTTGTTTGACGTCTATCTAACCTGGACACGCATTGAGAAGTCCCCGTCATTGGCCACCACCTTCCTCTCTCGCGCGCCTATTGTTGTACAATACTTCTTTTTCCTGGGTCTAAATGCGCTTGCGACTCTTGCTCATCATGTCACTATCCGCCTCCTAGCTTCCATTCTTGCCCCAACGCCTCGCGGCTTGAAGCAAAGTGGCAGCAACTCGACTACTAGCACAACAGACAGCCTCCTCTCTACCCCCTCCACTCCTGTACATCCCTCTCCTCCATCGCGAGGCACATATGCACAGTCGCAACTATCTCCCACAATAGCCACCATGTTGAGCCCGCCCAGGCTCAGTCGGCAAGGCTCTTATGAAATATCATCCTCGAGTGGGAACTTCTCGACCGCAAACAATTGTGGAAGTGATAACTCTATCATTCCTCCTGCTCCCCATAGCTCAATTCCACCGCCGCCTTTGCGCCGTGCCTCTACAGCCCCAATCCAAAGCATCCAGCCTCTACCTCCTCCGTCCCCCGCCAGCCCTACCGCCATCAGCACGGCTCTCCTCGTCAGCAGCTGTGCCAAACTCTTCCCGATACTCCTCGTCATCTGGGGCCCAGACGGCAGCGGCGGCGTATCTGAGACGCCGGCCAGCAGCAGCGCAGGAATAAGCCGAGTAACACCGGCCAACCTCTCACAGCACGCATTGAACTGTATAACCCCCGCGGCGACCACTACAGCAAGCTCAACAGGCATGGCGGGACTCCCATCAGCGAGTTCGTCCACTCTTCTAGAAAGCTTGATCCAGATGATGCCGCAGTCGGCACCTACCAATTACCTGGCGAATCTTATTGAGCTGACAGGTTCGCTTTTCTCGTTGGGAGCAGCGGATACACATCTAGTTCTTCTGAGCAACATCGAATCCCTGTATATCCTCTTGGGATGCGGGTACCTCCGCGCCGTGACACTGGCAGTTGCCGGGCTGATGGCTCGGTGGACAATTCAAAGGGTCATCCTAGGAGCAATAGGAGTCGACTAATATACGACGGATACGTACTAGAGATAGGAAAAAAGAGAAAGAAAATGAAATGAACCTTCATACTTCCCATGAGAATTTATGAATCACCGCTGAGAAAACGTCAATGCAGAAACCAATAAAGTAGTATCAAGCATACACATAATACCTATACAGATACCCTCAACCCATGTGTCCCTTTCCACCTTTTTCTATCCTAATCCAATCTAACACCCTCCCCAAAACCACAAGAGAATCACTGCGGTACCCGATCAGGTCTAATATCCGATCTCTTCGGCGAAATAAGCGGATGCCACTGCGCCAAAAACGTAATCGCTGCACCACAGAGCTAATTAGCACGACCATTCACTCTTCACCCCGGGAGGAGAATGAACAAGAAAAGAACATACCCCACATCAGATAACAAGACGCAAACGACAAAATAAGCGTACTCCGCCAGAGCCTAGCACGAAACCGTTAATGTCCCGATCCCACATAATGCACAAGGGCCGGGGGGGGGGGGGGGGGGGGGGGTAAGGAAATGTACGTTTGATTATCGCCCTTGGGGCTGAAGATCCACGCTACCACGGATGCAATAACGATGATGATTAAACCGATGATCAGACTCCAGCTTTAGTTTATTGTTAGTCTTCTTTTGTTGAATGGTGTGAGGAGGGTATAAAGGGTGAGTATAGATGGACGTACCCGGACGCCATTTTGGTTCCTAGGTTTATATGAGTCGAAATGGATACGTCGCTAGGTAGGATGTCAATGCACTCGGACACAGGGACCAGCCGGTGTGTCTTTGGTTTTTGCTTGGTTCTTGGTTCGGATTGAGAATGTGATGGGTGTGTTTTGGATCCGCTCGCGACGTAAAGGTATCGCTAGTATCTCCACGGCGTTTGCGGGAGGACGGGGTCGTTTGGCTTTCAGGTAAGTCGGGCTTGGCGCGGATTGAGAAGCGTGATTGTCGTTGAGTTGGGGAGAATGTAGCGGGTAGTGGGAGGATTGTTGTCTGTTGGACTCCGCGGGATAAAGGTATGGGATGTTGGAGCTCTAGGCTGGGGAGCTTATGGGCGGTGTTTCGGGGGGCCTGAGGCAGTGTGCGTGGGTGGGTGGTAGGCGGTGATAGGTTGCAGAATGCACCCAAGGGTGTCTTGCGCAATATTATATATGACCTGGAAGCAGGTTTACTGGCATTTTCGACCGAGAGTTGGTGTAGCCGTTGAATTTCCTTTCTATTCACAGTTTCACTGAAGACCATTTATGCCTTCATTGAAAGGCAAAGGTCAAGTGAAAGGCGTGAATTACGGTCTACTAACCAACTTTACGCATCAATGGAGTCATCACTAACCCTACATCTCCATAAATTGGGGAAGACAAAACATCTTTACAGTGCATTAGGGGTAGTTCACAACGCATTCCGACGGTTAAAGAAAACTGGTCAGCAACAGAACGTAACGAAATAAAAGAGGATCGATTCAGGAGATTGTTCTAAGCCCCCTCACGGCTCTTGCGGTAGCTAGCCTGCAATCCAAGTTAATCAAACGCACCACTAAAAAGATGTGGCAGATCATACCTCTTGTTCGACCTGCAAACCGTCAACCACAGGAGCCAGCTCGCTGAGGATTTCATATGCCCGCTTGTGGAACTCAAGCTGGGCGGCAATCAAGTCCGCCAAGTTTCTGAGGGGCTCAGGAGTGTCCAGGACCTTGGTAGATGGTTAGCCAACATTACCTCGCACCATAAGCGGATCCGGCAACTTACATTCTTCATAACGCTTACAGCCTCCTCGGTCTGTCCGACGAATTCATCCTCGGCCTGCTCGATCTCGGCACGGGCTTCCTCGCTCAGGTTATCCAGATCACCCCTAGCGGCCGCCTTCTTGCTGGCCTTGACTGAGTCCAGCATAAGACGGGCGTTCTCGACGTTTCTGCGCGCCTTGGCCGCAAACATTAAGTTTGTGTTGAGGGTCGTGTTCCAACCAGCGAGAAAGCGCGACTGGATCTGCGCATCCTGCGACAAACGGGCCTCGCCTACTTTCTCCGAGGCCAGCGCATACTTCTCCAAAGCAGTAGCCAGAGGATCCTCATTGTTAGAGTTCTGCGCCAGAGTCTGGGATCCGGACAGAGAGGCGCGAGCAATAGCATGGTTGAACGTCTTCGGCTGGGGCTTGGCTGAAGGAGGGGCAGTCAGGGCGGCCTGTGCCTCCGCGGGGGAGGAGGCTTGGGACAAGAGCTGGACCTTTTCACTGATAGTCCGGCTCATGTCGTTGAATGACTCGCGGATGTTGGGTGGGTAGTCGTAGGCCTCGTTAGAGTACTGGGAACTGTATGAAACCGATGAGCGATCATGTGGGAACAAGCATGTCTGCTCGTGGACTGTAGAGCCTATCACGTACGTCACCTGAAGGAGCTTCTGATGGACCAACTTGAGAGCGTCCACGCGCTTCTCAAGCTCAAGGTATTCATCTGGAAGTTGAGTCTTGTCATCTGCTTGACCTAGCTGTTCCTTGATCATCTGCTGCGTGCGCGCAGCAAAGGGCGAAAAGCTCGCACTACCCGCAAAAGTAATATAAGATTAGAAACATGTCAGCAAAGAGAACCTTGGACGGTTAGGGCTATTACTAGAAAAAAGGATAACAGAGGGATTGGTTGGGTGTAGAAGAATAGCAGCCTCGGAAGTCATTTCATCTCACCTCAGGTTCTTTCCGAACGCCTGAAACTTGTCCATACTGCAGATTAAGACAATCCGACGGGAAAAGATGATATTGGGGAAGAAAGACGCAGGAGGAATAGATTAGACCTTAGGCAGAAAGCGAGGTTTTTGTTTGGTTTTACGAATGGTGGCAGATCGCGCGGAGTCGAGGCCACATGTAAGCTCACCGCCTTAGATTAATTCTAGCGCACTGCCACGTTTTAGAATAGATTACATTGGCAACTAAGTGTATGTGGACTAACGATGTTATATGTATGCCATTCTGGTAACGCAGCACGTCCCCGAAACTGACCTGCACCCGGAAAAAAATGACAACAACAAAAAAAAAAATAAAAATAAAATAAAAATAAAAAGGAAAGGTAAAAAACGGAAGAGACATGAAAAGAAAAGGCACACACATATAGGTCATTATTATCATCAAGTACCATACCCAAAAGCCAAGGAATATCCTGAGAACCCCTGAACACCCCTAAATCATAACCAAATTGGCATTGTATCATACAGAGGAATCATTGTTGAACGTCTAAATCAATGAATCGTAACGCATGATAATTATCGATAAGTCATCATGAAAAAGTGTAGCGGATCGATTAGGTCAGGGTTGCCATCATCGCACGGAGGATCCGAGGATTGGGACCTAGAGCCGGACCACTCAGAATTCAACTCTATGCTTTCTTGAGACAAGACACAAACGTACCTTTGCGATCTCTTTTCGTCTCAATAACCTCTTCGTAATCGCCATCGGTTAGGAGCTCCGTTCTCCGAGCGACCTCACCGCTTCTTCGTCCCAGGGGCGAATATTGGCGGATTTCCTCATCACTGTCTCGAGGGCGGACCACAATGAGTTGGCCCGCGTGAGCGCTGCTGGACTCACCGTAGGGCTCGACCATGCGCACCGGTGAGGATAGACCACGGCGGCGACCGTGGACCGAAATCGACCGCGTACGGGAGACAGCTCTCGTCACTTTCCGCTCCGAGAGGTCGTATTGGCGCGTTCGTGACCGGTGCCGTGAGGGCGATGGCTCAACAATCAGGGTGTTGTAACTTGTCCTGGGTGAATAGGCCTCCATGGCGACTCGCTCCACTGTTCTGTCTTTTGTCTTTTCCCGTACAGGGGACGGCGAAGTGTGTATGATCCGAGCTAGGAGACGGTTAGTTTATATGATTTCTAGATCATGGGCACGTGGTCACTTGCTTTCGGTCCGGCGCTTGATCGTGCGACTTCGACTGATCACTTCGTCGATTTGGTCCTTGGAAAGTGCAAGCTGAATAATGACCATGTCACCCTGTCGCGAGTCAGTCAACGTCGAAGTGGATGCTCCACATCTGCTCCACCCTGGGACACGTACTTCTTCCTCATAAGGGTATCCAAGCTCATGAATTGCATGGGTATGAATTAACTTTCGGGGCACCCTGGTCTTGCCTTTACGAGGGTACGGTTTTTCGATTTCCACCTTCTCTTCAACTACCCGCTCGCGAAAACGACTGCCTGAGCGACGCGGATGCGCTGAAGCGCGGCCCCGCTCCCGGAAACCGCGATATTCCTCGTCACCGTAATAGTCAGGTTCCGCGATGCGGATCTCCTCGTAGTAGTCTGGTTCGCGGGAACGACGAAAGGACCGCCTTCGCGCAGGAGGTGGGCTGGGTGCCGCCTTGGGTGCGGCGGGGCGATAATAATATTCATCGAGTTTGCGCGAGGGGATCCGGTCGAAGGTATCTAAGGAAGACTGCCGTCGAAGTAGACGAGGACGGGGAGGAGGGCTGTCGGCGCGACGGTCATAGGCCACCAGCGGTCCCGACGGGTGGATGAGATGATCATCCTCGTACTGCCTACCCGGCCGGCGTGCAGGAGGACCATATCGGTCATGTTCCTGTAGGCGATGCTCGAAACGGTCTTCCTCTACCCGCCGGGGTCGGTCAAGAACTGGCGGGCGAGAATGATGGCGTCCCCGTCGCTCACGAGCAAAACGGTCGGGATCCCAGCGGTCAGGCTCTGTCTCCAGCACTCCAGTAGAGCGGCGAAATTCGTCGTAACGAGACATGTGCCAGGAATTATTAGGGGGTCCTATGATCAGGGGTGTATAGAAGAAGCGGTGTTGACAGTACGTAAGGTGACCTTTTGAGTGAATGCGAACCGTGGGTGACGACAGCGGCTGACACTGCGGGCCGCCGATGGCTGATGGCAGATGGCGGGGGGACTAATCAATGGAATGTAAGAGGAACCGTGGATAAGGATTAACGAAATAAGTCGGGAAAAGTAAGACTTGTGGAGACGACGATTCTTGAAAGGTGCACTGGAACTTGAAGAACGAGGGGGATTAGAGGGTTGCGAAGGAGGGTATAAATGATGGTTGCGAAAAGATATTACACAGGTTTTTTTAAATTTTTTTTTTTTAATAAAAAACCGCTGCCTGAGCAAATAATGTATGTAGTATTTTGGATAAATGACGTCCGAGGCGTCCAGTCTGTGGAGATACAGACACCGTACACTTCTAATACCGTATTCTTCCCCTCGTCCTATGGTGAAAGTCATGATTTCCAGTATGCACCCGGTCCCCGGTTATTCTTAGCCATTCGCCACGATGCTTCGCCTTCTTTACTCGTTGAGATGCTCCTGCCCAACCGTTGATGGCCAATGGCGACATGCCGTCCATCTTTGAAACCCCTTCAAACGCCAAGATAGCAGCAAAATCCAAAAGAATAAACCAGGGGGCCAGAACCTAATCCTAACTAACTAATCTAGGGTAGCGACCTGTAAGAAGTCGATGTGGCTACCCAATCCAGTGCATGTTCTAGCCTGCCAGTTTCAGCTTGACACTTGCCTGCACGGCTTGGGCATTACATTATCCACCGATGCGCTGTAGGCGAAAAAGCATTAGTCTACACAATCCGCTTGTCCCGACTGGGCGCCTTTGTCTGCTAGAAAAAAAGTGATACTGCTGATGCATATCAGTATGTGGATTCAATTCAGTGGTCCCAAATAGCCATGTCTAGAACGCAAAGTCCTCCATACGGTCGATAAATCCACACTGTAACGGAGAGGCTCCGGTTCCAAGACCTATCCTCCGCTATCCTGCAAGGGGATTGCCGATCCGCTGTCTTAGGTGTCCCTGCGGGTATGTCTATATATATGGTACCATCCCTACAGTTGACAGCTGTCAGGTCTTCCAGACTGGGATAGCAGCAGACAAAAGGCAAAGTTACAAGTGCAAAGCAGCGAATCATGAACAGTTTCATCGTATACGGAGTACTCATCCTAGACCTTCTGCAGGACAATGGCAGTCACGGTGGAGTCTCACGGAACCGTCTAGGGACACCTGCTTCTTCCACAGTAGATGTCTCTCTCAAGAGTCTCGTCAAAGAAACCTGAACTCATGAGAAGCTTACCGTCGTGCCCTGATGATTCCCTCCGAGAAACATACTGAACAACGGACGATATCTCACAAGTGCCATGCCATTTTGGTCACCGCGATGTGGATCAGGAAGGCATCAAACTTTCCGCTAATAGACCACATGCAGGATATTGCGCTACACCCGGTCGTCTATACCCAAGTTCACCATATCGTCCTCCAAGCTCAAAATCCCCATTGCATAGCGCGTATACGGAGGTCTGACTCTAACAAGCCGCCTTTCGATGTTGCCATTAGTCTGACCTTCCGCGGCCGACATCCAAGCTGGCTCCTGATGCCGAGCAGCTTCATTTGGTGGATGATACGGAGGACCACGCCCTTGCTTCGCGGCAACTCTCCATGCGCTCTCACATCCGCTAACTATGGCATCCGACGCTTTCCAACCCGTCAAACGGGATACACTGCGCAGTGTGGTGACAATCCATTCACGCTGTGCGGGGACCGTATATTGTACGGCAGAGAAGAAGATAGGCACGGTGATTTCGATCAGACAAGAGCCTAGGGTGGGGCTCAAACTTCCTGCTTCTAAATTAAACAGTTGTGGGTAGTAAATACCGGCCGCAATCTTTCCAACGGCTTGAGAAAAGTCCGTTGTGGTAGGTGCAGCTACGCCCGCAGCAACCATCATCGCAGGTGGCATAGACGGATGCAATCTGTGCAAAAGCATGCGTCCTGTGTAGTAATAACCCCATATTACTGCAATCGTATGCGTACGGTACTGAAGGGCGGGTCCAAATACAGTCGATATGGGAGGAGCACTATCAGGAGGTAGGGGCCTGAAGTAGGGCCCAAAAGCCTGAGCAAATGTCTCAAAGGCCGCTAGAATTCTCTCCCACTCCTGTTCAGCTTCATTGTATGATAAAGTTTCAAAGGCCTCATCATCTTGTCCGACAGAGCCAGCTTGAGTCGCGGCATGGACAAACGCTAAAGGCACTCGCTTGGATCCACTCGTTGGAACCATACCATACATGGGAGAAGCTTCTGGTTGTGATTCAGGACTACTCTGTGACTGGCGTGGCTCTGGTGATGTTCCCGATACCGACTTTTTCGACCCACCTCCAGACCGCGGACTAGGCCCAGCGCTTTTGGCACCGTGCGCCTGTGCTCCAGCAGGGACACCAGAAAAGGCAGGAGATGTGTTGGACGACGGGTTCGAAGGGGGCCTGGCCCGTGCATCCGGAGGGCCCTTAGCGAAACGGGCCATGAATTTGGAGAGCTCAGGGCCCGGCCTCCAATTTGACCCCGTTGCTGTTGTGGCCATCAATTTTCTTTTCCTATCCCGACGTCCAAAATCGGTCAGTCGGGCAAGTAGGAGCCACAAATGGTCTGCTGAGCCATATATGGCGTCCAATCTACCTAAGCCTGCTCGTGGAGGGCACTGACCCCATTGTGAACAGGGCATACTATTTTATCATGAGCTCACAAAATGTCAATCAAAGGTATGGGGCTCTACTAACAAAATCCCATTACCAGTAAGCATGCTCTGGAAAATGTCTTGCTTGAAATACCACCAATATAGGTCGCACTGAACCCGGAAATTTTCGATATCCTTTCGAGTGAAGTGCCTTTGATACGATCGCCTATCAAAGCCATCGTCAACTTTTCCAAAATCATCGTAGTTGACCCCACGGCCGACAATGGTACCTATGATCTCTTCATCGATACTATTTTCCTTTTCAGCAAAAGGGTCGTCCTCTGAAAATGCGTTACCATAGGAATGACCTCCAGCAAGCGGAAAGCCAAAGCTGCCTATTTCCTGTCGTTGAGCCCATACCCTGCGTCGATGGGAACGAAGATCCCGCGTTATGCTGGCGTAGTCAATCTCACGCACTAGATGAGCTGCTCCTGCAATATGATTGTTCCATTTTGATGGATCGGCCGCCATCACTTCGTAGTATCCTAATATCAGGGCCGCAGCTAAAGTACCGACTTGTTTACGTCTCATGGGGAGGCCTACTGCTACCCCAATTCTTTTCAGGGCGTAGTGATAATGCTTCATGGAAACTGTCGGCATCACTTGCTGCAAGAACGAAATGTGTAAGCTACTAAGCGCAAGGATAGCTTGAAGCAACGCCGGGTGCTCTAACGCCTTGAATGGCAATGTGTACGTCCATAGGCCTTGCTGTGCTGCTGAGACTGGGGCGCCGAACATAGTTGAAGGATCAATGGGGTGGCGCTCAAAGATCGACAGAGAAGGTCCTGTTGAATGAATAAAATGAAGGAATATCCGAGCGGTTTTGGGATTGTTCAAAGGAGAGGAACCAAGAGTGGGACGGTATGAGGCTAATATGTTAGGCTCGTTCAAGTAGGTTGTAAACGAGCGGAGTTGCCGTTCATCTCTATTAGCAGAAGTCATGATGAGACTTAACTGGTTGAAGTTCTGGGCAGAGGTCTGGTCTTCTGGTTCCTCGTCGGACTCAACATCATAGTAGTCATCGTCATCTTCATCCATATATGTCACCTGGGATGGAGATATCGAGGGATGAAACGGTACATATTGATGCAATAGCTGTTCTTCCCGAGAAGCGTTTGTAGTTCGTATCCCAGGGGGGGTTAGTACCTATTGAAGTGTTAACGCAGTGAAGGACAACCACGCAACGCATGCTTTGCTCCTTACCTGGGGTAAACTAGAGGCACTGCTGGAATCCATCGTAGTGTTTGTTAGCAATTGGGCCATGACAGGCAAGTGCGAGGGAGAGTTGCTTTCTTGGTTGTCAGGGATATGGTTTGGAATGGAGGAACAATGCATGTCATGGTGTATGTAGCCTTCTGTTATTTCTGGTTCCATGGTCTGCGATTGTGACGGCACCCATGAGGGGCGCCCAGAAGCTACAGAATATCCTGTAACCGAAGGCACCACAGTCTGCCTCGCGCCCAGGGTATAAGGCATTGGCACAGCATCAGATCGTTGGCTTTCCTGTGGCAGCGGAACACCGGTGGTCGGCGCAGGAACATGTCCCGTACTTGGAACTGGAACCGGTCTAGGGGCCAGAACTGGTTGGTGAGGACCCCCTGATTTCTCATGCGAGGATAAAGGAGCGTCACATCCGCTGGGAAATGCTACTGTCGTTGCACTGAATGCCTGCTGGAGATTCGAAAATCCGGGAATACCCAGAGGGTTCTTGAAGACTAAGCGCTGGGCATATCCTTTGCACTCGCGTTTCGATTTGATGCAATTCTTGCATATGGGCTTCTCTTCCCCGCATTTAATGCGGCGTTGCCGACAGGCTTTAACAATTAGTCATTGGAGTGTATCTTCGAGCAAATCCCGATGAGGAAGCAATCGTACTTAGACATCCTGTTTTGGTACGTCTCTTGGGAGCTTTCTGAGCAGACGCATCATCCGACGCAGCCTTCGCAACGTCTTGTTGAGCGACACCTAAAGTATTAGGATCTGGCGCTGGAGTTGTGGTACTGGCTAACGCTTCCTGCTGGAGTGGCTTGATAGAGTTCGCATTCACCATGGTCGTAGACAGAGCTCAGATGGAGGCTTGATTCCATACTCAAGAAGGAGTCGGGTCTTCAAACAGCCAGGGACAGAAGCACGGCGATCGGGAAAATCCAGCTAGCTTCGGGCCGGGTGCCAATGGAGGAGTGATGGAGAAGTCAGCGTTGAAGTAACTCATGGATCAGAGAATAAAGCCCCCGACTAGTCTAGTTCCAGGAGGGAAAAGGGCCTGAGGCAACGCTCATTGGCCTGAGGTACCGCATAAAGTTTCCCCGATCGACTTCCCAAGGTCGCCTTGACAAGTTGACACAGACTGGAGTTGGGGGTGGTGGCTCTTTTCTTTATTTACCTTTACACCATCTTTGCTACCTTAAACGCCTATGCTTTATAAATACTAGATTTATTACCCTAGTAGCACAAAAATATATGCCGTTCCCGTCTTCAAGGAAGTGTTCAATGCCGTTGCGCTTAAGACAAAGAATTTAAATGCCTCTCACTTGAGCAAATGCTGTCAGCTAGACTTTAGGTTTTAAGCTATAATAAAGATGTCTGTGGGTTCTTAAACAAACATGGGAGAGAATACGATCTACACCGGTAAGATCCACCGTACCTCTACTCCGAACCCTCGGGCAGGGGTGGGCAACGGTAAACCATTAAGGGAAGGATTTTTCTTTAGGTAGTAAGTAGTACTCCATACTGTGTGGCATAACTTTCTATAACTCAGATTAAGGGACAGAGAGGGTATATTGTAAAGGAGGAACAAAAGTAAAAAAAAAATTAATTAAATAAAATAAAAAGCACCTCGTATTTCACTCTGGACGAAGTATGATCAGCCACCTAATCATAGTAAGAAAAAAGCAAAACAAAGGGAGGTGAAGGAAAGACCTTTGTTCTTGTCCTTGTTCAACCTTCAAAAACTCAGATCAGCATGGTCGCCTTGACCGCCTTTCCTGGGGATGGCAGAAAGCAACAACCTGTCAGGAATTTTGATTTTTTGTCTCCGTCCCGCCTTTTACTGCCAGAAATTTTTGGAGCGGTTACTCCACATTGTGTCCAGTGAGCTCTGCAGCAGGATAATTGCAGAGGGAAATCCGATTCAATTGAAGCTATTTGGGTTAACGTAGTACCACTGAGAGCTCGATATCTTTTTGTTTCTTCCCACCCCAGCCATGTTCACCGTCCCAGGTTGGTCGGTTTCGGGCTCTGCTCTTAAAGCGCAGACCGAACAATCTCAGACTCAGCCTCAGCGGGCCAATGGAACCCCCAAACCCAAGGATAAGAACAACAAGCGCAAGCGCGATGATCATGTCACCAAGGCAAATGTCGGTGAGATGTATCGCCGGCATATCGAGGGCCAGACAGACAAGCCTAAACCTTGGAATAAGGGACTGAACAATTCTATAAAGCCCGAGAAAAAACAGAAGAAGGAACAGAATGTGCAAGGCAATGCTGAAAAACGCCCGTCAGTATCACAAGGAGAGGATGAATCCAAGCTGGATAAGCAGATGAAGCCCGATATTGGTGAAGGCAAGAAGGCGGATAAGAAACAGAAGAAGAACAAAAACAAGCAACAACAGCAGGAAACGCAGAATGGTACCACCGAGAAGACTACGAAGGAGGCTTCGGCAACCACTGAGTCCTTACTTCATGCTCCGCCTAAGACGGAGGCAATCCTTACCCCTCTTCAGCAAGCCATGCGCCAGAAGCTGATCTCCTCTCGTTTCCGCCACCTGAACGAAACCCTCTACACTACGCCGTCCAGCAAGGCTCTTGAGTTGTTTACTGCCAGTCCAGAACTGTTCGACGAATACCATGCTGGTTTTTCGCGTCAAGTGAAAGAATCCTGGCCTTTGAATCCCGTTGATGGTTATATCCAGACTATCCGTTCCAGAGCAAAGGTACCGGCTGCTCCTAGAAGGGGAGACAAAAACGACAGCAAGAGTCGCATCCCACTACCTCGGCGACCCAATGGAAACTGTACCATAGCCGATCTTGGCTGTGGTGACGCTCAACTTGCTCGTACACTCATCCCTTCGGCAAAGAAGCTCAAGTTGAACCTCCTCAGCTATGATTTGCATGCTCCTGAAGGCTCCCCTATCACCAAGGCAGACGTTTCAAACCTGCCAGTTGACGATGGAACCGTTGATGTGGCCATCTTCTGTCTCAGTCTCATGGGCACTAACTGGGTATCATTCGTGGAAGAAGCATGGCGGGTACTGCGTGGTGATGGCAAGGGTGAATGCTGGGTAAGCGAGGTTAAAAGCCGCTTTGGCAAAGTGGTACGCAAGAAGGCGCAGATTGGAGCTAGGAAACCAATGAGCAAGTCAGAGAAGAAGAAGCTGAAGAAGAAGCGCGGAGGGGATGACGCTGACTCTGATCTCGACGACGCGGAGGTCTACGCTGAAGATGCTCGTCCTACCGATGATGACGAAACAGATATTTCGGCCTTTATTGAAGTGTTTCGCACGAGAGGCTTCTTTCTCAAGCCGGAATCGGTGGACAAGTCGAACAAAATGTTTGTGAAGATGGTATTTGTAAAACAGGGTGCGCCGACCAAGGGCAAGCATGTCTCTGCTGTGGGTACCAAACCTGGGCCAGGCAAGAAGAGGTTCATCGAGAAACCAATCGATGCCGGCAACAGTATGTCCCCTGAGGAAGAAGCTGCTGTTTTGAAACCCTGTGTCTATAAGATTAGGTAGAAGGACAGGAAGTATGTATGGCAATTTGTATATTAAAACCATCCTTGAAGTCAACAGTGTCAGTGAGATCCGATCCGTTCGGAACAAAAATTACAAATCATTAGACAAATCTTTTTCTATTCGACTTTCAGAACTAATACCAGCCCACGTATGACAAGTATTCTCAATATAACGTATAGGCTCGTCACAATCATTGTGCATTATTTCCTCGCTCATTGATTCCCACCCAATGTTGCAACAGCCCGTCCCATCTCCTCATCGTTGTAGATACAGAAGCCCTTCTCCTTAGTCACACTGGCAAGCTGAACGTTTTTTGCGTCCAATTTCTCTTCCATGACCTGCTTCAGTGTCTTGAGCACCAGTGTCTCCGCTTCTTTTAGAGTGAGGGAGCGATGATATTCGTTCTGCAGTTCTGCTTGGGCACCCTCGCTTCCGGACCCAATAGCCTTCGCGTCGTATCGGTAGAATGTACCAGACGGCTCGGCATGGTATCTATCCAATTAGCTCATGGCTCTGGAGCCGGCCGATTCGAATTTAAAAGGTAGACGTACAGTTGAGGGCCGTCCTCATCGTAACCCGCAATCAACAGAGCGACGCCGAAGGGCCTGCTCATGACACTTTCTTCATCATCTCCGGTCTCTCCGAATCTCAAGGCTAAATCACAAATAGCCTGGGTGCAGCTCTCAACTCGCAGCGGCTCGGCATAGTGGAAGGCATGGTTTTGGCATTCGACGCGAGCATGCTCGACGAGGTTCCGGGCATCTGCCTGCAGGCCGGACATAGCGCAACCGATGTGCTGATCGATCTCGACAATTTTTTCGACGGAAGAGGCTTCAAGAAGGGTGGATGTGACACGCTTCTCGACGCCCAGGATGACACCTTCGTTGGTTGCTACCTGATATGGTGTCAGAACGGTGTGTTCGGTTGAATGGGTATAATATATAATCGCCAGATATGTAACCAATACACTGGCTGATTTAGATCATTTGGGAAGGTTGGAAACATACGCCGATCGCTGTCGAACCTAGTTTGATGGCTTCAAGAGAGTATTCGACCTGGAACAAGCGTCCTTCGGGGGAGAAGGTGCTGTAATGATTCCACCGTTAGAATCTAAAGAGCCCTATCCTTGAGAGGAGCTATGGAGGATGATCTCATACTTGATACCACGGTCTGTAGTCACAATTGTTAGATGGCCTGCATTGGAGGGGAGAGGTCTGACGGAGCTTACCATATTCCGATCGCGCGATGAACATCTTGGACTATTTCTGCAGTATGTCGTAAGATACAGTAAATATTGATGCACTGAGGGGGTATCCAAGGGGGTGAGAATGAGGAAGTAACTAGGTAAGAAAGGGAGAAAGGTGGTGTTGGGAGCTGTTCTTGGAAGCTCGGGCGAAGCTCCAGGTCTACGCAAGTCCGCTGAATGCCTGGCGGAGAGTCCGTGCTCGCCTCAGGCCAGTATCAGGCATCGCTACACTAGTCTCCCTTTGCTTACTGTAAACCGCGGGAACGTGACAGAGCAACAATATACTTCTGCATTTGATTCCTTGTTTGCTATTACTCCGGTTAATTGGTTTATCCCTTGCATTTCGTCCCAGTCTATGCATGGTCGACCATACCCTGTTTACCTCGCGGGACAATGTCCGTCAATGACCGTCGCGCCAGTTACATGAGCGCACCACGACCCCGCGTTTCCTCGAATCGCGTCGGTGATGCTGAACGAGCCGGTTTGCGCAGCGGTGCGTCCCCATTGCAATCGGAATATATAGACCACCGTGGAAGCACGTCGAGCCAGAAGAACAAAGTTCCTCGAGAACAACGAGACATGATGAGCGAAAAACGTACCGAACGAATGGCACCCCATTCTAAAGATAAAGTTCAAGTCCGCGCGAGGAACCCAGTCAAAGAGTCTTCCAACGCAGGAAATAGAGGAGATTGGGAAAGGTCACGATCAAGGAGGGTTACGCAGACTGAGGGTTCTAGTCCCAATATGCGAAAGAAAGATAAGGAACCGGTGGAATGTTTGTTACATTATTCCTGCACTAGGCTTCATTTGCTTAAGATGCTAACTGTGGTATCCTTTCAGCGCTATGGAATCCGCATGCCTCATTAATACCCCATTCGACAGCGCCATTGGCCACTCGCGTGTCGGTTCCTCCTCTTGCTTCAACCTTGCCCCAATCGCTTCATCCGACACCCCTTCGTGAACTTTCTGTCGATGCACAAGAGAGGGCCCTGCTGGAAGACCTGCTATTCGTGTTTATGGGGTTTGAAGGGCAGTACATCCATTATCACGGTGGATTCGATCCGTCCGTGGAGAAGGACCGCTTGACTGGTCCCGTATTTCAATTACCATCAGGCGTGGATCCAACTTTAAGGGACCTCACTCTGTCCATGTTGAAAATGGCGACTCATTACAGTGCTTTGGAGGCGTTTGTGGAAGTACAGAGCCGTGCCGAATATGGGGCAGTCAGCCATGCCTTATGCGCGGCAATCCGGAAGCTCTTGAAGGACTATCTCATCCTCGTTGCTCAGCTTGAGGGCCAAGTTGTGAACAATCCAAGCTTTACGCTACATCTTCTTCACTTACATACCATGCCGACAAGCCAGTGCTTAACCCAGCTATACTCATTGGGCCAGGAATTACTTCGGCGGAACGGACTTCTAGATCAAGATCTCGACGAATCTATCGATGATTTCGGTGATGTGGATAATATTCTCGAACAGCTCAAAGAGGGTGGTGATCTTGTCCCTGGGGCCATGTCTAGCAAGAAGCTCTGTAAAGGAGGCAACGTTATTCGGCTGCTAACTGAACGATTAGCAACCTTTTCTGGAGACCCGACCACGAAGATTCTCCTAGAAAAGTTGCTTCGTGAAGCTAGTCGACCTTATATGATCATGCTCAACGAGTGGCTCCATCATGGAGGCATCAAGGACCCTCACGCGGAGTTCCTCGTGAAAGAGCAGAAATGGATCAAACGTGAAAAGCTCGAGGAAGACTACACAGATGAATATTGGGAGAAACGCTATACGGTTCGCGAGAACGAAATTCCCCCACAGCTAGACAGCGTGCGAGACAAAGTTCTACTGGCCGGAAAGTACTTAAATGTGGTGCGTGAATGCGGTGGTGTTGATGTCAGCAAAGCAGTTAAGGATGTGCCAAAGACTCTTGATGATCCCCGCTTCCTAGAGAACGTCAATGCAGCCTACACCTATGCCAATGCCTCTTTATTGAACTTACTTTTAACGAAAAACTCTCTTACTACTCGCTTCCGCTCCCTCAAACATTACTTTTTCTTGGACCGGTCCGATTTTTTTTCCTATTTCCTTGAACTTGGTGCCTCGGAGCTTCGCAAGCCGGCCAAAAGTGTCAATGAGAATAAGCTGCAGTCATTACTTGATCTTGTTCTGCGTCAGCCGGGCAGCATAGCCGCACAAGATCCTTTTAAGGAAGACGTCAAAGTTCGAATGAACAAAATTGGTCTTACGAAATGGCTGATGCAGGTCGTAAGTGTCTCTGGGATTGATCAGGACAACCCTGAGGCAGCGATCGAGAAATATCAGGCGCCCCAAACGCAAGGTGGAGATGATGACAAGGATATAGTTGGATTCGACGCTCTCGAACTGGATTACTCTGTCCCTTTCCCCCTATCTTTAGTCATCAGTCGCAAGACAGTTCTGCGATATCAGCTCATCTTCCGTCATCTCCTAACACTCCGTCATCTGGAACATCTCCTAGTCACAGCCTGGCTAGACCAAAACAAGGTTCTTGGCTGGCGCCACAAATCCACAGACCGGAGGCTAGAGATGTGGAAACGACGAGCATGGAATTTACGCTCGAAGATGCTTGTGTTCGTTCAGCAGCTTCTCTATTTCTGTACGGCCGAAGTCATCGAGCCAAACTGGCAGAATCTCATGGATCGAGTTAACGGGACTGATGCGGATGGGTCTGAGGTGACCGTGAATGGCACAAAGCAAGTCAACCGGACTGTGGATGAATTGATGCAGGATCATGTGGATTTCTTGGATACATGTCTCAAGGAATGTATGCTGACACAGGCTAAATTGCTCAAGGTTTGTCAGGTTGTTTCAATACTACACCCATTGGTACTAATTACAGTCCAGATTCATTCTAAATTGATGACTTGCTGTACCATGTTCGCATCCTGGACTGCATCGCCTCTTGCTCGAGCGTTGGCAACGGCTGACCCAGACCTCACGGGGAACAAAGCCCTAAACCCGGATGGAAGGGGGTTTGACCCTACGCGGATTGGCAAGCTTGAGGACACACTAAAAAGATACGAAGATCATTTTAGTCGACATCTGCGTATCTTGATGGACAGGTTAGTCTTCGAAAAATCTCACGCCATGTTTTAAATGCTAACTCTGCGCTCTGCAGCCTGAATTATTTTGCTGCTACTGAAAGTGTTGTGCTCCTGAAACTTGCGCATGCCCTAAGCTCGATTAGCAGGGATGACTGAGACAGTTCCACACGCTTAGTTATCGAAGCCGATCTAATGATACGACTGGATTCCTGGGAAATGGTCGGGTACCAACCCAGTGACGACCGGGTTTACTGTGGTGGTCTTTGGAAATAGGCCCAACTTTAATGGAACACCTTGGTTCATCGCTACTTGGCCATCAAGGGTCTTCCTGAAAGGTGGAACAGACCTTACTGGGATGACACCACTAGCTGATAACCTCGAAATCAACCTGGCATTACAAGGAGGGGGCGTATTGGCTCTTTGGGACTAAATGGTTCATATTTTTTTAGCATGGAGGGAGAATTTGAGGCGATACCTTGTTATGGATTTTTAAATACCCCGGTGAGGATTATTGATCTGATTATATATGTTACGGGACAGTATTAAATGGATATACGGGAATCATGAATCAGTAAATAGAACCGGGGTTCGGAGTTGTCGGTATTCGACACCCTACCTGATAGGAGAGACGTATAGAGCCCCATTCATCAGCATTGAATGCATTCCGAACCCCGGTCAATCTAGTTTATAACTACTTTGCCCCTCTTCACATAGCAGCTTTTTCTTCTTTCTCTTTCCACCCATGCACAATCTGATATATCTTGTCAGTGTTTTAGTATCTTCGCGTAATGGGCCCAGAGGACAATTCTTGCGCACCAACCCCCAGTACATCATGCTCAATGCGAAAGAAAAAAGGAGAGACAAGATGCCGCGCACGAAGAAGAGAGCATAGAGTATCCCACCGGCTTCAAATTCGTTGTTGTACTCTTTGCCATGTGTGTGTCGTGTGTCGTTGATCCTCACAGGTTTGGTTCGTCTCTGTCTGTGAAGATTGCAATCGATCGTTCTTTGCTAAGAGAAATGACTAGGACTTCAGCACGATCGCAACAGCATTGCCGGCCATCACTACGCATTTCGGAACCATCGAGGATGTTGGTTGGTATTACTCGGCGTAGTTAGTATGCCTCGTTTTCTATGCAATCGATCTGTCGCTCTAACAGCCACAGTCGCTAGACCTCGTGCTCGTTCCAATTCATGTTCGGCAAGTTGTACCACCTTTTCTCGATTAAATACGTGTTCCTTGCCTCGGTGGCTACCTTCGAGATAGGGTCGTTGATCGCCGGCGCAGCACCTACATCTGCTGCGCTGGTTCTGGGACGAGCCGTGTCTGGGGTAGGCGGCGCGGGGATCATTTCAGGGCTCTTCACGTTCGTCTGCACTGAATTCTTGATTTGCTCAAGCTAACGTGTGCGGCTATAGTATGGTAGTGCAGAGCTTTCCGCTTCATCGGCGTCCTTTCTTTACTGGCATCGCGGTTGGGGTTGAAGGTGCGTCGGGAACTATCGCCCCGTTACTTGGAGGAGCTTTGACCGATTCTATCTCACGGAGATGGTGTTTCTATATCAATTTGCCCCTCGGGGGCTGGCCTTTCTCTTAATCTTGTTTTACTTCCAAGACCCTCAGAAGAATACTCGTGTGGATCTTCCATGGAGAGCAAAGCTTCGAGGGCTTGATCTCCTGGGAACGAGCGTATTTGTGCCCGCTATTACATCCCTATTATTGGCCCTTCAGTGGGGAGGCTCTAAATATGGATGGCGCAACGCACGGATTATTGTTCTCATCGCACTGACGGTCGTTCCTTTGGGAGCATTCATATGGAAGGAAAAGAAGAAGGGCGATAATGCACTGCTTCCCGGACGAATCATGCGGCGTTGCAGCTTACTCGCAGGTATGTGGTTCTCCTTCTGCAACAACTCCACGCTCTCTGTCTTCAAGTACTATGTAAGCTCATGACCCGCATCCCTGTCCCCCGCTCTGTTGGCTGAGAATCTCCCACTCTTAGATGCCAACTTATTTTCAGGTCGTTCGCGGCACATCCGCGACGGCATCAGGTGCGCTGAGCCTCCCCATCGCGATCGGCGTGCCTCTAGCCGTCTTCTGTGGAAGCTCGGCCACCAGTCTCCTGGGATACTATACCCCCTTCATGATCGTTACCGGGATACTGACGCTCATTGCGGCGGGCTTACTGACAACGTTGTCGGTGAAGCAGTCTCTAACCTCTTTCCTCTGCTACAAAGCTCTCCTAGGCATAAGAGCGGGTGTAGGTTTTCGAGGCCCCCAGGTCGCCGTGCAGACCGTTCTATCAGTCAAGGACTCCCCGATAGGCATTGCCATAATCATTTTCGCCCAGAACTTCGGCCCGGCCCTCTTCGTCTCTATCGCACAGACCGTTTTTACTGGACAACCGCTTGCTCGTGTGGGGTCAATCTTACCCAACCTAGACGCCTACCCGTTGTCGGCCATGGGAATGATTGATTTGGAGAAGTATGGTCCTCCCGCCGATATGGACCGGGTGATTGAGGGGTATGATAAGGCGTTGACGACGGCTTTCTTTCTCCCTGTTGGGTTGGCTTGTGTTAGCATGATTGGGGCCTGGGGATGGGGTGGAGGAGTGTAAAGCGAAAAGACGCTTGAAGCCATTCCTGGAGGCATTTGTTTGAAGGCAAGGCATTGTGTTAATGTAGATGTAAACTGTGTTGTGTCTAGGTAGAGAAAGACCTTGTCGTTTCATCCGGTCCGGTTACTCATGATATACTTGCATTAGACCCTCCCCTTCGAAAACCTCACAAACAGAACGGACCCCAGATAGCAGCATCGTGGATGCAGCAGGTATGCACGAACCAATAAAGAAGTCTCTGCTCTCCAAGAAAGCACAGTCAGAAACGGGTCGTGGGGGCCAAAGTGAAAGAAATCGACAAACATCCGCAAGTCACAGAACATCCTTCTAGACAAAACAAGCAAACCTTGCGACTTCGAGTCACAGTTCTTAAGCACGTCAATTATTAGTAGAACTCCATAGCTTCCCACAACTACAGCTGACAAGCACGTCACTCAGGCATTCCCCTTAGGCCCAGAACATACCCCGAAAACAACAGTCCCCAAGTAGAGCATCGTCATTGGATGGCTCGTACTCTCACATATCGGTGGTGCCACCAATCATCACCCCGGGATCGGAATCCCCCGGTAGATCTTGTTTTACCTACCACAATCCTACCTCCATGAATAGATAAATAAAGCCCCGTGGACACTGTCCAGGACCCATGAAATATTCTCTCAACTCACCCACCCTCAACTTCTATATGATAAATGATGGCATCCATACTCGAGATAGTGTCAACCTTTCTCTCCTCCCATGTCTCGCACTTGCGCGCGCAGCACTTGTCCAACCATGCCCGGGTTGCGATTTCTGCTCTATCAGCTACTATTTTAGCCGTTTCCCTTCCCCGAGTCTATCGCAACTATCGTACGTTCATGTCCTATGGGCCCGGAGGGGTACCGTATAATATCATCGGCTGGTTCGTGGCCAGTGTGATTCTTCCTCCGTTGGCTAGAGAGATGTTCTCGACGGAGGTTTATAATAAAAAGATTGCTGCAGGGGAGACGACGAGTTATCTTAGCGATGAGTCGGTCAGGGCACGGAAGAGGGATGGTCGACCGGAGCTTGGACCGCATGTTTCGCCGCAGAGACAGCTCACGGAATTTCCCTCAGAGGAGATTAAAGAGGTGAGTCTTTTGTTTACATTGATGATTCATACGTATACATGATTCGGCTTGGTGTGGTTTAGGTTGGGCTGGGTTCCTTCCGCGATAGACTCGATAAGAACACAGCGGGTCAACTTATACTGATCTGAGTCAAAGAAATTAAACCAAGAATTCTACGCCTTCGCAAACCGCAACGGACACCTCACCAGATTCTCCGTGTCAAATCTTGAACTCCACGCCGATGCTCTCTTCCTCGCTGATGGCCTTGTGCCGTCGCCCGTGGCACAGAAGATGAAAGGCGAGATTGCGCATATCCACCGGTTGAAGGATTTTTCGCTGCATCTGACCTTGGCGCCTGCGGATTGTATGATCACTCTCCCCGTTGCTGTGCTTTTCAAATTGATAAGAAGACACTATATGCTTTATATGAAGATGAGGATGAAGACGAAGCTAACCAGTGGTAACCATTGATAGGTAAGAAAGTGATTGAGGCTGGTTGGGGACAGCGGCATAAATTATCTGGGGTTCAGGCACCGAGGGCGCTTTTTGGGGGCAGAATTATCTCGCTCCCGCCAGAGTATGTCTTTATTTATGCCCCGCGCACCGAACAAGAGGTTGCGTTTGTCATGGAGATTCTGGTTGCTAGTGTGAAGTATATGACCGGCTCGGTGGAGGTCAGATGAAATATGGATGAAAGTGGACACTTTAGTGTACTAGTTGTGTACATTATAATTATAACGTGTTACGAAATCAACGAAATCCTCTCTCTTTTTAAATTACCTGGTATCATCAAATTATTTACTCCGTATAGTTCTTTGTGATTGCGCCGTGGACCGGGGCGCACAGACCGATCCAGAAATGGCCGGGGTTGGATCGGACCAAGTAAAAAAAACATCAAAGAAAAAAAGAACGAAGGCGGAAAAGAGCAAAAAGGATAATCGATTAAAAATGACGACAGATGTGCAACGTAATGATAAACAAACTCCATCGAGTGTAGTACTACTTACGATGTGGGTGGATATTATTATTTAGTACACCCACACTAGCGGGCCTAACCGCTGTAGTCTCCGGCGCTGCGCACTGCTTTCCCGAAGCTGAACCGTGGTTCTGGGATCGCGGTCATTATGCCTGTCCAGTATCGACCCTGTGCTTAATCCTGTTATCGAGAGACCCGACAGCTTGGGTGCTCGTCTGACTTTGGTCCTGCATGGATTCCCGGACTGCATGCCTAGCGATCAAATCAGAGGCGCTCGTTCTGCCCAACGCAACGTTCTCGTCAAAATCTACTAAATGGTCGAAGGAAGAGCAACGCTCGACCGAGGCGAAGCTGATTTGCCCATTAAATTTCCATTCTCCCTGTCTCTCCGTTAGTGGCCCTTCGCTGAACGTAACCATTGAACCTAATCACAAGAGTGAGAATGTGAATCGTAGATCTTCTGCGAAGCCAGAGTCCCCTCTCTAGTCCTCGTATTCTTGTCTTTCTGGTCAAAAATGGCATGTTTTCGTACTCCACAGTTTTTCAGGCCTCCGACGCCCCGACTCATCAATTGCATATCCTATCTCCTAAGAGAGGACTCCCTGCGACCTAGAGATCACTGGCCCACCCGCCAAGCGCCGTCGCTTGTCAGATATAAGCTGCTATTCTCAATTGGGGCTGTGACCCATCTCGTGGGCGTTTTAGTGTCATTTGTTTCAAGCTCTTAGCACGATTGGCGACACAAAAAAAAATACAAAAAGCAAAAAAGGAGCGGTGAAAAAGTGGCGCGAATTGTCACGGAACGGAAAAAAGATAAAAAAAATTAAGAACCAGGAATATAGTTCGGAGGATTGGGTAGATTGTCAGTTAGAGATGGTAGATATAATTCTCCATTTGCCTTGTTCGCTAAGCTGCGCTCACAAGCCATTTTTGAGGATTTCCCCCACTTTATTCGAATATCCATCCCGTCATTTGTAATACTAGTAAACCTTTAGGTTGTTCTGAAATTGGAATAGTCACGATTATAACGGGTGGCTTTTCGGGCACAATTGTCACCGAGTGGAAAGTCAACGGCTATGTCATCGAGTGTCCTTTCCCTAGAGACGAGCGTCTAACGCGGTATGAAGGCACGAATCAGCGTACCTGACCTTCAGCCAATTCCTTGGTACATCCGCGACCCTAGGCTGCTTGTATCTGCAGGGTAACCGCCGGGGAATTATTCTTGTGCTGTAACTTCTTGCCGCAAGAGCCCCAATTGCGATTGATTCTGCTGGTGTGGCCAGCCCAGTGGTATTACATCATGACTTTCCCACCCCCACTATGAATGCCTACACTGCGATTCCTAATTTTTTCGCAGGCCCGGTGTTGTGTGGCCATGCAGAGATTAGGGCTGTGATGATCTGAATAGCCGCAAGAGGGTTTTCAAAAATAAAACAGTGGTAGGAGACGACACGTGAGCCCTGTCCTAACAGGCAAAGCCTCCCCCTCCCTCACAATTCTTGGTCCCCACCGACAACACGGGGATCCTTAGTGTCCAACATGATGAGGGAGCGGAAGAGAAACCGGAAGATTGTGCGACGCAATGGCTTGCTCCCAAAGATATTAAGTGAAGCCCAAGACGTGGTTCTCAAGGGGTAGTAGTAACTTTAGCCCTCCTAGGCTACTCTGCGTCGGCATGGGTGGCCCCTCCGGAAGAACGACCAACCCCTCCCTTCCCTGCAAATTGGTGGATGTAATCCATGAAAATTACCCCAAGGTAGACGTATTTCTTTCTATAATCGTTGTCAAAAGAGGAAGCGTAGTAGTTCGAAAGGGTGGTCTGCCATTGACCCAATTTTGCCTCTTTGAAGGGGTGTTTGAGAACGCCTCTACCAATGATTTGCTGAGTTCTTCCCAAAAGCAAGACAGACGCCTAGGACTGGCTTGGACGGATTTTCCTTTACCGGCCGTACATTTTAGTACGAAGACTGAGTCCCGCATAGCTCGGACTGCTTCGCCAATAGCCCATGGAGTGCAATATAGTAATTTTCTTTTCGTGCCCAGCGGTACATTTCTCGTCGAATATTCTTCGTGCCCCGTCGATCGCTTCAACAAATAGACTTCCCCCTTCCCACAACATAGCCTATCACCCACTCCCACGATAGAGGTGTCCCGAGAGATGAGAATTCTTAGCTACCCCTGACTCGATTCGTTAACCCACCAAAAGCCAGTCCCTGGGTGAAGGGACAGGACCACAATGACGTACTGAAGCCCCGTCGCTAAACCGTGGATAGACCATGAGCACTGACATCCTGGCTTGTTAAGGAGCCCTGACTCGCAAACGGAAGCGTTGGACGACGAGTACCTCGACACTGTAACCATCCAAGGTCGCGAATTTCAGAAGTTCTCGATCGACCATCAGATATTCTTCGAGCCGGTAGATGAAGTAAGATCAGAAAAGTCTGGAAGTCGGACTAAGCTGACCGCTGTCCACCGCCAGGAAGAGGCAGAACGACTCGAGCTCCAGCACCAGGTTTTCAGCAAAGTTTTTGACAACCGACTAATTTTCCCGCCTATCCCGCGGCCTCGAAAAGTCCTCGATTGTGGCTATGGGACTGCTTCGTGGGCTATCGAGGCTGCGGAGCGCCACCCGGAATGCGAGGTACGTAGTGCAGAAGGTTTGGCCGTCCCAGGCACAGACCAGCTGATCACATCGATTGAAGGTAATCGGTCTGGATATATTCCCATATATGAACCCAGATGAGATACCGGAGAATCTATGGCTACAGGTGAGTTGATCATCTCGCAACTTTGGCAGCTTCACTATGCATAACTGTGCCCCTATTCAACACGCTCGCTGCTCACGATCCCGCTCCACTGCGACCTCCTTGCGCCGATTCTAACAGAGATCATTTCTGAATGGGAGCCCAAGAATTCCGAGAAACGTTTCGCTAACGTATCTATATCGCCATATAGGTCGATGATCTGAACCGCCCGTTCACTTTCCCTCCGAACCACTTCGACCTCGTCCACTCAAGGCTGCTCGCAACAGGTATCAACCGAGACCGCTGGCCATCCTATATTCGAGACATTAAAAGGTCTGGTCCCTGAACACAAGCTCTATGATCCAATACGATGTCCCGTCGAAAGCGTTAGACTAATCTTCCGCTCCCACAGAGTCTTAAAGCCAGGAGGTTGGGTGCAGTTAGTCGAAATATACTTCAATGTCCAGTCAGACAACGGTTCGATTACCGAGCAGCATGCATTGAGGCGATGGAGCACGCAATTGATGGGCTCCTTGGAGGGAGTGAAGGATCTTCGAGTGGGGACGAGATTGAGGAATCTTTTGACAGCCGCGGGGCTGACGGAGGTCGACGCTCGAATGATTCCACTTCCCCTGTCTGCATGGTCAACAGGTAAAGTGTATACGTGTCATAGGGATGGAAAGGTTTCTTAACACTAGATAGACCCAAGGATGCGAGACATAGGCGCCATGAATATCGAAAACGTTAAAAAGCTGCTTCCCGCGCTGGGACTTTATCCATTTACGCAGCACCTGCGGATGCCCCCACAGCAGTTTGCGGAGCTGATAGCGCAAGCACAGGAGGAAGCCGACACCCCTAGTCTTAAGGCCTATTTCCCTTTGTAAGTCCGCTCCTCAAGCGCTCCGTGCCATTGTTCTAATGACCCAGGTATGTTTGCATTGGAAGGAAACCCCAGTGAATGCAGTTGAAGGGATGGGTGTGGTATTCAATACGCAATCTTCTTCCCACGGTAGGCAGAGAGGTGCAGTGTCTGAATCGACAAAGACTGCTGTCCTAACTGACCCAGTGCAACCATACTGTTCGACCTTCAGATTAGATACCTTGCTATTTGGACAAATAGAGTTCGAAAGCAACTAAACATTGGTTAGTTCCACGGAATTTGTTTAAATTTCTTCCTTCGCTCCTAGAAGCTGTTGCTCAGATGATGTTACATACGGCAACCACTTCGCTTGACTGAACCGTCCACAAGCAACATTGTAGTTCTCAAAACTCGCACATGACTCCATGTGGAAATGTCCGATGAAAAGGGTTTCTCGCACATAACGAAAATCTACGGGAAAGATGGGGGACAGCAGTGAGTTCGGGTTCGGAGGTGGCACACTAGGGGATGTTTATGGAACCAGATCATTCGAGCTGCCTCGCTAATATGCACTATGAGTCCTGCAGCCTGCAGCCTAGATAGGCCGGACAAAAGGGCACCTGACATATCCGGATGGATTTCCACTGAAGCAGAGAAGATCGTGTTGACAAACGGACACTTGTTTCCTTTGCCAATAGGCTTTGCGTGAACGGCTATCTGCGTTTCTAGGAGGTGACGGAACCGTCGTCGGTTTGATCTCTTATCGACCAAGGAGGGGCCACTGTGGGTTTGCAACTGTCTAGTGCGGAACGTGAGTGTTGAAACAGGGACTGTTGTCCAGAAACACCCTCGAGGTTACACACCAGTGAAACGAGGAAATCGAGGAAAACCGGTGCGCCTGGGCATCATCTTGAGGTGTCTGATGATCTTATCGCCCATACGAGGGGTAGGGGGAGAAACCACGCTAGGTTCAGTGGAAGCTCCAACGGAGTGGGTTCCGCAGCGTGAAGCTGAAGTGATTACCTCTGGAGAAGGGAGAAGGGGAGAAAAGGAAGGGGAAGACGGTGTAAAGACTTGGATTCCTGAAAGGCCCCGGTCTCGGGTAGGGTACCGAACTGACGGGTCGTCTCTGAACCTTAAGCAGGAACAAGAAAATTACTTGCCAGAACCCTTTCAATCCTCCTCGATGGAACTAACCGTCCCCTGTCTCACCAAGCAGAATCATGTCTATATAGTCTTTTCCCATTGCTTTGATTTAATAAGATAGGTTTTTAGTGATACTTGGTCTGGATCATTGCAAAATACTGCAAGCATTCTGCTCGGTAGGGTTCACCTTTCCAGTCTCAGTCCCCAAGATTTAAAGGTTGCTATCAGCAGTGGCCACCCCATGAAACTCTAAGGATCATGACATGTAGAGGCGATTTGTTGGACCAATACAAAGAGAGACAATTTCAAGATATGCTACGATCATGTCCCTATGATACGAAGAGTCATTTGTTGAACTTTTGGTTGGTTTACCATCATTCTGATGGAAAGTCTCCTACAATAGACCGTGTGGGGCATATGGAGCTGCGGGCCTCTTCTGTAATTTCCCAGGTAACCTTCTCTGTCTTTCTCTTTGGACAGTGGGAAAAAAAAATTGATGAATTCGTAAAGGGTTATTACTGTTGAAGCTAGTGCCCACAAACAAACGGTCAAGTCGGCTCGGGTTTAAAAAAAATTCACTGGGTTATCTCGACCGCCCCGGCCGACGTGGCCTGGAATAACTTGTCCCGTGTACCAAATTGCCAGAAGAAAGACCCGACGCCACGGACGTGGAATGCTCAAAAGGGGCTCAGGCCTTTTCTGACATACGCAAGCTGCATCTGATCGATCAATTTACTCCCAGCTGGGAAGGACACTTCTGAAGGCAACACTGTACCGATATGGCAATTCGAGTAGCTCTGCGGTATTTAAAACTATCGCGAATTGTGGAATGGGACCCGCTGATAGACCGAGGATTGGCCAACCAGACGCCCAACTGCTGAAGCAGCACCTTGAGGCTCATCCGCGTAGACGCCATAACCATTGAACCTGGCGCTTGTGCGTCTGAGGCGCATATTTGGCGGCCTCAGTCGCCAGGCGCGCTAAAGTCCCGAAGCGGTAAGCCTCCGCGCGGATCAGAAAAAAGTTGGCCGCCAAGTTAGAAAGAATAATCCATACCACTTTAAACAAAAAAGTTGTGCAAATCAGTCTCCCAAAATGCCATCCACATATAAGAAGGATAAGCCGTGGGATACGGATGATATTGATAAGTGGAAGGTTTGTCTTTGTCGCACCCCCCAGCGACATGCACACTTCATGCACACTTCGTCTTCTAACCCACCATCTTCGACCAGGTCGAGCCCTTCAAAGCCGATGATAATGTCGCCGGTAGTTTTGCCGAGGAATCCTCCTTCGCCACGCTTTTCCCCAAGTATCGCGAAGTTTACCTGAAGGAGGCATGGCCCGTTGTGACAAGGGCTCTGGAAAAGCAGGGAATCGCTTGTACCCTGGATTTGGTTGAGGGTAGCATGACTGTGAAAACCACCCGGAAGACTTTTGACCCGGCAGCAATTCTCAAAGCTCGTGATCTTATCAAGTTGCTTTCCAGAAGTGTGCCTGTACAACAGGTGGGTTGATTGTCTGCCTTACCAACTTCATCCCTTTTCTCATTCGCTTACCGTATCTTGACGACAGGCATTGAAGATCCTCGAGGATGACGTCGCTTGCGATATTATCAAAATTCGGAATCAAGTTCGGAATAAAGAACGCTTTGTGAAACGTCGCCAACGTATTCTGGGGCCGCAAGGTTCGACACTCAAGGCCCTCGAACTCTTGACCGGTACATATATCCTCGTGCAAGGAAACACCGTCTCCGCCATGGGCCCTTATAAAGGTCTTAAAGAAGTGCGCAAGGTTGTGAATGACTGCATGGCCAATATCCACCCCATCTACCACATCAAGGAGCTCATGATCAAGCGTGAACTGGCCAAGGACCCTTCTCTCGCCAATGAATCCTGGGATCGATTCCTGCCAAACTTCAAGAAGCGCACACTGTCGAAGCGTCACACACCGTTCAAGGTCACCGACAAGTCCAAGAAGGTGTACACTCCCTTCCCACCCGCCCCGGAGAAGAGCAAGATGGACTTGCAGATCGAGTCCGGCGAGTACTTCCTGTCCAAGGAAGCCAAGGACCGTGCACAGAAGGAAGAAATTATGGAGAAGCAGCGTGTGAAGCGCGAAGAAAAGATGAAGGAGCGTGCCAAGGCCTTCGTACCTCCCGAAGAGCTAGAGAGTACCAAGAAGGAAAAGAAGGACAAAAAGGAGAAAAAGAAGCGGAAGCGCGACTCGGAGGCGGAGGCGGACGTCGATGGCTCCGAAAAGAAAGAGAAGAAAAAGAAGAAGAAGAGCAAATCAAAGGAGAACACCTCCTCAGATGGAGAGTCGTAGATTGCTTGTTGATAGTTATGTGCTTCTTATGTTGCTTTCATTACTTTCATGCTCTCCGTCAGGTATTGATCCTTTATGTTCACTTTCCCAAGATACGGCGCTTAGGCATAGCATGGGCTGGAGTTTATTTTCACTCTTCTATATCCAAGAGCTTTGTCTATATCTAAAAGCTTTGGAAGAAAAAAAGTCATATATCCCTGTCTTCTCTTCTACTGCAGTTTGCTTTCCTACATCTATAGCTTAGCGTGACTCTAGAATAGGGTCTCACGACGTAAACCAGCAATCTAACATCTTGGTCGCCTTACTGTCAACCTTATTACTTGAATATCAGTTTTCCATAATAACTGTACATTTCATTTCAATTAGGGCTATCCAGTGCATCCACGTAGGTTCTGAACATCACCAAGAGGATAAAACAACATATTAAAACACCTTGCCACTGTGGTTATTTACCACCTTTACTAGATATACGATATACTCACTTTTTCCACCCACCCTTCCCAAATCAGCCCCATCCTTCCTAACTTGCCAACAAGAAAATGGACATGAAATTCAAGTATACTACTCATATCTCCAAGCCCTCCAACCAATTTAACCTATAATCCCACAATATCAACATTCGATAACACCTCAAGCCGACTCCTCCCCCCTGGCAACCAACAAGACCCCCAAAACCACCAAAACATCTAACCCCTCAACAACTCCTTCAAAGCCTCTACCTCCGCCTCTTTCCTCGCCAACCGAAGCCTGAGTTCATTCCGCTCGCGCTCCATGTCCCTCAAAGCACACTCAAGCTCAGCAATGCGGTCGCGTCCTTTTTGACGATACCTCCGCGAGGCCATAGTATTACGCCGTCGCTTGCTGACGGTCATTTCGTCCTCGTTGTTTGAGACCGGTTCGCTAGTCTCAACTTTTCCCTCTGAATTGCCGGCGCAGGATACACTGGAGGGTAATATCTGTGGGGTCTCGGCTGAGGAGTCTTGATGGTGTATTGGTTCCGTCGTGTTGGTATTCGGAGATATAGTTGCATTATAGATTGGGTTGTCGATTTGTCGCTGGGATACATTACGGGGCAGGAAGTCTAGGGGAAGTTTGTTATCGTTGTGGATGGCGTGGTATCCTGGTGACGGTGAGTGACTAGTATGGGTTTGATTGTAGGAATGGATAGTGATTTTTATACCATTGAATACAGCCTCCTGCAATGATATATCTAGAGGATTGAGTGGTCTCGATGGGAAGATGTCCTCTTCTCGAGATAAACCAGCTGCGAAGGGAGAGGGAATAGGTTGGTTTGGCGGTTGTGATAGCGGATTAGCAGACAGCAGGAGATCAGGTTGGACTTGGGCGTCAACAGAACACTGCTCAGGCTGGTGTCCTATCGTGCTATCATTCCAGGCAAATGCTGGTGTTAAAAGCGTTTCCCCCGACTCCCAGAGAGATTCACCAGGGGGGAACAGGCTCCTTCTGCTGTTGTGGTCGGAAGCAAGCCATGATGGCTGCAATGGACTCGGGTGGTCGTTCTCCGACCCTAGGCTCAAGGTTCAAAGCCTCTCCTACGCGGTGGAGAGGCGGGTTTCAGCTGCGTCGACGGTGTGGATGTGTGTACACGGCTTGCCTCAATAGCTCACTTAGCGAGGAGCTTTATGAAAAGCGAGTAAAAACTGTGGTAGGAGGACTTTTGCTCTTTTATATATGTTAGTGGGTTTTGTGGACCACACACTTCCCGGATATCTAAGTTTTAGCTTGTATTGTTTTAGGTGAATACAGCTAATAGAGAGCCAGGCGGGTTTGCTGTCTGATCATTGTTGTATTTTGGATGTGCAATCTGGCTTAGGATTGGAGGGGTGTGTGGTCTTTTGGTTGTATCTACGCTTGCCAGGCTTAGCTACTTCAATGGCTTCTTTTTAACTAGTAAGGAGGAAGAATGAGGACACACTGGCGAGCCAATTATCTAAGGGGTTGAACGCGAAGTGTATACAACTACAGTGGAGTCTGGTTTGAAAATTTAGCCCTATAAAATTTATTAACGGGAGTGAACCGCACATAAAGAAAACCAAGAAACTTCCCCTCTGAAGCCTGAACAGACAATATGTCTCAGAGATATATCTATGTGGATTCATTCTATGTCAGTACAAATCATGGGGGCCAGCCCTTGGGGAAATATCACAATGAGTCATTCTGATTCATATTACTTCATAGGACAAGGTACCCGCATGAACTAGTGGAGAAACGAGATAAACTACCTGTTAGAACGGTTATTTGGCATTAGTGACCATGAACCTCGGTCGATCATCCCACTCAAGGTATACCGTAAACAATTCTTATGGTGGATCATCTAAGCTGATAGCCCAACATTCTGAGAATTATTCCCAGTTTGCCTTATAAATATATATAAAACACCCCTCCCACAACTATATCCATAAACTTCTCGACATACACAATTCACAAATTATCCGACCCTACCCTATCTTTATCCTGCAGAAACAACTCCTGCTCTCGTCGACTCTTCTTCAGATCCAACCAAATTGCCAAAACGGCAAAGCTGGCTGCACTCAGCCCAGAAAGAAAGTAGAAAGGCGTCGAGGCGTTTCCGGATGGCGACGCATCGATAATAGCACTTGAAACAAGGGGCCCAATGAAAGACGATGTCTTTCCAACAATGCTGAACAAACTGAAGAAAAGAAAATCATGGCCTCGGGGTGCAACCTCTGAGATCATGATCTGCGAGTAACTATACCAGGGACAGACGAATAGACCGTAGTATACTTGGTAAAGCTATTGCACGTACGATTAGTATTTGACCGAGTTTCCACACAGTTGTGCGTAACATACCCAGAATTCCCAACCATTGTGGAACCCAAATTTCTGCGTCCAGATGCCTATCATGCCCCAACCGTCGAGCAAGATTATCGCGACGGCAATCGCGTTGAACATGGTTTTGGTATCGAGTTTAAAGCGTTGCTGGATGGACCAGAAGCCGTAGATGCCAACAGCCTGTTGTTCCAAGGAGGTTAGAGATATGTGCAGGATGTAGAGTTCGTTGGTGTACCGACCTGAGCTGCGATACCGGCAATAAGGAGATACGTTATTTGGAGGGTGTTGTAAGATACCACACTGTTCTGCAGCGTTGCTATCACAGTCACAGTTGTGTTCAACGAGTCGCCCAGGAGGAAATACCCTGGAATTCCAGTGGTCAACCTTGACACATCCAAAAAACCATGAATCGACTGGGTGATGCCAATTGTCTAACTTACCAATAAGGTAAAGCAAGCTCTGCTTCAACCTCCATATCTGCCTGGCAGCATAATAAAGCTGCCACAAACCCGCCAAGAAGATATTCCTTCCCTTAGGGTCCTGCCCCGGCCGACGCTTTTCGAGAAAGAACCAAGGCAACGAGACAAGCAGCCACACACCACTCGCAAACGCGATAAGAACACTCAAGCCCCAATTATTATTTTCGTCACTGGCATTGACACGCAATCTAAACATAATACCAACAATAATAGCAAGGATGATAATCTCCGCAACGGACTGGATATAGAAAGCAATGTTCGCCAGTTTACTCCGTTCCATCGTATCAGCATAATCGTATTCTTCCCGGGATATGATTCCCGCAGTGTACGCATCAGCTTTGGCTTTCATTTCGGGCGTATTGCGCGCCAGACCTGGGAATGCGGCGAGCCAGAAGGTCAGAGTAGTCTGATAGGCGATTAATCCGACGATGTACAACCCCACGCCGATATGCCATTTGTCTGCCGTATGGACGCCCAGCCAGCCGAAGCCAATTGCGTATGCGATTATCGAAAGGGTAATCAAGATGCTGGGGCGCCATGTGCCGAAGTCGGCGAAACTGCCGATGACTAGGAAGATTACCACTTGGATGGCGAAGGAAATTCCGTTGCTGAGGAGTACGATGCTTTCAACAGAGCGCTGGTGCCCTATGAAATAGAGCGTTCCGTAATCGCCAGCGGCTTGGGAGAGGAGGTTTTGGAAGGCAGTAGGGCCGAAGTCTGAGGGTTGCCCGTCAATTAGTAAGTTTGCCCTGACTTGAGAATTGAATGGAGCCCTACTGAATAAAGATAATCCATTGTTTCCAATATAATAACTAGTTGGATTGTCTCGCTTAGTAAATTCTCAGTTCACGTAATGTTGTGACTGACGCACGCATAGTAAGCCCATGTCTCCCATTTGGTGGTACAGTATCTCTCATCAAACTGATCGGGTGCAGTTGGTTGCTCTAGATCCTTGTCAGGGTCTGATTCCTGAGCGATTTGCTCTACAGGCTTTCCATCATCTGCGTTGGTATTAGAATCCTGTGGAGGGGCTGCCATAGTGCAGCTGTAGCTGAGATTGAAATCTTCCTTGGCAAGCCTGCTTCGAGAGATTAGGACACGCAACCTTCTTATACGAGATGCGAGAGAGATAAACCCCGCGCCTTACGATTCGGTAGACTGATATGATACCAAGATATACGACGAATAGAAGGGAGAGAATCGAAGGCCGTGTTCATACATTGGTCAATTAACCACTTAGCTTCATGCCGATCTCTGGGCCCTAATTCGAATCTGTTCTTGCGAGCCTTCCGAATGCAGCCATTGAGAAAGCATTGATTGCATTTGGAAGATAATGAATTAAATTCAAATAAATACGAAAAAAAAAATAAAAAAATAAACTAGAGTAAAATAAATAACAAACATGAATTAATTGAAAGTGGCTGGTAGATTTAATCAACTGCCGGAAGTTTACTGGGTAAAAGAAACCTTGGAAATTATCTTGATTCATTATAAGCCGATAAATTGAAGGGTCTAGCGTCTTGGCAAGTTTGTATACTTTCTATACATAATATTATCTTAATATCTCTCCATCACAATTTAGCCTGTCCACCCTCTATCGAAGTCCAGCTCCGCTCGTCGAGTTTCTCGTATTTCTTACCGTTCAGCCAATACAACTTATCGCCTTTCCAGTCCGCTCGTGGATCCCACCCCTTCTTCGTCAAGTCGCCTTTGGCTTGCTTGAAAGTGACACCAGTCGCAACTCTATTCAGATTAAAAAAAAAGGTAAGTCAGCGCATGAATTCTCATAGGTAGGGCATGCCATGGGTATTTGTCTCACTTCTCAGTGATGCGGACAAGGCGGGGTAAAGCGTATGACGGCACACCCTTTTTCTTAAGCTCGCGGTACAAGTTGGACATGAATTCGGCCTCCACTGCTGCAGAAGATTCTTCAAGTGTGATACCTGCAGCACCGGCTTGTCCATCGTATCTGATAGAACAGCATGTCAGTATATAGAATAATATCACAAGCAACACGTATCGAGAACACACCCTTGTAGCTTTACGCCGTAAACGACGGCATCATGGACGGAAGGAATTCGGCAGATATGGTCTCTGACTTCTCCTGCACTAACGTTCTCGCCTTTCCAGCGGAAAGTATCGCCAACCCGGTCCTGAAACTTGACCCAGCCATCTCCATCCTGGACCACAAGGTCACCGCTACGCTGGAAAATATCACCTTTCTGGAACACATCCCGGAGCAACTTCTTTTCGGTGGCTTCCTCGTTGTGGAGATATTCAGTGAGCAACCCGCGGGTCCGGACTCGTCCAATCGCCTCTCCCTCCTCGCCTAGCTTGGCTTTCACGCAGAAGCCTGTCTTTGCATCCCGGTACGGCATCTCAGTTTCGGTATCGTACTTCACAATGAATATGTCATCTTCAAGATATCGCCTGATGGGGCCCGAAAAGCCACATTTTCCTGCACCCCAAGCCCCGACCCCGAAGTTGTCGAATTTCGCCACACCCTCGGTGGACCGGTAGAACTCACGGATTTCAGGGACCCCAAACCTTTGGCGGAAACGCTCCCAGATCTCCCCACGTAGTCCGTTGCCACTAGCCACGATGCAGGGGTGGTCTTGGTCAAAGGGCGAAGGAGGTGTAGACAGGAGATACCTGCACAGCTCACCGATGTACAAGATACGGGTGGCTCTCGAATCATGGACATCCTTCCAGAACTGCGAAGCCGAGAACTTGCGGCGCAGACATAAGGTGCTTGCGGTTCCAACGGAGTAGCACAAGCCCGTGAAGAAAGCGGTGCCATGGAAAAGAGGAAGGGAGGAATATGTGCGCAGTGGGAAGTACTTCGAAGGATTATTCACGTCAACCGTCAGTGGATTAGATGTTACGAGGGTCATCATATTTCGGATTGCACATGCTTTAGGTTTCCCCGTGGTTCCAGATGTGTAAATCAGAGCGACCAGATCGCTGGGCGACCTTTTAGCAGGAGGCAAGCCAAGAGGAGAGTACTTTTGCAACTGTACTGCTGTGATAACTTCTGTGGACCCCGAAGACACGCCGTCGAAGGACGATAGGCTCAGCGCAACATGGGGCAAATCAGAACAAACAAATTCTGATAAGTCAGGAGATGAGATGATAAGCTTGGCACCAGAAACATTCAGACAGTGGATGAATGTGTCGTCTATGTACGCCTGTATTAGTATATGTTCGAGTTGCATAGAAATAGCCCCTGAGTATTACCTCGGAGATTCGTATTTAGAAGCGCAGCAACAGCACCCAACTTAGAGATTGCATATATTGTCACCACCATCTCTAAGGAATTAGTAGTAAAGACACCCACAAAATCGCCCGGATAAATATTTCTTTCATGGAGTACTGCAGCAAATCGATCCACAACTATACAAATGTAAGTTAACGCAACGAGCTGCGCTGTGACGAAGAATCATTTGTGAGACAACAGTGATACGTACGGTCCTTCAGTTCACTATATGTCCATGTCTCGTTCTCAAACCAGAGTGCTTCTGCCGGGCCATGACCATCAGCTTCAATGACTCTTTCAAGCATCTTATAGATTGTTGTTGTATCCCCTAGCTGCGCAATTCTTTGGCCAAGGCGTTTCGTCCAAGACCGATCATTGTATATTGTCGACAGATCAGTAGAAATTGAAAGTTTGGCATTGAGATAAGCCGCCGCAGTTACTGCGAGGGCTGAAGCCATCGCCATGGTCGGCATGCTAATATCTGAGAAGAGATCCATTTGGATGTGAGGATTTTAGAGGAGGGTAGGGAATAATATACGTCTGGGGTGTCTTGTTGCTTTTGTATGCTGCAATTGCGGCGATCAATTCAGAGCAGTCACACAAGGGTTAAACAAAGACAGTGAGCTCGCCTTGACCCCAGGTATATAAGGTCGCCAAGGCTAGCCGCAGCACGATTAGAGAGAAGTATGAATATAGGAACTAATAGCTGTGTAGCTAGGGCCGAGTCGGAATTTAGAGACGGGAGCTGAGAATGCCGGCCATGGTGCAGATCGACTATCCGGGGTTCAGGGGTCTGTTCTGCATGACAGCCAAGCGGCAATCAGAGGAGTACTGCCATCCGATAGATCGTTATATCCAGATTGAGGGGGGTACCAGACGTCAGGACCGCCAATTGTAATGCAGTTCTGTCGATTCCAGCCAATAGGGTAGTATACTAGTACTGCCAAATAGGAAGAAGACGAAATCGGGAGAAATTGACTGGTACTGTGATGGTTCCTCAGGCACCAATACAATGGCTCATGCATGTATTGCCCGTAGCAGGATTCACATCACGATAAATCAACTTTGAACGAAGCCTAATAGTAGTGACAAAGATTCGCAGTTCCAATGAACTTTTCCCCATATTGTACGACTGATCCACAATAGACTTTCTTATCAATATCTGCACAGATTACAGAGCTAAATTGGAAGCCAATCATGGCGATTTCACTGAAGTTGGATCTGACCGACAGCCGAGGCCACCCAGTCTTACCGTATCTTACACTCACAATACAGCTCAACGGCAAGTCCACTCGGCTCTGGACAGCTTCTGGCTCTCAATTAACTGCTTCCCAACTTTCGGCTCGGTATCGTAATCCGTTCTCCCCGGACTCAGGAACCGCGGCTGATCAATACTTTTGGGTTTGCTCCAGGTTGTTATAATATTTGCAAAGTGCGCATCATTGCAGGGGAGTTAGTGACTTTCTATTCTTTCCAAAACGAAGTGTATAGGGGAGACGCCTGTAAAATAAATACACAGATCAAGCTTCAAAAACATGTCTTCACCTCAGCAACGATTATCCTCTATTGCAAACCAGCTCTCAGGTTCTGGCTCCGCATCCGCAAGGCAAAAGCTTTTGGCGAAAAACCCAGACGATGTGGTATGTCTCGCATGCTCGAGCATTATTATATACGTGGGATGCAATGGGAGATTGACCATGTGCAATAATAGGTCATTACACTCGCCGTACGGACCCCTCTAACGAAAGCTAGAAAGGGTGGTTTGAAAGATACAACCTTGGACGAACTTCTTATCTCGCTGTTGACGGTAAGACGCTATCCTGGTTAGGTTAGGTGCTTTCATAACTGACAAGTCAATCAGAGTGTCCGGGAGCGTTCCAACCTCGATCCCAATCTTGTCGAAGATGTTTGTGTCGGCAATGTACTTGCCCCCGGCCAGGCTTACATCGCCCGTTCTGCTGTTCTGGCAGCAGGATTCCCCGTCACCGCTGCTGCATCAGTTGCCAACCGGTTCTGCTCTTCTGGATTGCTGGCGATCCAGAACATTGCCAACCAGATCATTGCCGGTTCGATCGACGTCGGCATTGCTGTGGGAGCGGAGAGCATGAGCACTAACCCCGACAACGGCGCACCGGAATTGTCCGATAAAATTACGACACATCCAATTGCCTCACAAAATAAGCAGCCCATGGGCCAGACTTCCGAGAATGTAGCAACTCAATTTGGCATTAGTCGCGAAAGGCATGACCAGTTTGCAGCCAAGAGCTACCAGAAAGCGGAGCGTGCCCAGAAGGCTGGCTGGTTTGCTGATGAAATAGTTCCCGTCCAAACTACGGTCAAGGATCCAAAGACTGGCGAGGTGAAGAACGTTGTGGTTGATCAAGACGATGGTATTCGGTACGGCACCACTGCCGATTCACTTGGCAAGATCCGTTCAGCTTTCCCTCAGTGGAAGCCCAGTGCCACAACGGGTGGTAATGCTAGTCAAATCACCGACGGCGCCGCAGCACTTGTCCTCATGAAGCGTTCTCGCGCTCAAGAAATAGGCCAGCCCATTCTGGGGAAGTTCTGCGGGGCCACTGTCGCTGGCTTAGAACCTCGAATCATGGGGATTGGCCCCTCCATCGCCATTCCTAAGATCCTCTCAAAGTTCAGCTTAACTAAGGATGATATTGATATCTTCGAGATCAATGAAGCCTTTGCATCCATGGTAGGTCGAGCTCGGTTCTCTTCTGCTCTACCCTACCCCGGGCATTCTGAAAAAGACAAGGCATTAACGTATGCCTAGGGCACTTACTGTGTTCAAAAACTTGACCTCGATGAATCCAAGGTGAACCCTCGGGGTGGTGCAATGTAAGCAAAGCAGCTAGATGGAAAGCTGTTTGAGTTTCACTCACTGACCGTTATAGTGCATTCGGCCATCCGCTGGGATGTACAGGAGCACGGCAAGTTGTTACTGCTCTCTCTGAGTTACGGAGACAGAACAAGAGAGTAGCAGTCACCTCTATGTGCGTCGGAACTGTGAGTTCGCCCCTTGAATTTAAACACTTTCGGAGTGCCCCAACTCTATCTCAAGCTAACTGATTTGCTTTCTTAGGGCATGGGCATGGCTGGGATTTTCGTTTCCGAGGCTTGAAGTTAGACTCTCTAGCTCCATACTGAGAGGGCTGGTTAGGAAATTTGAAATATTCCGCAAATATGCTGTACCTCAACCATCCTGACTATAATACCGAGTATACAGCTTGCATAATAGACTCGATCAAGTCGATGATTGATACCGAGCCGTACAAGTTCCGGAACTACCAGTGGAACAAATATAGTGGAGAAACTGGAAGGTAACATCATACAAACTCCTTAAATAGTGGAAGACATAGCATTGGATGATCTTAATCCAGTCAAGAGTTCTGTGATAAAGGAAAAAAAGTATACTGGATTAGTACTAACTTGAGCAGAAACTGTTCTGTACAATGCCGCAGCTGAAGACGATCAGCCCCCATATACATACAAGATTTAGAGGTCTTACTAATACATCCTCATCCTGACAGCCCCAAGGGTGTTTATCGAGGTTGTATATAGGAGTAAATCAACGTAGGGGTAGAAAAGTTCCAGCCCTTTGCCATACACGAAATACACGCTTCTCTACCTGTCTAAAAGAAAAAACAAAACGGTAGTCCTGTAATAGGCAATATATAATACAACGAAACCGTTGTATTATAGGAATTAAGCGGCCCCAATGGGCTTGTTTCGAATAAACAATGCGTATGAACATTGGAATTCTACTTGGATTGATGATACATATGCAAGTAAGCGATAGCAGAAAGACATGAAGACACCCGGACTTAACACATAGAACAGCTGTATCCAGCGGATAGCCCGAAACGCCGTACGAAATATGGCGGATTGAATTGGAAGAATCATGAATAATGCGCTTGGAAAGAAAGAACGAGACAACAAGTCATTTATGTACCACATGACGAGACTCGTAATCAAGGGTATGGAGGGTTCAACTTGGACTGAGCAAGTGGACATCCAGGTGGGGGTTGTACGTAATGCCAACCTCTTAGAATGGGCCCTTGAATTCAATGTTGCGGGCATCAAGGCAAGTAATACGCCTGTCATCATTGGTGTAGACATCTGCGTGTACAGTGTACTTGCCCTATGCGAAAATGATTGTATTAGTAGATATCTTGGCTAATGCCTGGGGTACTCAATGGCAAGTCACACGCGAGCTGAAACTGGGGCAAAACTCACGGGAGGGATCTGCTTCGGCAAGTCGACCTGCTTGGTCAAGGTCATTTCACCTTTCTCCAGAGGACACTTAAGATCAACATTAACGATCTGTTCGCAAAGATCGGCAGTTTGCCTGATAAGAGTGATCAAGCCATATTTGACTTCTAGAAGGACATATGCGCCCTGCTCGATCCTCTCATGGAAGGTACCCTTAGCCTCGATGACGAGCGTTTTGCCACTATATCCCAATCAGCTGTTATATTCTAGGGTTACTAAGGTGTGCGGGACGCCTGTATATGCTTTCCCACATGTGCTGTTCATTCAGACGTACGGAAGAGGAGGGTTGGGTGATAGATTCACCGACTGAATATCTAGAATGTTGTCGGATGGATCCGTACAATACTCTAGAGGATTATCTCCTCCAACAGATTGGGCTTGAACCTGGATAGGGGACTGAGACGACCGAAAGATGTCGAGGCTTCGAGCTGTAGTTGAAATGGGGGCAAGGAAGACGAGAAGCGTAGCGGCAGCTGATAAGAGCTTCATGATTGCGAGGGCTTAGCAAACTGCGGAGAATCGAACCGCGTAAAGAAAATATGGCAAATTCAGAGAGTCAAAGCAGACTGTATGGAAGCTGTCGTACTAAGTATACTTGTAAGTACTATATTTGGGAAGTGGAAGGGGTAGCTGGAGAGGAGAAGCGGTGTCATGGGAACACTGGAGATTGGAAAGCAATGACGAATGGACGAATGGTAGAGCGCACGTGACACCCGCAGGAGTTCACCTCTCTGATTGGCGCATCGTCATCTAAGTTTCTACCAAATGACGGTAAAATCTCCCGAAATCCATTTTACAGAAGGTTTTTTCAAGATGTGATGACTTCGGAGTTTTACGCAGTTACTCATCTTTTACGAGTATCTAAGTCTCATGGATCCAAAACATGATTTCGTCCGCACTTAAGGTTATGGAGCCCGAACCGACGCCTATCGTGGAGATTGACCCACCTTCACAGGTTTCTCTACAAATGTTGGGTGATTGAATGCCCATGATATCAGCCTTCCTCTATAAAAGCAAAAACATTTCCATATCACTCACTAAAACTGTGTACCGCCGCCCTCTACCAAGATGGCTAGACGTAGTCCGGGGATGTCAAACTCCCCGGCCGCCTTTTCAAGTACCGGCTCCCGACATATGTTCATTGACTCTTTCTTACGTGTACGAAGGCGATACGGCTCAGCTTATGGAGCTTATCAGACAAAGCATTTACCGATACACACATGATATTCTACGTATGCGTCCCTGTCCTTGGCCATCGTGGATCTCATAAGCCCATCCATGCACTCCGCGCTATATCGATAGCTGGCGCTTTGCCGGATCAAATTCGCAGGCTCCTCAATCTTCAAAGAGGGGATGAGATGAGAATCTCTCTTTTTTACTGGCTGGAAAAACACCAACTATGCCACTGGGATTATGGTTTCAAATACTGTTATTGTTCCTGTCAACTTGTCCCTTACCAACCATAACCTGTCATTCACAAATTATTTACGAGATACCACAAAATAAAACTTCTTCTGCGAGAAAGTCACTCCGACTGGGTTATCAGATTGAAGCCCATTCTGTACCATATAAAGAACGGTAAGCATCTAAGAGTTCTACATGCGTAACTCTTGAATAAACTGGGTATCATCCCTTTGCACACATCCATTATGCCACAACCACTTAGAACTTGACCACACGATGAGATCAGAGAAAACGGAAAATGAGGCACCCCGTATCTATTCTCCAAACAACCGTCGCACCCGCTTGAGAACGCTATCCTTCTCGGGGTCGTATGGGTGGTCCTTGCTTGGGATTTCTAGAACGGCAGGGAATGCGTCGGCGAAGGAATCAACACTGTGTCGGATGCGCTCTGCAATCTATTCCCATCGGTTAGCATGACTATGAATGACGATGAACAAAAACAGAGCATCTTAATCTAAAACATTTGGAGCCTTAGAATAACATACGTGTTGATTGATGAGGACAATAGCAATGTCTTTTCTTTCTTGAGTAAAGTTTTGGAACGCTTTTTCGATCGTAGACGTTTCGGTCTTGGAATCTACCACGAGAAAATTCCGTTGGGAGTCGGGGGGATCTGTGACATGCTGAATTTAAAGGGCCGATTAGCTCAGGGTCACCGACTGTAGCTGTCGAGGTACCTACACCGACACCTGCGAGAAGAAGTCCCGTTACCGAGCTAAAGAGAGGGATTAGCAAAATCCTTCCCCTGAAATAAGTCCATGGGCTGCGAATTACTCTTCATCTCCGATAACGGCAAGAAACTGCCGGTCCTGTTTTGGGTCAGCTGTCTGTCTGGTGCCAGTAAGAGGGGAGATGGTTGGTGTACCTTATATGCCACGGCCGAGGCCGCCATTGCGAGGGATATGAAGGGCCCGAGAAGGAAACGCCTTGGAGGTAAATGTGATCTACAAAGCAAATAACAGTAGGACAAGGGTGACAGTGTCCCCGGAGAGTCTCGACTTCCCGTAACTCGATCGGACAGTCGTCATAAGTGGCCCCGACGCTGCTTACCTAAGCGCGCTTTTTATCCTTGTGTTTTGTATGTTTACACAAGTGGGACCGAAAACTTGCCTCAACTTGGCGTTTTGTCTTGCCAAAGGTATGTCCATGTTGTTCACTACCATCTGCCTTTTGGCATTAGTTCCTAGGCTAATACCTGCCCGCTTTGTAGTTTTTCGCGCTACCTTCATAGCTTTACCGGCGTCACAATGCCCCGGCTCATACGCCGTCGACCATTGGTAGAGCGTATCAAATCATATCTGAACCCGTTAGACTTCCTCCTATGGTTGTCGGAAGAGATTGATGCAAATGACTGGGATCAGTTCGAAAAGGATTGGGCGCTGCCTTTGGGTGTGGCTCTGAACGTGGTCTTCTTGATCGCAAGAGCCAACTCTCGTCCCAGTGGTAGTAGAGCCATCGATGATGTCTTCGGCGATGATGGAGGAGCTCCTTGGCTTAGCTGGCTTGTAGGTGGCTCTCCTTTTCTCATCTAACACCGTCTTTTTCTACTATGACATGGGCGTGGTCCGACGCTAACAAGCACCATCGTTACAGACTTCCTTCATCGTTCATCTACTCGTCGGTTTTACCGGGTTTAATGCGTTTTATACATTTTACCGCAAACGACACTATCGCATGTTTGAAGCATCGATCGATCGGGCACCTGCCACACCATCAGCTCACCGTGTACGAGTTGACTCAACACCGGCCTCGCCATTGCGATACTTGACCAATGTGGTTTCAGGGTCGGCACGATCAAGAGCGCACCCCGATGCGCAGCGCGATGTGTGGGAGCTTGCAGTCTGGGATCCGTTACCGATATGTCTTCGGTTGTTTTGCCTTTTCAGCCCTGGACATGTACTGGTCTACTGGCTCTTCCTGCCTACACAATTATCAGATCCGCGACCAAGTGTTACCATAGTGACAACGATCTTCCTGACGACCCTGCTATCAGTGCAGATGACCTTTTTATCCTCATCCTTTACGCAGCAGGCAAAGGATTCCGCTCTTGTCCATAAGGAGGTGTTGAAGGAGTACGACACGAAATATGTGCATCCTCGAACTCAACCTCTAATGAGAGATGTTGGAACTCAGTTCCACAACGCAGACGCTACTCAGTCCGGCTCTGAATCAAAATCTAATAAAGTTGATACTTATACTCCTACCTTCGTCATTCAGCGGGGATTTAAGACCAGTCCGAACCCGAACTACCTTAAACACGTTGATCCGGATGGCATGTCTTCCGGACGTCAATCCCTAGCCGGAACCCCTTCTGGCCCTTCTCAGTACCGAGGCCCACTGCAAACACCAAGTCATTTACGGGATGCTTCTCCTATCGTTCGAGGGCCCATCTCGTCAATTCGCCAGCCACAGTTTCGTCAAACCCCTACTGCCACGGGGGACGGCGGGAGTCTTGGTATTTACTCGCATGCTAATTCTCCGTTGAGGAAATCAGCCTCAACAAACTTTGAGCGTCGCCTTCAAAATACTGGGGATTTCTTCTATAGAGAGCGAGGTGCAAGTCCGATGAAGAAGCCATCTAGTCCGCTCAAAAGGAGCAATGTTCCTGGCGACGCAAATCCCATGGCGTCAAGCCCGGGACGGAGTCACCTCGAGTCACGCCGGCAAACAGGGAGGTTCTAGACAATGTCATGTGCTGTTTCCAGTGAAAAGGGGAACAGTATGATTGGCAATCCGATGCACCACGCATTCCTCGGATTTCTTATACCGTTCACACACATATAGTCTTGTGGACAAGTCTTATCTAAGCATATGGGAGGGGAGTCTGGGAGTTCTAGGTCTTTTTATCGCCTTAGAGGTTTTTTTCCTATTGTGATTAGGGGGTATAACGTCCACTCATATCAGCTCGGGAATGCAGGTCGATAATGGACGCGGGCCAGCCACTGTAATATATGTTCCGTGCCGCATTGTTGCGACCTGTGGGAGATTTAAATGACCCACAACATCAAATTAAGAAGCCAAAATATGTTCCAGTCTTTTCACTCCTGCTAAGATTACCTGTTTGCTCCTGCTTGGGACGTGCCCAGATGGGCATGGGCATCGTTACTTCCCATTCATGATCCACAAACGTGAACCAAATTGAAAGGCACTTGCCAACTAGCGTGCAACTACCATGCCAAATAGCGTCACAGGCTAGACCACACATTCCATGTTGGGCCATTCTCGTTTGTTGTTGCATTCCTTAGAGTGGTGAGAGCTGGGTTCCTCAGCATTCCAATCGTATCATTACGCACGTCATCCCTTTGCAACTTGGAATCAGCCTGCAGAGCAAATGTTCTCTCGAAATCTTCTTTCATATGTTCTGTCGTGTTTCGATGAGTCTTCAGTTCCATCGCCGCACGGCAAACGCCCTCGAAGGCGTAGTGATCATACAATCCTCTCTCGAAAACGAGCAACAACTCGATTCTCTTCTGGGAAGGAATGGTTCAGACGAAGGGCTGAACCTGGCCTAAGTGTCGAAGCCTCCAGCCTTCCCCATCGGACGAAAATGGAGGAATACATGCATTTGCCAAATGGACACTTGCTCAACCTTGAACCCCGAGCTCGAAATGGCGGACGTCCCACTCTCATTAACGAAGGCGCGGAAAACGACCAAAATGAAGCATATACTACGGGCTTGGACCAAAAGCCGGCTGGATTGAAGGGAGGCTCCCCCAAAACACCGCCTCAGAGTCTCTTGCGAAGAGGTAGGCCCACCAAGCTTCCCAAGCCAAGAGTGTTTGCGGATAGGGCTAGGGACCAAAAGAAGGAAGAGTCTGTCACGCCCAGGATAAAGGAGCAGAAGGTCAACACGCACGTCCAGAATAGACAGTCCCCGGGTGCCGCAAACCGTGAATCACCAAAGGCGACGGACAAAGACCGTGAGCAATATTGGCGAAAGGTCCGAGAGAAGTTCGACAAGGACTCGCCTACCTCAACGCGGAGTAAAGACAAGCAGAAGGACTATTATCAGGAAGCTTACCGAAAAATTCGGTCTTTGGCTAGCACGCCCAAACACGAAATTGCCAAACATAAGCTAAAAGTCGCGAGCCCAACTACTCGTGATGCAAGACTATCTGGGCAAGGTGCCAAGGCCAGCACCAAAACTGCGGGCCCTAGCGTCGATAGTCAAGGCAGCCCTGCGTCTAAATCCCGGAGCCATTCCGCAAGTCAGATTGCTTCTCGCTCGACCAAGGATAGACAGGCAGCCCAAGAGACCCGTGAAATAGCGCTTCAGGGGTCTCCAGAGAAGATATATAGTACGACTGACTCGTCCATTCATTCACACCCGTCTATATCGCCGGTGTCAGGCCCCAGTAGCTCGATGACTGAGTGGGAGGATAGATTTGTCGTTAATATGCCCTCAGCGAGAGATCCAAATCCGCCAACGATGAGCGTGGAGCAGATTATGGAGTTCCAGAAGAGTATTGAGAAAGTGCATAAAGAAGGCGAGACGATGCTTGATCCAGATACCCTACCAAGTCCGCGTACTACGACGCCTGAAGATAAGCCGAATCCTCCAGAACACGAACGAAAACAGCTGGGCACCCTTGATGGCCAAGATTCACGCTCGACAGAGGTAGATGATCAAGCGCCGACATATGGTCATAATCGCTATTACTCGCCTGACGAGATCGGAAAGCAGCGCTTCAGCACTATATGGGAGGAATCTCCATCAAAACCAAAACAGAAGGCGCCCGAGCCGAATCCGGACGGCTCTTTTTTAGGGTGCAGGGAAATCAATGGCCCAAACGACAAAAACCCCGACGAGATCCTATTTTTCTCGACGGCCAACGAGCGCCCAAGAGTAGTAGATGTCTCGGTACCAATGGCCAAAGCGAAGGAGTGGAAGAAACTCGCAACGCCGAGTCACCCGGCGACACCAGCATTGGAGGAAAAGACTGTCGTTCAAGAAGAATGGAAACCAATTTCTCAGAATTTGAAGCATGCCCAATGCTCCAAGCAGTCGCCGAAGACGATGTGTCGCGAGACCACATGCACGCACCAGGAAAAACCAGAGATGTCTGCGCGTATTTCAGGCAAAGAGAACACACGCCACGCTGCCAGCACAACGAGAATCCCGGACCAGAGAAAGAACCAGGGGGACGATGTATTCATTATCACACCCACTATCACACGCACTATGGTGACTATGGCGGATACGAGAAGCGCTACATCGACGCAAACACGAATACAGCAGCCCACGTCTCGAGTGGCAGGCGAGACAGTCAAGGATGCGAGGGTGAAGCCACAGATGAGCTCTTCACCATCAGGGTTACGACGAGCGACCCAAAATTCGTGGGAGAGATCACACGTAACTTATACAGTACCTTCAAGAGGCACTCCCATCACAAGCACCCCCGTGGTACAGCAAACTCGAGCAGAGCTGGAACACTTGGGCGTAGAGAGGCGCCGAGCTATACGTGGGTACATCCGTATGCCAGGCATGGTAAAATCGCGCACAGAAAATCTCGGTCAACGCACACATAATTCTGCTTCATCACACGTGTGTGTTGCACCGCCGAGCAACGAGAACCAACCCCCTGCCAGGAGTGTTTCGGACTCGTCTCAATTCTTTCCATCCTCGGCCCAGGATATTTCTCCCGCCAGTTCGCTCACCAGGGATCAACGAAATCAAAAAGCACCACCGCAGACCGCTAGAATTGTTGAAGTGGCCGAATTGGATGGCCTTCAAGTTGATGATCCTAAAGAAGAGAGTAGGACAGATCACAAGGAAGACCACAGGTCGAGCGACAAGTGCACACCAAGAGAGCATGCTCGTCTGAAAGTCACCGACCTACATGCTGGTCTGCAAGCTAGTGTCGTACAGCCGGATTACCGGGGTGTATTGAATTCGGTGACTATGAGTTTATTGATGGACATCTTCGTTCTGTCGGCTGCACAGGCACAAGGACTTTTTGCTCAAATAATGGACAACAGGCATTCGAGGACAGACTTGTTCAGGGTTGCCTTGAACTGTGTCCTGAACATGGCTGAGCATTGCTTACATGTTTTCAGGAACCTGCTCCATGCTTGCTCCGTTTACACTACAACAGGGGCCTGGCCTAGGCCAAGCGAGAAGGATTTTGCTCGCTTGCTGACCGATCTTTATCAAGCCACGATTTACCTTGCTGCTCTTGGTTTCATCATGATGCTTGTAGGTCGGGCGCTTGGGTATGTGGTTTTGATTGGAAGCTGGATTGTGTGGTTCATAAGGCCTATCGGGTGGCTTTTAGGCGCTCTGGGAAGAGTTCTACTGGGCATGACGAGCTGACATCATTGATACTTTCCTTGTTCTTGTTCTTTTCATTACTTGAGTGGCAGGATCCTCGTCTCATGTATTATTCTTATGTTTAACATCCTTCTGGGGACGCCAGTTATTGTTACGACCCGCTATGCAATACAAGGCATTCTTCCGTATCGTCGCGTGCCATTATCCCTCCCATTCTTGACTGGTAGGAAGAGCGTATAACCTTGAGAAGAATGGAAGACAAGAGACGTCCATCATTAAATTGAGATTGAAATTTTTTAATTTTCTTTTGTCTATACGATGTCTTGGAGCTTCTATTCAAGACTCGAGTAAATAGATTCCGTTGAATTATATCAAACACTTCATGAAGAAACTCCGTATCCCGTGTTGAAAAGGATCGCCTTTTTTGTTTCTCATGAACCCAACTCCGGTGTCATCCATAGTGTTGAATTATCGTAAGGTCTCCCGTTTTATGTAGCCCTGCTCTTAGTTGAAGAAAAATGAAAAGAAAGGAGAAAGAAAAGCGAGATACAGAGCTGAGATAGGGATGTGTAAAGTAAAAGAGAAGAGAGCTTTGGACTCTATCGGAGACTGGTGATTATCATGTTGAATATTGAGATTCTCGCGCTCGATGAGAAATGAAAATAATCGGGTGGGGTATAAGGTTGAATGTTAAAAGCCATGTTGAAATTAAGTAACGCTCAAGAAGAAATCGTTGAGAGGTCTTCAATTCATATCGCCGTAAAAAACAGTTGGGCCTTGGGGAGTGTTGTTGTGTACCCCAGGCTGGTATCGTTGAGATGTAGATGTTGAATTAAGAAGTTGTAGTAAATCGTTGAAGAAATGCTAGGAAAGTTACCGTACAGGCAAGGGCCTGCTGGAATTTTGTTTATGACGTGGGAGTTAATTCTTTACGGCGATCTCGGTCGCGTCGGCCGTTCCGTTTTCTTGGGATTTCGAGTCGATATTTGCGGTGACTTCGACGTCGAAATCTCTTACATGCAGATCCTTGAACAGTTCAAAGAGAACGCTGGTATTGTGGAAGTCGTTGTTGACTGGACATCAAAGGTTAGTAAGGTAGAAATGCGTTAGCTAGTGGCGCCACTCACCAATATTTACAAGGTACCAATTGTCCACGAGACCTTGAATCAACTTCCTGCTGGGGCTTGTAGCATCATGACACTTAGCCCAATCTTCACCTAAACGGTATGCCTCGTCCTTCCAGGCTAAGAAACTGATCGTTTCTACGATAGTGGGTTGGACAACCTCTCTTCCTGCGAAGATACCCCAGGTCAAAGCGTTGGGGCTATCACGAGTGTTGGTCCGCAGTTCACCAGACTTTGAGATAGCATGGTAGGTGAGGTCTTCATTACTTTCGATGCGCGCAATCAGTTCATCAAGTAAGTACGGAGGAACCAAGAGTTCAAGGTATGCCTTCTGGTAGACGAAGCCGTTCTTCGGACCCCATCCGTACACAGGGTGGGACGACCTGGCTCCATTGACAGCCGGCTGTGAGTTGATAGTGAGGAGACCTCGGTTATTGAGCTCGATCAAGTTGGCCTTAATAGAGTTCGCTTCGGAGCTGATGGGCGTGTCGCTCCAGGGCAACCGATTCAGCTGGCCCTCCAAGTAACGGACGAAGATATGCGAAAGGTCCCGAATGGACTTCGGCTCACCCCACAGCTGAATATTCTGTTCATTTGTGCCCTTGAGGCCTATGCCATAAGAGTCAAGCTCACCAAAGGCGGGAGATCTGGAATCGGTCCAGCGACCGTTCGGGAACTCGTCCCATGTCTGCGTGCGTGCGATGTAAGAAGAGTTCCGGTTCCTCCAGAAGATCGGGCGAACATCCTCCGCCCTGCGGTTAAGGCCAAGCGAGGGCCGCCAGGGCAAGGGTCGCTGGATGGGTGTCTCCTCAGAGGGCATAAGTTTCAACTCTTCGAGAACCAGCTGTGTTGCTTGGGCGAGGTTCATTGTGTAACTAATAATGGTTATAAGCTTTTATTTTGCAGTAGGGGAAGAGGATTCCAACTTACAAATGCAGATGGTTGAGGCCAGCTGCCAGAAGCCTCCTGCACATATCTGCGATCAGAACCTTTCCAATCTCCTTGACAGCTGCATCGTCATTCTTCACGGGCTCCAGAGCCTCGAGCCAATCTTCTGGGATATGGATCTTCGTCCAGTTTGCTCGTCTGATAAAGGCGGAATAAGTTTGAATAGGCATGATACCAGGAATGATAGGCACGTTGATTCCCTTGGCACGACACTTCTTTACCCAGGCGATGAATATATCCGTATCGTAGAACATCTGTGTGACAATAAATGTACTTCCTGCATCGACCTTTTCCTTCAAATGATCGATCAAGAGATCCACATCTGGGTTGTCGTCCGCACCTTCTGGGTATCCACCCACACCAATGTCAAAATGGTTTCCATACTTGTCCCGAATGTACTTGACCAAATCCTTTGCATAGCGAAATCCTCCATCAGCAGCTTCCCATTTCTCTTTCTCACGAGGCGGGTCACCACGAAGGGCCAAGATATTGGTGCAGCCCGACTTGTAGGCGGCCTGTAGGGCGGCATCTACCTTTTCCGTCGGCATGTCTGTACAGGTCAAATGCATGCAGGTCTCCAGCCCGTACACCGATTGGGCCACATTAACCATTTCACAAGTCAAGTCTGACAACCGCCCTCCGGCGCCCCATGTGATATCAATGAAGGACGGACCTAGTGCGTGCATTCGGTCCATTCTGTCATACAGGTTTTGCACACCTTGCGCGGTTTTCGGAGGGAAGAACTCAAATGAGATACCGACTCTTTCAGCGGCCTCATTTTGGGCCAGCTTATCTTTGATATGCATAGTGTGTTGTTAGACTAAATAACATATGGAAGTTAGCGGATACATTCCGAGTAAATGTAGTACAACACCGACTTGGCTGTACGGTTTAAGGATCTGGACTTACAGCGATGAGAGTGCGCTTGTACGAAAAATGAAAACCAAACTATCCAGGCTTAAAAGTTGTCTTAACCACTGTTTAATTCGTTCCTGGTCTTGAGGTCACCGGCCCTGCCAGGAAATGCAATGTTAATAACTCCAACGAAAAAAATTCGTTCGACAAGCAGATGAAAAAGAATTGAAAGAAGAAAGCCTTCGCAAGATCAGGTTTCAGAGAAGAAAAGAGAACAACGTTAAAAAAGAAGAAAAATCCGGCTTTACGTGAAAGCAAGGGGAGGGTTAGATAACCTATCGTTGACTACGTAAAAGAAGGCCGGACTTCGGAGGTTGACGAGCGGCACGTGTCCCACCCCCAATGAGTCAGTTTGACGAACCCCAACAGTGTTTAAGGTATCTCAGTGCCCCGTTTATGGGAAGCGATGATATATAGGGACACTAGTTTGCCCAGAAACGCCTGAATAAGGTAGATTGGGCGGTAAGTAGAGTGGGAGGAAGTTGGGGAAGGAGTAAGAGAAGGTAAAAGAGTCCAGAGCTAAGACGATACGTCGGTCCGATCCACGGGCTCCCCCAACACCCCTCATTCCTGCGCGATTGGCCTAAGGCCTCCGCCCACCTTGCCCCTCCTTTAAAAATTGCCTAAAAGAAAAAGATAAAAAAAAAAAAAAAGAAAGAGAGGACCCCATCAGCCGTTCTTCCCCCAGACCAGACACATCTCACCTCAAGAATTACTACTACTATTACTGCAACACCTACTCTTTTTTATTGGTCAACCAATTGAGGCATTCAAATTACTAGCCTTGTTCCATTACAACTCGAGATCTATCATTAAATAAAGTAAAAAGAAAGGAACAATGTCCGCCGCTACCATTCCTCCTCCCGCCGCCGAGCAAGACTACAAGGAGACTTTGCTTCCCTTGTTGATGAAGAACAATGTTCTCTCATTTGGTTCCTTTGTCCTTAAGTCTGGTCGGGAATCTCCATACTTCTTCACCTCTTCCCTCCTCCATACCGCGCCCCTACTCCGTGCCACCTCCGCGGCCTATGCCAGCGTCTTGTCTACCCCGCCATTTGTGACCGCTAAAGCCGACGGTACTACGACTCCTAACTTCGATATCATCTTCGGCCCTGCGTATAAGGGCATCCCGGTCTGCGCCTCCGTCTTGAACGAATTGGCCGTGCGGGACTCTCTCTCCGCCTCTGCTCAGGGAACTTGGGACAACGTCAGCTACTCGTTCAACCGCAAAGAAGCCAAGGACCACGGCGAAGGTGGAAACATTGTCGGTGCTCCGCTCAAGGGCAAGCGTGTGGTTATTGTCGACGACGTCATCACCGCTGGAACCGCCCTCCGCGAGGCAGTGAGCATCATTCAGAAGGAAGGCGGAATTGTTACAGGCGTCGTTGTCCTGCTAGATCGTGAGGAAAGGGTCAGCGACGCCGAGCCGAAGAGCGCTATCGGTGTTGCACAGAGGTCTCTTGGTGGAGACATTCCCATTCGTGCCGTGATCGGTCTTCACGATTTGATCGAGAAGCTGGGTGATAAGATCGGAGAGTCCGAGATTCAGCGTTTAAAGGACTACCGTGCTCGCTACGGAGCGGAGTAAATCCGGTGCTCTAGCAGTATAAGATAAAAATAGACGACGAAATGATTATAAATGTCTCGTAAATACACCGCTTTGGGGCTCATCCTTTGCCGGTTCTCTAATGTATTCTAAAGCCTGGTCAAGAGAGATGTCCATTGCGTTCTTGTCTTCTTTGGGTTTTCCTTCTAGCTGATGCAATAATGTTGGTTTATAATTTGACCTGGTTTATGTACTATGTTCATGTATGTACGATTATTTATGATGGATGTGTCAAAATGGAACTTGTCATGTGTATTTTTGTTTATATATATCTTGGGAAACGTCTCGGCTTTCCAAGCGAGATTTTGTCAATATAGAGCAGATCATAGTCTTGGAGCTGAGATTGGACACTTCTGTTTAGACCTAGAAGAGACCAGATTTATTGGTAGACAATGCGTAGTAAAGAAATAGATATAATGATTTCGGTGGAAACGTCTACATATAACTTGAATATTCTTCTACGTTTGCAAAAGAATATATAGTTGGTTTAATGTAATCAAACTAATATAAAGGAGTATATATACAATAGAGCAAAGAGACTTTTTGCAATAAAAGATACATGATACTCCAATGAAAGAAGATGTTATCATGTTATCACTTATATGATAGAAGATAGTTGTGTTACCCTCATCAACCTCTCACCGAAATTAGGCACGCCCTTCTTCCCTTTACTGTCAACAACGAGGGCGAAGACAACACCTAAAGGGATCGATTCCCAATTCAAATGTCAGTTTTGTGGCTCGTAAGTATCTATGCGACTACTGGCTATGCACCATTGTTGTTACTACCCTCTTTTAAATAACTCTAACTGGACTCTCCTCCCTATACAATTGCGGGTTCCTAATATTTAACCTATTCAAGAATTTAGATATACTATACCTCTTTAGTCTTACTGGATAATCTAGAGCTTATCATTATGGCATAGGGTGAAGACCATTGGAGGTTTTCTCCGCTGACTTCTGTCTCGAGTGGAACGGACTCTTTCCAGAAGACTGTCTTTGCACCTATCTCCAAGGATACACGACTACTCGGACACCGAAGGAGTCCGAAAATCTCCGTGCAAATGATGGCAGGAGTAATCTTCCCGTAATTCATGTTAAAGGGAGAGATAGGTATCAAAGGCTTCACCGAGACTTACTATTTTGTTTGTGTGCGGAGTCTCGATCCCACGGAGCCACGGATGAGATACGGACAAAACAGTCTTGCTGGGTGACTTGCATTCCCCGTACCGATTGCATAGCTTGACACTACAGGAACTGGGCTTGCGATTTCAAGGAACCACTCTCGCAGATACCAGCCATTTAAGCTCTAGCATGGGCAGACGAGCTCTGCTGTAACATTACAGTGCGCGAGTTGATTGCATGCAGACACGGATAAACTTCTTTGTAGCAGGCAACAGTGGCATATAAACAGATCAACATCCTTGATCCATACAAGTAAGGAATCAGAGCAACCAAGGTGTTTGCTACCGTCATAGCATATGTGGTGCCATTCTGAAAATCCGCCTCAGAAAGACATGTCTGTGGCGAGGTGAAGTCAGCTAAGGATTACATTCCCGTCTTGTACAGACCCCGAGAAAGGCAGGCCATCAAGGGCAGACGGTAGAGTCGGTGAACGATGAGAGGGAGGTCCTGCCACTCATTTTGGTGTTAATGAATGCCGAAAGTGGATACAATGTTGGACGTTTACTTGATTTCCAACAGTTGTCGGACTCGGCCAGCGCGCTTATAACTGCTATCACAAAGTTTCACCGGTAACAGAGCGTGTCAGGAAGGTAAGTATTCTCAGAAGGGTTACTAAAGTTGACATGTATTGCTCACTGCTGCGCCGAGTAGAACGAGTCAAATTCGCCAAGGCCTGCAATATCGATGTATATGATATGTATGGTGACTCCAACGCGGTCTTCCATGTGCCTATAGGACTTACTGGCACCTGCACGATGGATAAGCTAGTCATTTTTGGAAGATTAAAAAGCGGAGGTGAAGCATGCGGTTGAGATGTAATATTTGCAATGGTCTAAAAAGGTTCGGTTTACGACGCACCGATTATGCACAGGGAGGCTCGGTGAATGTTGCCTCCCTGTTTGTTACACGGATATGTCAGCTCAAGGCAGACGTTTTTCCCTTTCAGGCCAGACGTAAATCTGAGATGGCCACACCGCTTTGGTCCCTTGTTTATCATTAGTAGTACTTCTGATATCATACCGAGACTCGCTTGCGACGAATTTAGTAGACTGTTGTAAGGACGTGGGACAAATCCGATGTTGGGTATTACCGCTCCTTTCATTCTATTCAATCCTATCGCAACAGTTGTGCTGTCCGGTAGTCATTGTGTACTGTACCTCCATACGAGGCGAAATTATCTCAGAACTCGAACTGCGCCAGGTAAGCCGAGAAAGGGCAATGCCGTACAGAGTGGAGCCATGAAACGAATAGGCTTCATCATACATAGGAGCTCTTTGCCATTGTTGGACAATGCATGGTCGGGTATAATGTTCCGGGAGAGAGGAGGGAACAAGGTTTTGAGCTACTTCAAATCGATGTAACACATCAGATAGCCCAGTCTGGTTACTTATATAGATATACGCTCTAGATTCGCGTCGGCTTTTCCGGAGTGGTTGATCGCCTCAGATAATGATGCTAAGGCCGATATTGGAAGTTGTCGCTGATTAGCAATCATTAGAGCAACGCCGTATAGATTAGGGTTGTGCTTCGGCTGACGGAGAAACTCTTCAAGAATTATTTTTTTCTCTTTTACCATATGCGTCTTATATACATATCTAGATGTAGGAGCTTGGAGGCCGAGCACGGACTATATAGGTGGACCAAGCCGATGTGTTGTTAATCATGTTTATGCTCCTTGGGGACAGTTTACCGAGATCCTGGCAGCGATCATCCAAGGGTTCCCCCTCGTTAAGGCGGTCTGTAGTGGGCCCCTTCTCCCCCTACCCACAACGAGATCCGGGGGCCACACGAATCGGGCGCTACCGGTCTGCCCAGGTCTTCCCCCACTCAGCTTTGAACTCCCTACGCATCCATGTCTATGTTTTGTTACTAGTTAGTCATTAGTCTAATAGTATATAACAGAGTAGGTAGCTAGTCGGTCTCCGATAAGGAATAGTCAATAGTCACCATCAAGGCCCACGGCGTTCTGCTCCGCAAGCTTATCCGGAGGTACAGCTAGTTTATGCATTCTATATGTCATTCGATGTGACAGTTGTTCCAACGCTTTGGTATATTCTAATGTGTATGTACCTATGATAAATACTAACAGACTACTGGGATAGTTCTTCCACCCGTGCCTCCTCCAGCAAGGGATCAACCCTCAGGATAATAGTTTCAAATCACTCTGCCGTTTCGATACATGGTATCATTCGGGAATATCGCCAGGATGAGTTGTTGTGTTTCTTGCGACAAGTCGGAGCTCTGGAGAACGGACCTATTAGGAAAGCCGAGCCTATTAAATTCAACTGTTATGACTAGTAATTAGCTTCGGTCAACATATGTTCCGTATTATTATTTTTTATTTACTCAGTAATATCCGGTTGAACTCAAATTTTGAGATCAATTTGCAGGGAAATTTCCAACGAAGAATAAAATTAATCCACGTCACCATCGACTCCTTCTATCTAGTTCTATTAACCTCTCCCAAGCCATGAGCCTTTGCGTCAAAAAGACTAATCCACCAATCCGTAAGATGTTCCTGGGGTATGACCGACCAATTGCCTGGTAAGTTAGGTAGCTTTGTCCCCTTGCATCTGATAGAATCTCAAACAAGCCTAGAAAGGGTAAAGCGTCGACAGGTATCAAGAGGTTTATGAGAAACTGGTAGACCAGCCAGCCATCGATTGCAACTTATTAACTTTACGATACTAATCGCAGATATAAAAGTATCTTCGCTTCTATTATCTCAAAACCACTAAAGCAAGGAGACGCATAATAGAATAATATTAATAAAAGAGTTTCAATCTGGATCCGTCCCAAACGCCTTACAAACGCCCACTTCTGTAATATGAATATGTATAATTATTTACGCTATCTCTGTACGCTGTCACGTTTTGCTTTTCTTTTCTTTCTTATTTTAGGTTATAGAAAAAAGAACTTATCAAGCGTTCGGCAGCCGACTAGAAATGCGCGGACAACCTCACTGCAGATTATGGTCAACCTCAGCAAATCGAGCCTAAGCATAATCATCCCCCAACAATTCGAACATAGATCAGCTGGAGCGATAAGCAAAATGGAATTCCAGCACTGAGCTCCTTGCCCTAAATGATACTGGGAATAAAGAGATAAATGAACAATTTATGGGTGAAATGCACGTTGACTAAGCAGAAGAAACGATATGAGGTGTCATAATGCCACTGCCATAATTGGTATTGTAAAGATAAGTGCTCTCTTATTATCCCGATCATCCCGGTGAAAAATAACAAATATTGTGACATCATGTCCGTGTCCTCGGTTCCACATGGCATATCAATACTACGACTACTGATAGTAATATGGAGTAATATTAGTTTGATATCTATCGTCTATTATCAGACTAGACTGTTGTAGAACTATGAAAGCTCCAATAGCAGATGCCGATACCTGACTTATTCACTTATCAGTGCCAAAGGCCGGTTAAATATGCTGCAGGTCCAGTATCTTCAGCGTAATGGATAGAACCTGTCCACTAGAATAAAGTAAACAAGGGTATCAGCAGGAAGCCGTTACGTCGATAAGTTTTGAATGGGCAGAGTCCCATGTAATAGGAGCGTTATGGCGGTTTATTATTTTGACTCTTTACTTTTTCTTTTTCTCGGGGCACCTCGTGGAATATCCTTCTGTCAGGTGGCCATGTAGAACTTGGACAAGAATTCAATGTTTACAACCAAAAACTCCCAACGTATGAGTTGTGTAAAGATAACCTGACTCAAGAGTAGGGGTCTAAAGAAGCTATTCAAGCTCGCCATGGTATAGCCTAATGATAACGTTTGTAAGCCAACAGGTAGGTTATGCATACAACCTCACATTGAGTGTGAGTACCACGTATCTATCAAGTACATACTTTACCGGAAATTGAGCGGCATATGCTATCCATCACACTATTTAATTATGCATAAAATCTCGCATATGCTTTTCTAATTTGGAAAAGGCAAAGTATCGGTAAGTATCATATCTGAGGCTGTTTGGGGCATCTCAGAATGAGGAAATTGGCTGATAACATTCAACGTGAGCCTTTTGATATATCAGATAAGTGGGGATGGAATAGGTGAGGACCACCACTAGGGGTACCCGATCAAAATGACACCAAATAACCCGGACCCACTCGTACTGTAAATAGTATTGCGTTAGAAGCATGCAAGAGGAAGAGTATAGCTGCATGCTATGCTATCCTCCTTCGGTACAATCGTTCGCCCCTCCCAAACTTCCTTTGAGCGCAATAGCCTTACTGAGTCTACCATCTCGGTCAGCGAATGATTGAGTCCCGAGCGATCATGGATAGGGGTGGCTGATCTTGAAAGGGAGGGCCTTAAGCTCCACTGTACACGCGCAAGTGTCTCCATATACCTGTTTGTCTATTCATCTCGCAGGCCGGCAAACTAGATGTCTTGTCCTCGTTCTTTTTTTACGTTTTTCTTTACTTTTCTATATTTTCAATTTTTTTTGGAGAAAAAAAACAATGAAAGAAAGAACGAAACTCTGTTTGAGCTGTAGTATCATGAACTGGCAGTGTAAGATCGTCGGTTACTTTTCTTGTTCATGCTGATATCGATTCCTTGTTGACCCTTCTACCTGTCTGTATAACAGAGTTAATGCTGCCCATTTCTAATCAGCAACTCTGGTTCCATTATCTGCAAGATCTCGGACAAAATTCCTCGCACATATACTTTTATTATATTCCCCCCCCTTTTATTTCCTCTTTCTCCTACTGCTCCATTTCTCACTGCCACTTCACTGCCGCCACCGATCTTCTTCCGGCCCCCTCCTCTCCCTCCCCGGTAGCCTGTTACCTATCAGACTCCCTCGACGGACTTTCCTCTCAGGTGTCAAGACACATAAAGAGGGAAGAGAGAGGCTACATCTAGTTTGGGAGAAACTCGCCCTCAAAACCTCTTATCCACCCACCCTTTTATACATCCTTCTACCTTTCCAGCCTTCATTAGTCTTCTTTGAGCACATGTCGGCTGTGTAAAGAAGACGTTGCTAAGCGGCTTATTTGAGTGACCGTCGGCAATGAAGTGGGGATTCACTGGTTCGCTGCTTGCGTTGCTCGCAGCAACAGCAACAGGCTGGCCCTATGATGAATCCCTGGTCGACTATAACTTGAATGCGAACAAAGATACTACCAATCCGGCGGAGTATACTCATGCAGAATGGAAAGACCATAAGTATCATCCTTCTCCGAAAACTTGGCGTTTCCCTTTCTATACCCTGTTTATTGACCGATTTGTTAATGGTGACCCCACCAACGATAACATCAACGGGTCTCTCTTTGAGCATGACCTCAACTCGAATCAAATGCGTCACGGTGGTGATGCGGTTGGTTTGGTCGATACACTGGACTATCTACAGGGGATGGGTATTAAGGTTTGCTCTTAGCTTGCTCTTGGTGCACGGCTTGTTGCTTACTGAGCTATTCAGGGAATCTATTTGGCAGGTACTGTGTTAATGAACCAACCATGGGGCTCAGACGGTTACTCAATTTTGGATACCACTTTGCTTGATCAACATTTTGGCACTATTCAAATATGGAGAGATGCGATTACCGAAATACACAAACGAGGGATGTATGTCCTATTTGACAACACTATTGCAACGTAAGACGCCCTTTTCGCCCGAGTTGCACATTTTCATGCTAACGCAAAACCAGCATGGGCGACTTGATCGGGTTTGAAGGATATTTAAATACTACTACACCATTTTCAGTCAAAGAACATAAGGCGCTGTGGAAAAGCAATCGTGAATATGTCGACTTCCGTTTTCACAACGATTACAATTCCACATGCGAGTACCCCCGGTTCTGGAATGAGACTGGTTGGCCCGTCGACCAAGATGTCAAAGACCAGCTGGTTGGATGTTACAATAGCGATTTCGACCAGTACGGTGATAGAGAAGCTTTCGGTGTCTATCCAGACTGGCAGCGTCAGTTGGCAAAATTCGCTTCAGTTCAGGATCGTCTACGTGAATGGCATCCTAGTGTCAAAGAGAGAATTATTCGGCACTCCTGCATGATTATAAAGGCCCTTGATATTGATGGATTTCGATATGATAAAGCAACGCAAGCTACAGTGGATGCTCTCGGCGACATGTCCCAAGCTTACAGAGAATGTGCTCGCAGCGTTGGCAAGAATAACTTCTTTATCCCTGGAGAAATCACCGGTGGAAATAACTTCGGTTCTATCTACCTTGGGCGCGGAAGACAGCCAAATCAATACCCTGATTCGTCCCTGGCTTCGATGAACATGACAAACAGTTCAGACCATCAATATTTCTTGCGTGAGGACGGTCTACAAGCGTTGGATTCGGCTGCTTTCCACTACTCGGTGTATCGTACCCTCACCCGATTCCTCGGGATGGATGGTAATCTGGCTGCGGGCTATGACACACCGTTGGACTGGACCGACACCTGGAATATTATGGTAATGACCAACGACATGATCAATGCCAATACCGGCAAGTTTGACCCCCGCCATATGTATGGTGCTACAAACCAGGATGTCTTCCGTTGGCCTGCTATCGAGCTCGGAATTGAAAGACAGCTCATGGGTCACTTCATCACAACGCTGCATCTACCCGGTATTCCAATTTTACTATGGGGTGAGGAGCAAGCCTTCTATATACTAGACTCCACTGCAGATAACTATATCTATGGCCGTCAAGCAATGTCTCCCTCCACTGCATGGAAAACGCATGGTTGTTACGCCCTTGGTTCGTCACAGTATTACAACTGGCCTATCAGCACAGGTAGGGAAGGGTGCCATGATGAGGCTGTTACTTATGATCACCGGGATCCCTCTCATCCTGTCCGCAACATCATCAAGCATATGTTCCAGATGCGACAGGACTTCCCTGTTCTAAATGACGGATACTCAGTTGTAAAGTTGTCAAAACAGACCCATGAAATTCAATATCCTGGTTCAAATGGTACAGCAACAGAAATCGGCATATGGTCAGTTCTGCGTGATCGAGTCGCAAACGTCCAAGACCTAGGCGATAACGGTGACAACGAACCTGTGTGGCTGGTATATCAAAACGATAATAAGACTGTGGAATACAAATTCGATTGTGGAAGCAATGACTCCGCCTTGATTTCTCCGTTCATCACAGGTACTACCGTTGTTAACCTCTTCTATCCTCATGATGAACACGAACTGAAGGATGGCCCAAAATCGCTTCATCTCAACGGCACCAACACCACGAATGGTTGTTTGGATAGTTTACAGCTGAAGCCCTTTGAGTTCAGGGCTTACGTTCCAAAAGCGAACTTTGTCAAGCCTCGTCCTATGATCACTCAATTCGAGCCTGGCCATGATGTGCCTCAACTTTCCAAAGTCGGCCCTAACGATTCAGAAGACATCGACGTCAGCATTTACTTTTCTACGAAGATGGATTGTGACAAGCTGACGAAGTCCATTTCATTTCAGTCCAGTACTGAAGCTGGCAAGACACCTTCCATCAGCAACAGCAGTGTCAGCTGCAAGGATGTCAAGGGAGATGACCCGAAGTGGACTGGCCAAATCCCAAACGCTTGGGTCTGGACGGCAAAGTTGACTGGCGTATATAACGGCATCCATCGGTTGACTGTTAAGAATGCTACTAGTTCCGATGGGCATAGTTCTACCCAGGCAGTGGACCATTTTTTGATCCGAGTGGGCCAAAGCGATAATCCAATGGTGTTCACCTCTGCCAACTACTCTACCTCCTTGCTTAACCAACATGGCAATGGGACCCTTTACATCCAGCACCGTGCAGCAGGGGCAAATAAATACCGCTACTCAACAAACTGGGGCTCCTCGTTTTCAGACTGGAAAGACTACCATGGAGGAAGCGATACCATTGAAGAACTGCCTTGGAGTGGGACGGACAAACAAAAGTGGCAAGGAAAGCACGTACGAGTCGAATATTGGAACAAATTGTCTGGCAGCAGTGACTATGCCCAAGAAGGCGATTTTGGATACGACCGGCCACGACGTTTTCCCCATCTCTTCTTCAATGGGCCCTTCAATCAGTATGGTTATGATGCCGGCCTGGACAACGTTGTGAAGCTGGATAGTGATGGCATTTGGAAGTTCAGACTCATGGCGGAATTTCCCGTACAAGGACAGTTTAATGTTTGGGGAATGAACCCAGACGGTCGACCTGATCAGAGCTACGTGCTTGGTGATATAGACAATGATGGTGTCTTGGACCGTATGCCTCCTTCCTCGCTTAGTTCCACGGTAGTGAACATCACAGATATCCCCCCATCTCCATATGTTGCGTGGAATCTTGGTGTTGATGATGGAACTTTGCGGGTTCATCTTCTGCCGACGGGCTCCAGGGCAATCCAGATAGCTGTTTACTTCCTCCTCTGGTTTGTTCCAATTGTCACAGCTATCGCTTGTGTGTATGCCTTTGTGAAATCTTTCTACCAAGTCAAGTTCAACCAAGTCGGAGTCAGTGAAAAGAAAACAATTCTTCCACTGGTACTTAGAAGAAAACTTAACCCAAACGGAACCGGGGCATCAATCAATCCCTTCATGCGACTTGCGAATAAATCTGGATTCTTACAGAGCACGTCTGCTTTTGGAACAGCAGCTTCGCGAAGACGAACGACCTTGATTGCTACCATGGAATATGATATTGAGGACTGGGCCATCAAGATTAAAATTGGCGGTCTAGGTGTTATGGCTCAGTTGATGGGTAAACATCTAGGGCAGCAGGATTTGGTCTGGGTTGTTCCATGCGTAGGCGGAGTTGACTACCCTGTAGATCAGCCGGCCGAACCTATGTTTGTGATAGTGCTTGGGAACTCCTACGAGGTCAAGGTACAATACCACAGGCTAAAGAACATTACATATGTTCTTCTTGACGCCCCTGTTTTTCGCCAACAGACAAAGGGCGAGCCTTACCCTGCTCGTATGGATGATCTGGACAGTGCAATCTATTACTCTGCTTGGAATCAATGCATTGCAGAGACGATCAGGCGATTCTCCATTGATCTTTATCACATTAACGACTACCATGGATCTATTGCTCCTCTTTATCTTTTGCCTCAAACTGTTCCCGTGTGCCTATCGCTTCACAATGCCGAGTTTCAAGGACTGTGGCCCATGCGCACCCAGAAGGAGAGGGATGAAGTCTGTTCTGTTTTCAACCTTGATCTCGATACCGCAAGGCGCTACGTCCAATTCGGTGAAGTCTTCAATATGCTTCATGCCGGGGCAAGCTACCTCCGTGTGCATCAGCAAGGATTCGGTGCAGTGGGTGTTTCTAGGAAATATGGCAAACGTTCCTATGCCCGCTACCCTATCTTTTGGGGTCTGAAAAAGGTCGGCAACCTACCAAACCCAGACCCTTCGGATACTGGTGAATGGAATAAAGAACTGCCAAAGGATAGTGAAATTCAGGTTGACCCGAGCTACGAGGCAAGCAGAGGAGAGCTCAAACGTCAAGCGCAGGAATGGGCGGGCTTGGAGCAGAACCCTGATGCCGATTTACTGGTATTCGTTGGAAGATGGTCTATGCAAAAGGGCATTGACCTTATTGCTGATGTGATGCCTGCTGTTTTGGAGGGTCGTCCCAATGTCCAGCTTATATGTGTTGGTCCAGTAATTGACCTTTATGGTAAGTTTGCTGCACTGAAGCTTGATCGTATGATGAGGCTATATCCCGGGCGTGTCTTTTCAAAGCCCGAGTTTACTGCACTTCCACCATTCATTTTTTCTGGTGCTGAGTTCGCCCTTATCCCATCTCGTGATGAACCTTTTGGTCTTGTTGCCGTTGAATTTGGCCGTAAAGGTGCCCTTGGAATTGGCGCTCGTGTTGGTGGCCTCGGTCAGATGCCAGGTTGGTGGTACAACATTGAATCCACGACAACATCCCACCTCTTGCATCAGTTCAAGCTTGCTATTGAAAGCGCCTTGAATTCCAAGACTCAAGTTCGTGCAAAGATGCGTGCGCGGTCTGCAAAGCAACGTTTTCCCGTTGCCCAATGGGTCGAAGATCTAGAAATCCTGCAGTCCACTGCGATGCGGATCCACAGCAAGGGACAGACAAAGTCAAACAGTCAGCCTCTCACGCCTTCTGGCTATACCACCCCAAGTGGGATGATAACTCCCAATGGGATGATGACGCCTCCTATTGCATCACCTGGGACCATGACTCCAACAGGGATGCAGACACCTCCAATTGCCCACTCACGAGAAGGAAGCTATATAAATATCAGCGCCAATCGTGATAGCGCTTATGGACCCCAACAGCGCAATACCATCATTTACAGTGATTTAAGTCCTAATGGCAATGAGCAACCCAGGTCAGGACTTAGTAGACAACTATCACTTGGTGTCCGGGCTGGACCAGGTCATCTTGTGCGCCGTGGCCGCCGTCGACTTAGAAGAAGCAGCCATATGAGCAATGAGGAGAGTGGTACAGCTTCTATGACAGAAGAAAGCAGTGATGATGATTTGTTTCCCAGCTACTATGGAGAAGAAGAATACACTCTCACACCAGAGCAAGTAGAAGAGGGGCAGCGAGTAGAGACTGCTCAACAGCGAAATGCTCAGAGGCCGCTTGCATCCCCCACCAACTCAGACATTGAAGATGGGATCACACCGTCTGCAAGACCACCTTGGGCTCAGCCTGGAAATCGACTTAGTAGCGCATCTGTTCTCTCCGTCGATTCTATTGTTGGTGAGAAGAAAGATTACAAGTTGCAGAAGGTTGATCCATTTTTTACCGACAGCACTGGCGAATACTACCGGGCGTTTGACCAGAAGCTCGAGAAGCTTAATGGATCTAACTCTGAATCCCAGCTTTGTATAGAGGAGTATCTTATCAAGAGTGAAAAGAGATGGTTTGATAAGTTTAGAGATGCAAGGTTGGGACGCAATCAATCTCCTGCTTCTTCTATCTTCCAGACCAAGGTCGAAAACAACACGCCTATGAGCTCAATCTCTCACGAGGACATGGGTTCGCATGAGAGTGGTAGCGACCCACGCACGGAAAAGGACGAATTCCGTCTGGGACATGATTATATTCCCCCATCAGGCTTAAAGAAATGGATGCAAGTTCGAGTCCGCGGCTGGCCTGTATATTCGCTTTTCTTGGGCCTAGGTCAGATCATTGCAGCCAACTCATACCAGATTACGCTGCTTGCTGGTGAAAATGGCCAGACAGCGGAGAAGCTTTATGGTATCGCGACAGTCTATTGTGTTACCTCTATTATCTGGTGGTTTTTCTTCCGCTTCTTCAAATCGGTGTTCGTTCTTTCTCTTCCTTGGTTCTTATACGGCCTATCATTTGTCATTATTGGAGTAGCGCACTTTGAAACCAACAGTTTTGCTCGAGGATGGATCCAGAATGTTGGAAGTGGTGTCTATGCCGCTGCTTCATCTAGTGGATCACTATTCTTCGCTCTCAATTTCGGTGATGAAAATGGTGTTCAGGTTAAAGACTGGGTTTACCGCGCATGTCTGATTCAAGGTTCTCAGCAAGCATACATCATTGGGCTTTGGTATTGGGGAACAACGATTTCTAGGGCTGTTGCCGATGGTGTTACCGATGTCAACGGCGGCATTATTAACTCCTGGAAAATGACGTATGCTGTCCCTTTCATACTATGAGGCAATTGCTAACAGCCTATTCTAGTGCAATCTGCATGCCGATCGCTGCATTCCTTTGGGCCATAGGCCTGATAGTCTTCTTCGGTCTACCGAATTACTACCGTCAGTCACCAGGGAAAGTTCCGTCATTCTATCAATCTGTCTTCCGACGTAAGATCGTTCTTTGGAACTTTGTAGTGGTCATCCTGCAAAACTTCTTCCTCAGTGCACCTTATGGACGGAATTGGGCCTGTAAGTGCACCATACTCATTTCCCCCAAGCAACTGCTCACATCTTGTGTCCCACGCAGTCCTTTGGAGTTCAAATCACGCCAAAGCCTGGCAAGTCGGTATCCTTGTGGTTGTCTTCTTCGGTGCTGTCTGGGTAGCAATATTGTGCCTCTTTGGGTACCTTTCCAAGCGCCATAGCTGGATCCTACCTGTATTCGCATGTGGTCTGGGAGCTCCACGCTGGGCTCAGATATGGTGGGGTGTCTCAGGGATGGGCCTGTTCCTTCCCTGGGCAGGCAGTTCTGTTAGCGGAGCACTCGCGTCACGAAGTCTATGGCTCTGGCTCGGTATCCTAGACGCCTTACAAGGCCTCGGCTTCGGTATGATCTTGCTCCAGACCCTGACTCGAGTACACATCTGCTTCACTCTGCTTGCATCTCAAGTGTTGGGTTCGATCGCAACGATCGTCGCCAGAGCATGTGCTCCCAACAAGATTGGCCCTGGACCGATCTCGCCGGATGTTACTGCCGGCGGCAGTTCTGTCGCAAACGCTTGGTTTTGGATTGCCCTGTTCTTCCAGCTGTTGATCTGGTAAGTAACCCGTCTCTGCCGATTATTGCGTCTATACCAGCGAGTCGCTAACAAATCCCTCAGTGCCGGATTCTTACTATTCTTCCGGAAAGAGCAACTCACGAAGCCCTAATGCGTAGCTGCGAAGTCAATATTCAGCTACCTCCAGCTCCCGTCCACCCTCCAGCTCTTCATACACGCATACGCGGCAATCAAGTATGCATTCATCTCTGTGCAGGAGGCCATGATACGGGTTCAAAAATCTGGATTACTCAATCCACGCAAATAGACTACCTGCAACCAAGAAAAAACAGAAAGAGACAAAAAAAGGGACACAACAGCGACACAAAGCGGGAATAAATAGAAGCAAGAGGAGGAACGCACACGAACTGAAAGGGATTCTTCTTGTACATTAATTTTATGTCTGACGTCCGATATGGAGGATTTGCTTCTTTTTATTTTTTTTGCTTTCATAATTCTTCCAACATCCGCCCAGAGATAACAGGCGGAGGGAGAGGAGGAACGATCTCACTGCATATTTACGAGATACGGTGCTTTAATGGGTTTTTTATTGATGACGAATCGGATGTCGTTACGCTCCTTTTTTATCAAAACATGGATGGTTGAAGATTTGACAGTGATGTTGGTTTTGAGATGTCTTATGTTTCTCATTTTCTTTTCGCTCTTTATGAATTTGATGTTGGGTTGGCTGGGTAATTTTGGTTTTTTGTTTGGTTTTATCCCCTTGGGTATGATTTCGCAGTGTTTTGGTGGTAGAGGATTTATGATAATAATACTGGACAATGGATTGAGATGAACCTATTAAATAGTATATATAGTATTTGTTGTAAAGCTAGGATACTTTAGCTATCTGGCTTTTCAGGTATAAATAATCATTCTAGTCCGAAACCCGAAATTCCTAATATTTGCTCGCCAATTACCAAAAATCGATATTGTATAGTTGCATAAACGTCATGTCGTACCAGAAATGAAAGAGAACGGAAACGCTAGTGACACTGAGACTTTATTTTACCACTCCAAAGGCTCGGTCTTGACGTCTCCCCGGTTAGTCTTGGGGACAGGGGCGGCCTGGACCATGGTAGCGCCACGGTTTCCACGTTTCAGATAACCGCTTCCATCGAGCCAGGGGGTGTCGAGAGTGCGCTTAGTCTCGAAGGTGCGGATCTTATCCTCCATCTGGAGGGTAAGACCAATGTCATCCAGACCGTTGATCAGGCAGTGCTTGCGGAAAGCGTCCACATCGAAGCCGGCGAGCTTGTTGCCCTCAGCATCCTTGATTTCCTGGTTGATTAGGTCAACTTCGACTTCGCGGCCCGCGCTGGCCTCTACGGCGATCTTTTGGAGAGTGGCTTCATCGGAGACCACGACGGGAAGCATGCCGTTCTTGAAGGTGTTGTTGTAGAAGATGTCCGCAAATGAGGGGGCAATGATACACTTGATGCCGAAGTCGAGGAGTGCCCAGGGTGCGTGCTCACGAGAGCTACCGCAGCCGAAGTTGGGGCCGGTGACGACCAGGATCTTGGAGTTGCGGTAGATGCCCTGGTTCAGGACGAACTCAGGGTCCTCCTGGCCGTCCTTGTAGCGCAGCTCGTAGAAAAGAGCGCTACCAAGACCAGTACGCTTGATGGTCTTCAGGAATTGCTTAGGAATGATGGCGTCGGTGTCGACGTTAGAGCGATTCATTGGGGCGGCAACGCCCTTGAGGGTGGTAAACTTGGGGAGGCCAGCGCTCGATCCGCTAGAGGTGTTAGTATGAGGTTCGTTGTCGGCAGGCTGATCCAAAATCCGGTCGAACTCTTCCTCTGTATCGACGTCTTCCGTCTCAGGCTGGACATCAACCCTGGGTTGCACCTTGCCCAAGACGGGGCTGGCAACAACATGTTCGCGGACATCCGCAAGCTTTCCAACGATACCAGCAGCCGCAGCCATGGCAGGGGACATCAGGTGTGTACGTCCCTGAGCACCCTGGCGACCTTCGAAGTTACGGTTCGAAGTACTAGCACAGCGCTCCTTCGGCGAGAGAATATCGGGGTTCATACCCAGACACATAGAGCAACCAGCTTCCCTCCACTCGAAGCCAGCATCAGTGAAGATCTTGTCGAGGCCCTCTGCCTCGGCCTGCTGCTTCACAAGACCCGACCCAGGAACAACCATGGCGCGCTTAACATTGGAGGCGATCTTCTTACCCCTGACGACCTTCGCAGCAGCCCGCAGATCCTCAATACGGGCGTTCGTACAAGATCCGATAAAGACCTTGTCGATCTGGACATCCTTCATGGGAGTACCAGCCTGAAGGCCCATGTACTCCAGTGCGCGCTTGCAAGCAAGTTTGCGGCCCTCGTCCTCAAAGTCATCAGGTCCTGGAACAACCCCAGTGATAGGGACGACATCCTGTGGAGAAGTACCCCAGGAAATAGTCGGGATGATGTCTTTGCCATCGAGTAAGACCGTCTTATCGTAAAAAGCGCCTTCATCGGACGCCAGACTAGACCAGTAGCTGACGGCCTTTTTCCATTCGGCACTGTCGTACTTGGGGGCGAGCGGACGACCCTTGAGATAGTCGAACGTGGTCTGGTCGGGGGCAATCATGCCAGCACGAGCACCAGCCTCGATAGACATATTACACATCGACATACGAGCCTCCATACTCAAGCCGCGAATAACAGAACCGCAGAATTCGATAACAGCACCGGTACCGCCAGCAGTTCCAATAACACCAATGATGTGAAGGACGACATCCTTGCTAGTAACACCGGGGGGGAGCTCTCCATCGACTTGAATACGCATGTTCTTGCTTCTGCGAGTGATGAGGGTCTGGGTGGCGAGGACGTGCTCGACTTCACTTGTACCGATACCGAAAGCGAGGGCACCAAAGGCACCGTGTGTCGAAGTATGGCTGTCACCGCAAACAACGGTTGTTCCGGGAAGTGTAAAACCCTGCTCTGGGCCAATGATATGGACGATGCCCTGGCGTTTATCTCCCATGCCGAAATATGTGAGACCGAAATCTTTTACGTTCTCTTCCAATGTGGTACATTGCAGTCGCGAGTCGTTCTCTTCGATGAATTCGTCCACATTCTTGAAGTTTTTCCGAGAGGATGTTGGGATGTTCTATGGCCACATTAGTTACCCTGTTATAGAGACAAAGACAACTTTCGGGAAATCAACGACATACGTGATCGACAGTGACAAGAGTGCAGTCCGGCCGGCGGACCTTCCGACCAGCATTTTTGAGACCCTCGAAGGCTTGCTATACAGTTGTTAAATCGCTGCGAGCACGTCATACGAAAATAACTATGGATTGTTTGATCCGATTCAGGTGGCACGGCGCTACTTACTGGTGAAGTAACTTCGTGGACAAGGTGCCTGTCTGCAGAACAATGTCAGAATATAAGGCCAGAGAATAAATGAAACAGAATTAATGATAGAACATACCGATATACAGCAAGATAGTTCCATCTTCTTGCTCATTGACAATATGCGCATTAACTACCTTGTCATACAAGGTTCTCGGTTTCTTATCGGCAGAAGGCATGAGGGGCAAATGGTGAGGGATATGAGAGGGAAAAAAATAGGAATAAGCAATCTGGACACAGACCCGAAATTGTCGTGTGTCTTCACTAAGAAGAAGGGGTTTGAATGGAACCAATCTGGGGAAACTGAATAAGTACAGCGATGTCCTGGAGCATTTTAACCTCGATGTGGCCGCGATGTCGCTGCGAGACCCTCGAGGGGCTGCCCCGATCTCGGCTGGTCAGCGGCCAATATCCGGGTGGCAATTGGCTGATTTTGCTGCCCCACTAGAGCTGGAGCTCCGACGCCGGCGCCAGCGCGCTTAGCTGCGGCCAAGATCACAGGTCCTGACAAACATTTGGGAAGTGATTGCTTGAATTTTGAGACAACCGTTACACTGAGTCACTTAAACTCGCATGATATAGCATGGATATTGACGGTCGCCTGATCCGAGGCCCATTATTCTTTGTTTAAAAAAAAAGAAAACCACTTGAGCTCAGAGATGCAACATACTATGTTGTGATAATTACTCTCTTAGTCAACTATATGCTCTGAACTGGGACGATATATACACGTTCAATCAATCAAAACACATCGATCGTAATTATCTCCATCATTGTGGAATGATGGGCTTTGAGGCCGGTACAAAGGCCAGCGGTGCGTTTGCGCCCAGCAATCCACTGGCTCGGCCCGCCACCTTGGGGTCGGGTCCAATGAAGTTGTTCGGGAACCCGACATCCAAAGGTCGAACGCTCTCGAGATATTCAATTTGTTCCGGTGTCAACTTGATCTTCAAGGCTTGGATATTGTCATGCAGATGCTCCACCTTTCTACCACCAACCAATGGGAACACGTTGGGCGTCTTCTGCATGACATAGGCCACAGCAATGGCCGTTACTGACTCAATGCCATGTTCCGAAGCAACCTTAGCCAATGCTTCACTCATCTTCATTTCATCCTCGGTCTGCTGGCCTGTACCAATCATGCTTCGCAGTCCTTCACCTTTTTGCTTCCGCTCCTCGAGTGCCTTCTTGGTCTGGAACTTGCCACCGCCGAGAACATCCCAAGGTGCCAAAGCCATTCCGAAATGCCGTGCCATGGGTATAATCTCCCGTTCGAAGTCGCGGAGCAACACATTCCACCGACCCTGGTAGACACTGAAGGGAGTCTTACCATGAGCTCGAGCGTAGGTATTGGCGGCGCTGACGACCCATGCAGGAGAATCCGAAATTCCTAGGTAGAGCACTTTGCCCTGCTCCACCAGGATGTGAAGGCTGTCCATGATTTCCTCAATTGAGGTCGTGTGATCCCACCAGTGAAGGTACAAGATGTCAATCCAGTCGGTCTGGAGCTTCTGTAACGAGTCGCGCACGCTCAGGTGTAGACTGCGGCGGTGGTTTCCACAGTGGTTTGGTGCTTTCCCCTTTCCAAGTGCATGCGCCTTGTAATCTGTAGTGAACTTGGTCGCAATGACAAGTTGGTCGCGATTCTTGCGGGAAGCCATCCATTCACCCAACCAGGTTTCTGATTGCTCGTTTTGGTAGTTGTTGGCAGTGTCAATGAAGTTGCCGCCGGCTTCAACAAAGGCATCCAGCAGTTTGAATGAAGACTCTTTATCCATGGACCCCATGAACTTGGACCATGAATCTCCAATTGACATAGCGCCCAGCTGGAGCGGCGATACGCGGATCCCCGCGGTCGAAGAGAGGATGCGGTACCGACCCAGCTCAGTGGGTGGTTCTGGTGCAGGTGCAAAGATCTCCGACATGGTGAGCTCGATTATGTATGATACGACGTCCGAAGAATATCAGTTGAACAATGAGTAGTAAGGCACAAGAGTGATACCCCCAGACTTTAGTACTGGCTATGACCCAATTTATATGCTGAAGCTACCTAAGGGTGTTCACTATTTCCGAAGTGGCCAAGACAGCTACTCGCAACCGTGATCTCATCATGGAAACTGATATACCAGTCACTGCTTGAGGATAATTGAAGTTGATCCCCACCATGGTTGAATATGCACCCTGATGACAATGGAGATCGGAATTAACATAATGTCAGCACCGATCGATCGACCCAGAAGAATTCCGAATTGACTCAACGGGTCTTCCTGGAGTTAAGCCGGAGTTAACTTAAATAATCCGCTAGCATAAGCATCCCCGTGAAGATTATCCTCATTCTCTAAGATCCACTTGAGACACAGGTCATGTTCCGCTAATCAAAGAACGTAGCCTGAATTAATCATATCAGTAGAAACATTTCAGATAGGCATTCTGCACTAGTCCCTTCGACCGAGGTTCCACTGCACTACGGAGTCGTTCTGTCGGAACGCAGCTTACAATTGCTGAATATATAATTACTGCTTTCTTATATGGGCGAAAGTATAGATAGTGTAAACTGATAAATTATGAGTTTTATATATAAAAGAATTGAGCTTTGAGTGTCCCTATTGTCTGCCTCTCCGTTCGCCCTTTTCATATAATAATCAGCATATTTTAAAATTCGCAGTAGTTTCTCTTAATATCCTAAGGATATCACTCTTCAATGCCTCTCCTAACCTCCATCTTAGTAGAGAAGAGGACTAAGGTAGTGAATTCAAAGTTAAGTAGCGTTTACGTGAGTTATATAAGACCTAGGACACCAGTTCTTTCAACTGTCTCGTAATGTCTACCTTTGGGTATGATGTCATAGCCAAGGTCACAGAACTACAAAATTATTGTCCATAGAAGTACAAATACAGTTTCTTTTCATTTCTCTCTTCGTCCAAAGAATGATGTATACAAGCAATCAAACAGCAGCTGTAAAGCCGGATGAACAACACTTCTTTGACGGTACAAGGATAACTTGAAGAAAAACCGAGAGCTATCAATCGAAAATAAAGTCCACAAAACTACCAGTATTAAAGGTCTATGAATCGAAAAGTAAGAACTTGAACAAGGTCACCACTATCCATCATAAGGGTCTCGCATCTGACCATCTCATACTGATCGGTCTCATAGCACCGGAGTTGCTCTTCATCCTCAGAGCTGACCTCGTATGCCCATCCACTGACAACAGCCGAGGATGGTCCATCGATTAGAGCTTTATATTTTCCCACTACATTGTGACTTTACCGTCTTTGACGGTGGCCTTATGTAGACCTGGTAGTTCCTGGCGAGAGAGTTCTGTGCGAGAAACTCAGGGTCGGATAGTGTTCCATAGAAGAAGTACAAAACTGGGTACTAGTTTTGAGCAAGAGAGAATAGATGATCGGTATTATGAACTCCATGGCGGGGGAGCGTATGATCAACATCAGAATCAAGGCATGGCGCTATGCTATAATTCGAAAGTTGTTTGTTTGCCATATTGAGTCGGATAAAGGCTGGTGTGAAGTTGGAAAGTGTTGAGAGTATCGCTAGTCTTGTAGTACCTTGATAAGGTAGAAGTGGGCTTCACCAAGTTTCCCTACCCCCATTTTAAGAAGGGCCGGTTCCGGAAGCCCTGCAAGTTCTTGGATTCCGAGGGACTGCATAGTAACCCATCAAGCTTGACTAGATACGTTGTTGTGTTGTCACGTTTCTGTGCCTTAAGTTGGGTAGACGGTTTGTGGTAGATGATCTGCCCATCCTCAACAGCGGCACTGTCCTCCTCCTCAGCCTCGATAGCCAAACTCCCTGGTTCAGCAAGAAGTTCCATTTCACAAATAAGAGGAAGGAACACGATACTCTTTGTTATGCGTCTCTGTTATGCAATTAAGAGACCAGCAGGATAGTGCTAGAAGATGTTAATATTGGCAAAGTGTCGTAATAACTACGTGGGTGATACACGAGTCATCGCATGTAGTTCCGTTATAGTGATAACTTTCTGATATAATTTCATGCCATGGTAATAGAGCATAAAATGGCACGTAATGTTCACTATATGCTGAATATCTTGGTAATTTACAAGACGTCTTAGCGTTTTCAAATCTTGTTAGTGAAAGGGAACTTATACAACCCTTGAAAACCTTTGTATGGGCTTGTCTATATAAAGGGCCTCACCTATTCCCTTAGATAGTCCTAGTTGATTACTAAGCCAGTTAAAATTTAATTGTTTCCAGGTGGCGGGCCAATAGAAAATAATATGTAAGATCAACTGGAAGCTTGTTCTGCGCGTCGGCGTTTCGGTCATGTTAATAGATAAATGACGGTACGTAGTTAGCTAACAGTGGCCCATGATTATATGACCGATTGGTAGAGACCCAAATTAAGCTAAAGAAGAAAAGTAAAAAGGAAACAGTAAGAAAGAAATTCTATTACTATCTCTATATAGTCTAATAAAGTTTCTCAGCTATGGTTGTAGCCCAAAAGTCCGGTTATCTTCTCGAAATACTAACAATGCTAGGCGATGCCGCACGACTAAACCAAGGGTTCCACAAACGATTTGAACAGCGACCATGTTCCATGCCAGCTGGTTCTCTTTCATTGGCCCCATCCATACCAGCCATAGATTAAGAATAGTCAAGTTACTTGACTCCACGATCTGGCCCTGCTCATTCTTGGTAACACGCACCAGTCGCAGCCGATGCAAAACCTCCAAGCAAGTGGCAACCAGAGGAGAAGGCGGCACAGACCACTCCGTTACAGAGGCGTCAAGGAGTCCGGTCACGGCATTGAACTTGGGCAATCTGTGTCGAGGACAAGGGATCAATTTAAAAAGTTGTGGGGTCGAGTACAGAAAATTGAAAATCTGCGGAATAAAAAGCAGCAGCAACGTTTTACTGAAATGACCCAGAATACCAACGACGGCGAATACCATCCCAGCAAAGTAGCAGTAGGTGTCCCCAACGAATACCTTCGAGGGGTACCAGTTGTGCAGCAACAGTGCCAATGATACCCCAACAAATGGAAGAAGGAAGTAAAGGGAGAAGAGATGCGAGTCGGTGGCGGGATGGGGGTATGGCGTGATGGGCGCGAGGTACAACACATCATTTGCTATGAGTAAAGTTGCGATCACGAGAGACTGGGCAACCTCAACGCCGTTGATCCCTGCCAACATGTTGATGGAATTGGGACAGAAAATAGCCACCGCAGCCATATATACGTAATAAAGCCATCCGAGGTCGACGAATGAGCCCAAGTATGGCTGCAAGGGCACCGGAACGACAACCTGTGTGACACCAAAGTCCACAAAGTAAACTATAAGCATTGGGATAGCGCCAAAAGCCGGTATGAGAACTTTGTGTCTCCATCGGATATCAAGAAGATCATCACCTAGTCCAAGGATGACAATACATTGTAGGGAAAGGAGCCCAGAGAGATAGGACGCAAGCTGCAGTTCTCGTCAATAAAGTGATTGCAAGTGAATATGACACGAGATTCACAGACCCTTCCGTGAGGAAATCGGTGGAGCATCCGACCAGTTTCAACGTGATGGACTTCAAGAACGACATCTCGATTGCCTCCGCCCGAAGTAGCTGCCACAATATCCTTGTAAAAGGCAAAAGGAATAAAGAAGATAAGCGCCAGCAGATACACCACAGCGCAAACGGCTCCCATTGTCTCTGGTCTATCACCGGAGGCCGTCAGTTTCGAAGAATCTCATAATTGCGCTTCGTAGTTATTCTACAGCAAACTTCATTTAAGATTGTACGTACATTTCAGGTCTCTTTGGTTTCGCCATATCCCTTCCTTTCAACCCTGCTTTCATGAAGACAGGCCCCAGCCATCTGATCAGACTGTATGCAACTGCAAATACTATGCCACTGAAGGCAATCGATGCCACCAAAGGCGCGCCTCCATCTTGGAAGGTGTTGAGTAGGATGCCAGCACAGGTGCCCACTAGCATCAAGAGACGCCATGTCTCATGACGAGAAAGAGAGCTAGAATTCATTATGAATGACGGAGTTTGAGCATTGCTCCCTGATCTCCTTAGGCCTTCCTCACTATTGAGAGATATCCTGAAAGGCAACAGGAAAGAATTACTTCCAGATCTTGTATAGAGGAGATCCATGAAAGCAACCTGGCTTCAAGGCTATAGAGGATACCATTCTGCCTGACAGATCTGACCGCCTATACGAGGCGGTAGGTCAGAAAGCTGTCAAGATCGTCAACGAAAGTTTCCCCGAAAAGGATAGGATGTCGCGTAGCTTACGTAATGCTCCTATGATCGACCCGCTGCTGCTTCACATGCACAGCTTTTGTCTGGTCCCATACATGGATGGAAGCGTCGTCATTCTTCTGGCACGTACGCAACTAGTCGGCCCTTAATTAAGTGCGTGTATTGCCTCCGTGTGGTGGCTGATGCTAGATTTCTGATTGGTGATACTGAGCCGGGCCGAGATGTCGTCTGGATTTGCCGATTTTGACGCCGGTCATCGTGACTTGATAACTGTCACTAAATTCAATTTCTATGGTAATCGCATTGTGACAGCTTCTTCCGACCATCGTATGAAGGTATGGGATCAGAAAGACGGAGAATGGCAATTAACAGACACCTGGCGTGCTCATGATGCTGAAATCCGTGACGTAAGCAAAACAATCTTCCATCATCCATTTGACCCTGTAGGCTGTACTATCTATAACTGTATACTGACAGTCTTCCCCAGGCAACTTGGAACGGTCCGTTCACCGGTCAGCACATAGGCAGTGTTGGTGAGGACATGAAATGCAAGATATGGCAAGAAGATGTCACTCAACCCCCCAACTCTGGCCGACGCTTCCGGTCCATCTTTCGCATGACCGCACCACACCGACATCCGTTCGTCTCAATTGACTTCCGTAACATTGACCTTGAGACATGGCTCGCTGTCATCACACGAGATGGGTTCCTGTTAGTTATGGAGCCCGTAAGTCCAGATACACTCGCGGATTGGCAAACTCTTGACCAGTTTCGCGTTTGCACTGCACCCCAGAGAGGAGAGGAAACAAGCTTCAAGGTGCAATTCCACCACGACCCTACCGACATCACTCACTCAGTTTTGCCATCTTCGGATCGCAAAAGCCTTTCACTAGTTGTGGCTGCTATGGATAGTGTGAAAGTGTATCGCACTGATGCCAATCGACGCTTCTATCACGCAATCGAGCTGTCGGGCCATGTAGGCCTCGTCAGAGATATCTCATGGGCCAATGGCTCTGTTCGAGGTTATGATTTGATTGCTAGTGGTTGTAAGGATGGCATCATCCGAATTTTCGAGGTTTACACTTCTGCCGCGGATAGTGAGGCCACTAATTCGAACGGTGAGCATTCGCGACCTTCCTCACATTCATCTTCAATCCGTGCAACAACACAATCCGGAATAGGATCTGCCCTTGCTAGTCGCACTCCGGTGTCTATCAACAGCCGCTTAGCAACAGGGAATACTCAATTCAAGCATACTTATAAGGAAGTAGCGTGTATCGACAGCAAGCATCTAGACGTTTGGCAAGTGGGCTTTTCGTACGCTGGTTAGTATTACCTATGTTGAGTTTTCGATACCTATCCAAGTTCTCACTGAACCTGCATAGGGGATTGTCTTATTTCCTCTGGCGACGACGGCACTGTGCGATTCTGGAAGAAATCCCTATCAGGCGAATGGCTGGAATATGCCGAAGCTGATATGGCATGTTGATAATGACATGACTACGTCACGACCTTATATTGACCACTTATGCATGAGGTTCGATTGTCAGAATTACCTCTCTTGCGACTTTCTTCTCCATTCTCTAGATATGCCACGTTTATGAAGCCCACAAGACACTTATCTTGCTTGCTTGCTATGGCATTCCTACAGTTTGGTTGAAGACGCATGGTAGACCCTCTATTTGTTCCTATTTATTGTCCTATTTCCTATTGTTGTGTTTACTAGACAGCGATACCCATACATGTCTGGCTTATAATACTGTGTAGGCGGTTTTGCTCTTCTCCTTTTTCTGTCTCCTTTTTTTGGCCTCTATTAAGTATTAGTTGAATCGACTTTTTTTCACTCTTTTCTTTTCACGTTCTTAATTGCCGCTGCCAGTGACAGCCTTCATTCCTTCCCTGTTAGTCAAATCGACGAGAGAACCACGCGCACGGCCATCTAGGGTACCATCAAGGAAGTGGCAACCTTCAATCCGAATGCAACACATACTCATTACCATAGCTATGTGTATCCTCAAAAAGGGTGTGATCATTTTGCGGTGTGTCAATACTTTCAGGCTCGGCGCATTGTTCACTTACCCAGCCCGTTAAATACCATTTCTATCTTTGCACAATGTCCATAGGACCTACTCTTGGGACTGGGCTGTTTATCGGTTCTGGCCAGGCGCTAGCTACTGGTGGTCCAGCCTCATTGCTTGGATCCTATATATTCATATCCATATTGATATACTGCATATCAACGGCCGTCGCAGAGATCGCGGCCCACTTCCCCTCCAAACATGGCACCATACTCAGTCACACTTATAATTATGCCTCGTCCCACTTAGGCTTCTCCCTTGGGTACCTACGCTGGTATTCTATAGCCACGTTGGTCCCTTTTGAGATCACCAATGCGATGGTCAACCTTGGCCTGTGGGATCCCGGAGCGAGAGTTGCAATACGAATCAGCATTGTCACTGCTGTGATATTCGGCTTCAACATGTTACCAGAAAAGGCGTTCAAAAGGTCGGAGACCGCATTTACGGCTGTGAAACTCATTACAACTGTCGGGCTGATAATCGTTTCGATTTATCTTGCTATTCGGGGCGCCTCTGAGTCTTCTGAACGGGGCTTTCAATACTGGAACGAACCCGGCGCTATGAATGAGTATCTTGTGGACGGCCATTTGGGCCGGCTTTTGGGGTTGCTGCAGTGCATTCTTTACAGCACTATTTCCTTCATCTTCGGTCCTGAACTGATTGTTCAACGAGCAGAACAATTAGATCCTGAGTCGGCCCCAAGTATTTTGAGCGTGACGCGAATTGATTGCATTCATCTTTTCACACTTTATATTCTAAGTTCACTAGCCATTACTGTGGCTAGTCCCTCGGACGAGCCCTTGTTGACAAATCATGGCATCGGTGCTGGATTGTCTCCATACATCGTGGGCATTAGAAGGTCCGGAATTCCTATTCTGCCCACCATTGCAACCGCGCTCATATTTTTGTCATCTGTGGCATCTGGACGCTCGTTTCTTTATATCTCGTCTCGTACCTTGTGCGCCCTAGCTGAGACTGGACATGGTCCTGAGTTGTTCAAGGTACGCAACAGTTACGGTGTGCCATATATCTCTGTGATCATATCGGCGCTGTTCTCGGGGATTGCATATCTATCCTTGGCACTGTCTGCATCAGTCGTCTTTAATCTGCTAATGTATTTTATCACCACATCCGGCTACATTTCATGGCTGTTCTCGTGTGTTATCTACTTTCAGTTCCGCCGGACAACTGCAGCACAAGGGTTTACACCAGCGAACCAGGCTCGTATCCAACCATACGGGTCATATTTTGCTGTTGCAGTCTGTACACTTCTTTCCCTGGCCAACACCTTAACCATAGCAGCGCCGTCGTGGGTAGTTGCAAGGAACTCTATTCCTGCATATATTTCCCTGTCTATGTTTATTATCCATTACTTTGGACACTTGATAGCGTCTACAATTACACGGCGACACCTACAACTCGAGAACAGAGACCAGGAACATGGTGGTATACTTGAAAAGCGCTCTATAGGGCTTCAGAGTTGACAGAGTAAGGGGCGGTGGTAGAAGGACCTTGAATGTATCGTGTTGCCGCGGTCATCTGGAAAGTTTTCACTCTTAGTCCTGGAAAAGTTCCCTATGATTCAACTTAGGTCTAACTTAACGCTCTACCTAATGATGTATCATCATTGCTATTGTTATTGTTGTCCGATTTCCGTAGGCTAGTCGGGATCCGACCCATGGTATACTATTTTGCTCTGTGTGGAGCGTCGGATAAAGAGCGATGGTATGATGGAAATAATATTTATAATAGTGAGAAATCAGAGCGATATTAATTAAAACAAAAATCAAGGATGTATAGTGGGAGGCAATGTATGCCTGAGGTTATGATGGATGGAAAATGTCTCCCCAGGCACCCAGGCACCTCACGGGCCTCTGCTTTGCCACCGACGAAGTTGGCAGCCCTCCTAACATAATTAATTCAGGGCGCTAAAAGGCCACTCTTACTCCCGTCCACTAGACGGAAAACATTTATTTTTTTTTTTCTTTTTTCTTTTCCAGCATGGTTCGGGTTACGATCAATGTTTCCCCTTTGCTCTTTTCATCCTCATCCGCTTCGGGTTGAACCATTTTTTTCTTGACAAAATCCCGTAGTTAGTTCTACCTAATAACTAGGCCTCCGTCCTCCCCTCTGCCTCTCTCTCTCTTTTTCTCTATCCCAGGGTTTCGATGTGCTTTTGGTCTAATGTCCTGATCAGATCATGTTATCCTTTACGCGATCCTGACACATGGTCCAGATGACTTTAACTACCTTTCCTTCGCTCCAGTTCCCCCCCTCTTTCTCACAACGTCCCATACGGCTACTAACCTCCTGATGGTCCGCCATTCATCCAGACAAGAATGACCACCACCCTTTTCCTCTTGTCTTCCTTATCGCAACCACCAAACACCCTTCCTCTGTCTTTCTTCCAACTGCTCTTCCTATTAAATTATTTTCTGAAGAGTTAATACTTAGGCTATTCTCGTATTTCATTATACGAGGACCCTAGCATCATCTCATTACCCAGTTCCGCTCTCCCTCTTCATAGCGGTGACAAGCATCAGATTCTGGACAAATACTACCCTTGGTCTTGCCCTTTTTCATATGATATTATTTTTTCTCTGCTCTTCTTTCGCTCCCCCCCCCCTTTTTTTTTTCTCTATCTTTTTTCTACCGCTCTAACTCGCAGGACTATAGTCGCCGCGCCCCCTGTGTGCCTGTGGCTTTGCTATAAGATTGGGACTACCCACTAAATTTGCCGCAAGTGTTGATCTGGCCTTCTACAGCCTTGAACGGGCGAGCTCCTCTCATGTCTTGCTCATACTTGACTTTTGCTCTTGAGCTAACTGTGTCCTTGCAACTAACCTTTCGTTGTCCACTTTCTCCGAGAGCTCTGGTTCTTTCTATCTTGACGTTACCCTTCCTGGCAAGCAAAACTTACAATGTTCTTTTTTAACCCACAGGCGGGCAAAGATTTTGCCTAATGTCTTCGTGTAAAGGCGAAGCAATGACTTTGTCTTTTCCTCCTTGTGTCTGCTTTACTCTACCTATTACCGAACTTGAAGAACCCTGGGGCTATCGTCGCTACGGACCCAACATATCGACCTTGCTGTGTTGATGATCTTCATACTTGTCACTCTGCGTTCCCCCAACTATGCCCGAAATGGGTCTTGGCAGTTACCTTTCCCTTTTGGGACTAACAGCAACTCCCTGCCGAAAACAGATAGGTGGGGATTGCACCCTTCAATCCCCAGGCAGCACTGTTGGTCAACCTAGCCTGACTTCTCAGGCCGTCCAAGGTCTGGGTTCTCTGCCCTCGACCCAAAGATTGGCGTGGCTTCGTTTCCGGCCGACCTCGAAAGCCACCTTTCCTTTTGTTCTCCTGGACCTTTCCATCGCTCTCCCCCCTCCCTTACGATCTGGCTCGCAATTCGTTCCCCGAACGGACAGATTCTCTCGCGCTCATCCGATCGTTTTCCCAACTTCCCACTAAACCCCCCTCTCTTTTTTTTTTTTTTTTTTTTTTTTATGCTCTTCTTCTATCTATGGATCCCTCCCAAAGCAAGAATATAAAGAAAAATTTAATTCCCTAAGATCAACAGTTGCTTTCCTGCCGAGCGAGAGTGGGTGGGAAAAAAAATTCCACGCTTTTCCTCTTTTACTCTGGGTCTTGGGACGCGCCGCTTGAATGGCCCATCCGTGGCTTTAGCCTCTCTCACGACTCCCTCCCTCTCTTCTTCCCTCCTCTCGTCCTCCCTCTTGTTCTCAACCTCTGCTCTCCTTCATTGGTCTTTCCCTTGTCTATCCTACACTTTCATCTTCCTTACTTCTTCTACTGTTTCTACGTTCTCATCTCTCGCTTACTTCTTTTCCCTTCTCGTCTCCCTTGACTTTATCCTTCTTAGGGTGGAATCTCCTCGTTTCAACCTTACAGCTTTTTCGTCTCACCTCGCCTCACCGTCGCCATCGGTCTTTCTCCATGCGATTCGTGGCCCGTCCGCCTCTTTACGTCCATCGGTTTCCGATTCTCGATACCTTTCTTCTTGCTCACGGTCGCACGCGCCACCGAGGCAGACGATTTTGCTAAGACTTCGATCATCGTTCACCCCTTTTACTTCTCTTGATTCGATTTTTCTTCAACGAACGACGTGTTTTGTCAGCCACCAACCGACTGTGCCAGTCTAGATACCCACTTCTGTACCTGGACTCGCCTGAATTATCTCCCATCAACTTGTACTGCAACGTTCCTTAGTCTTGTTCTTTTAGAGTGGCCATTTCGTGCGTGGATCTTTAGTGTCTCGGACGTATCACCGCCTAATATAACGAGCTGTATAAGGAGGCGATCGTCGATTGGAAACAAGTGACATGCGTGCTTTCCTTTGACGGATTATCCGCAAACCTTCCTTCCAACTGAAACCAACTGCGCGCTCATCGTTCACCCTGAGAGGAGGTATCCTGTCAGATTATGACAGATACCTCCCCTGTCGTCATCACGCATCCAGCCACGGAGCCTTACCCGGTCACCGTCCCTTTGAACTCGCCTGCCGTCAACGGCGCCGTTTCCGACTCCGCCGTCCCCGAAGAGGAGCCGTATACCATCAAATGCATCTGTGCATTCGAAGATGACGATGGGAACACGGTCTTCTGCGAAGGGTGTGAGACGTGGCAACATATTGAGTGCTACTATCATGGTCGGGACGTACCAGAGGTCCACAATTGCGTCGATTGTGAACCCCGACCTTTGGATGGTAGACGTGCCACCGAGCGGCAGAGACGTCTCAGGGAACAGAGCGATGGCGGTGACCGGAAAGCAAAACGTTCAGGCACAAAGGGTCAGAAGAAGAAGACTCGAGATGGTGAACAAGTAAACGGAATTCACAATCGATCAGAGTCAAACGCTCGTGACCAGCCCCCAGCAAAGAAGGCCAAAACAAACCATCGAGCTTCTGGGTCCATCAGCTCCTTGTCAGGTATGCCGTCTCTTCCTCCAGATTCGCGTAAACGCACTGCAACATCGTTGAGCCCCACAAAGCCATCGGGCCCTTTTATACCTCTGTATTCGAACGAATTTCTGCATCTATATGACCACGACAGCCATCATGTCAATACCGATAGTAACCTTTTTGTCAATCTTCAACTTGCCGGGCATTTGGCAACGTGGGTCAACGAACCAGGCGCACTTGCCCGCGCCTCAAACGGACGTTCTGCGCAGGATGTTTTCACCTGGTCGGGCGCAGCACTTGATCGGGGCCACTGGCCCTCTCTTACAACTGAGACCATCACAGATACTAGCATCGATGTTGATGGAATTCACCCATCCTGGAAGATTCTTAAGACACGGGATCCAGTCGGAAAGGACGCAATCGTAGGAGAGATCACTGGCAAAATTGGGCCCCTTCGAGAATACTCCAATGATATCAGTAATCGGTGGCAGGAACTTCGACATCCAGAGCCTTTCGTTTTCTTCCACCCTCAACTGCCGCTCTACATCGATAGTCGCCATGAGGGGAACATACTCCGCTATGTACGACGGTCCTGCCGTCCTAACGTCACCATCAGAACTTTCATCACGAATGAAGTGGAGTATCATTTCTGCTTTGTTGCTAAAGAAGACATAGCGGCGGATTCAGAGATCACCGCTATGTGGTACCTAGACCCTCAACTATTCGACTCGACCAATGGTATCGTCAAGCAGGAGTTTGGTGACAACGCACAGGATGTAGCGGCCATGTGCATCAGCAATGTACTATCCCACTTTGGCGGCTGTGCTTGCGTCCCGCCACCGAACTGTCTGCTGGCTAATGTGGATCGCCGTAGACATCCAAAAGCATCTGATGCCAGTTCCAAGCAAGTGAGTTTGAAGCGGAAGAAAACCAAGAGCAAATCGAACATCTCCCCACCAGCATCCAACAGCCGTGCTGGCAGTGAGGCCACCAAAAACCTGGAAGAGGACGATCAAGCGGACACCCGTTCTACATCGGGTTCTACCCGAGGTCAGACCCGTAGCCGCGATCTGACACCTACATTACAAACCCCTACTGAAGGACCCGTATATGGAGAATCCGAGCTCTCGGCCCGAGATAAACGGAAGATTGCCGCAGTAGAAAAGAAATTCCAGCAATTGGAACATGATCAGCAAGCTTCCCACCGAAGAAAGAAGCGAGCCAGCGGACAGTCCACACAAACGACACCAGTGATCGGAAGTAGTTCAGCGCAAGCCGGCTATTTCACACACCTAAGCGGCCGTGATCGCCAGTCACACTCGCCTTCATCGGCTACCTCCCCGGCATCTTTACCTGGGGTACGTCATGGTTCTCCACGGAAAGTATCAGATTCTGGGAGTCCCTCGCTGCGGTCTCAACTCGGGCGTCAGCGGTATGTGGATTCAGCGACTCAGACGGAACCTGATATTAGTGATAGCCCCTCGTCTAATCCACCATCTCGTCGACCCAATTTTGTCCCATTCACCCAGCGGCTGCTGAAGCGATGTTATGCGGACCGTATTCGACTAGAACAAATCAGTCAGCAGCTTCCTGTGTCGCCTTGTTCGCAGTCGAACTTTGTCGCACACCTAATTTCTCCCGCGTCAAGTCCGCGCGCAGGACCACCCACAGTAACAACACCGAGCGTCTCGTGTGACCGGGATGACGTGGAAATGAAAGAGTCGGTTTCTCCAATGGGTACATCACCTGGTTGGCAACAAGAGTCCTCGCCGCTGTCAGGGCGAGGCTCTATCAAACCATCACTACCGCCACCGTGGCCATCCACGGCTGCTCATAACACTCGAATACCGGGCAGCAAAGTAAACAATTATCGTGTCGACCTTCGTGTTCCACTGCCTCCTTCCAACAGTCCGGGATCGGCCGCTCCGGCTGTAAATTCATCCCCATCTACCTCCGACGCGACCGTCCCAGGGTCTAGCTTGACTGCACCTAGTCCGGTGAAGAAGAAGCTTAGCTTAGGAGATTATCTCATACGGAGAGGAACCCTCACTACTCCCACATCCGAAAAACCTCCGGCTCAGACTACTTCGATGCCCCCGCCGAAGTCTCCCACAGAACAACCCCATGTGAGTCGCGAGTTGCCTGCGGCTGGTGACCACCATGCTGCACAAGACAAGATCGAGGGAGAAGGCGGGAGTATCAAGACCTCAGATGGTCCAATGAAAGATGTCCCTGGGTCAACTCAGGCTTCCCAACTATCATCGCTTACTTGAACTGTCCGCTTACCCCCTCATCCAAACTGCCACATAAGGGTGGTGGCGTTATGCACTGTGGGCAGCGTGTTATTCTTATATGTTACTTGAGTTTGTAAAAGATGGGATTTGGCGTTTAGCCGTGGATGTGTTTCCTTTTGGAGTTATCTTTTTTCTTTCGTGAATTGTGAAGGCGTATCAGGCGTGTGGATGGAAAGGTTGGAGTACATGGGAAATACTCTGGGATATGAATAGGCAAAGGGTATGTATGGTTTCAAGGTCGACGACCACTGGTCACTTATGTGCAGCATCTGCTTCACGATTGTCTGTATTAGCTGTGTTCACTGTGTTCACTGTGTTTTTATACCTATTTTCTCTCGTATTATTTATTATAGCACGCCCTGTTTTGTTGTCAGGGATGCGCGGTCTTAATGGAACCGAGCCGATCAAATGACGAGCCAGAAAAAAAATTAAACAATACCACGTTTTGATCTTCACTTCTCCTGTATGGATTGCCTGTAGAAAGCCATATCAGGAGTTGATACTCGAAGGAGTGGGGAAAGGATCCTTTGCGGGGTAAGTCCAAGTCGCATTCTGTATAAATACTCGGTCATTGAAATCCTACTACTGCTTCCTTTATCAACAACAGTCACTTGAACCAAATGGAGTCGCGACCAACTCCTCGAGTACGTCCTCCACGGGAAGGCAGTCATCATGTCTCCAGCTTTGAACTTGAACGGCCATCCTTACCCCCAACAGATGGAGGAAGAGACGCTTGGTTGATACTAGCCTCATGCTGTCTAATACAGTTGCCAGTCTGGGGTACAGCCACTTCCCCCGCTGAGAAGATTCTGACTCGCAGGTTGACACCCACCCACTAGGTTTTTCCCTTGTCTATGGGATCTTTCAGGAGTACTATACCTCCCACAATGTCCTTCAAGGAAGTAAAGGGGATTTAGCAGTAGTGGGAACAACTTCTACTGTAACATCTCCCGATTCAAATATGGGTTTAGCGTGGTGAGAATGTACACTGACAATGAATTCCGCTGTCCAGGGAATCCTCTATCTTCTCTCCCCGGTGACTTTTACGCTTCTCACTCGTTATCCCTACTTACAGAAGTATTGTGCTTCTGTTGGTCTCATACTCAGTGTCTCTGGGTCTCTGCTTTCCTCTTTTTCGGTAAAAGTCTGGCACTTGATTGTCACTCAGGGTGTTCTATGTGCCGTTGGAAATGGTCTGGTCTTCAGCCCGACAACCCTCTACCTTGATCAATGGTTTGTTCGTCGTAAAGGTCTTGCGTATGGGATTATGTGGGCTGCCAAAAGCATCTGCGGTGTGGTGCTTCCCTTTGTGGCCAGCGCCTGTCTTGAACGGTTCGGAGCCAGTACTACCTTGAGAGCTTGGACGATCACTACGGTCAGTGCTCTCTCACAAGACTTGTCAACACCCACCTCGAGTGAAATTTAAATATACTCGTCCTACTAGATAGCATTATCTGCACCGGTATAGCTGACTGTTCCCAGCTCCTCTCCACTCTGGCAGCTTTGCCATTTGTAAAGCCTCGGACCCCGCCCTCGCCCTCGACTTCCGCTCAACGTTTAGATTTAACATTCTTAAAGCTAGTCACTTTCTGGATGCTACAACTAGGGAATGTTATCCAGAGCTTTGGCTACTTTTTGCCTACGACCTATTTGCCATCCTACTCGACCACCGTGGCGGGTTTATCCAACACTACAGGCACGCTTTTAGTGGCTCTCTTCAATGCGACTTCCGTGGTGGGTGGAATTGTTTTGGGCGCACTTTGTGATCGCTTTGCCGTTACCAACATCATACTTCTCTCATCCGTAGGTTCGGCGCTCTCAGTCTTACTGTTCTGGGGGCTTTCAACGTCGGCCTCGTTATCTTATCCAGAAGCTGCGATTGGCCTTCTCACCACTTTCTCCATAACATACGGTTTCTTTGCTGGTGGGTTCAGTTCCACTTGGTCGGGTGTATTGACACAGATCAAGCAGGAGATGCCAACCTTAGAGACTGGGTTGGTGTTTGGATTATTGGCAGGGGGCAGAGGCGTGGGGAATGTAATTAGTGGACCGTTGAGTACTGCTTTAATGGAGAAAGGATCACTTGGCGGGAGTGGCACTGGGTATAGCACGGAATATGGGGCGTTGATCTTGTTCACTGGCATTACTGCCATTCTTGGGGCGTGGAGTTGGATATGGCGTTACCTGAGTGTCTGTTAGATGAGTGAAACATACAAGTGAGTCACGTGCACTCTCCATTTCTTGCGGACTGGTGGTCCATCACCACTCCCGAACTTCGGCAAGCTCAACAAACACCTTTTTCCTCATTCAGGCTCGACTCCCTCTCATAAAAGGATCGCTTGGAGTGGTGGTAGTAGTCGTGTGCCTGTTAAATCAGCCATCATCATGGCAAGCGATCCAACCCTCCAAGATCCCCTTCTTGCTCTTCGCCGCGCCATTGCCGCGGGTAGTCTTCCCACGCCGACGACCTCCTCCGACCCCTCAGACCAGAATGCCACCGACGACTTAGCTAGAGCCACATACCTTTTCTTTCAGAATCCCTCGCCACAGACTATCCCGCTGAATACATCGACACGTTTCTTCTCGACCGCTTCCGACTCCGCTGTCGACCTGCGGAGTATCTTCTTCGCTTGGCAGAAGAAAGATGTCGCGATTCCTGACTACATCGCCTCCGCGCAGGAATTGAATGAATCGCTAAAGCAGAAGGAGCGTAAGGAAGGAGAAGAGGAAGAGAAAGTGCAAAACCTGGTTTTCGTCGAGCGCTTAGACCTCATCACCTGGCTCGAAGGCGCCTCGGATGAAAGCGAATATATTAAACCCTTAGAGGGTGCTGCTGCTGCTGCCGCCTCCGCGGCAGATCAAGCTCAAGCCTCAGCCAACATTGCTTCTGGTGCTGCTGGAGGTGTTTCCGCAATTCCAAGCGGTGCACCTGGTGCCGCCGTGCCCGCTGGCGGGGCTCAGCAAGGAAAGGCTACGAAGGTCGTTGATCCCAGGTTACAGGAAATCTACAACGGCGAGCGCAAGACGGGTGATCGGAATAGCGTTTTACGGGGAATCAAACCAACGGTAAGTTGAGCCTGGGCATGCAGGGGTGCCTCCGTAACTCTAGTCACCCAACCAGTCACTAATGGCATTTTCGTACAGGACTTCTCTCATGTTCGCAAAACAGCGGAAGCGTTCCTTGGTCGTAACCGCTCACGAACAGGCCAATACCCCCCGGGCGCAAAGCCTGGAAGCAAGCCGCAGTCTATAGTACCGGCGCCATCTGCCGGTCTTCCCCAGCCCCGTAAAGGCAGCTCCAAAACGCAGGATCCGATCATTCTACTTTCACCATCAGCATCGTCTCTCATCCGCATGTCAAATGTACGGTCGTTCCTTCAAGACGGTGTCTTTGTGCCTCCCGACCACCCCACCCTCTCCATGCCCAGTTCCAACATTTTGTACATCAACCGCCCGTTGCGCATACTTTCTGATTCATCCAATCCAACATCCCGAGCTATCGGCTCTCAGGGTACAACCAGAAAACCAACCCGGTTCATCCTTGTCGACAGCACAGCCAATTTCAGACCAGACTACTGGAACAGACTCGTTGCTGTCTTCACCACCGGCCAAACCTGGCAGTTCAAGTCCTACAAGTGGTCCTCTCCTCCAGAACTATTTAAGCATGCTTCCGGCATCCACGTCGGCTGGCGTGGCGAAGAGGTTCCGCGCGAAGTCCGCGGATGGGGCCGTGGAGTCCAAAGCTTTTCCGTCGAGCGATGGGATGAAAAAGGCGGCGTCCATGGCGCAGGCCGGTGGCGAGATCGGGAGGTAGTTGAGGGCATTTGGACTGCGATCGAAGAGGGTATGAAGCTAAGAGGCTGGGGATCCAAATAATCTCCTTTTCTCAACCCAATGTTCACTTCATGAACAAATTCCCGCCGCGTTCACACGTCTTTGCGTTTCCATCGCCTTCATCCCAATTTCATCTCCGATGGCTCGCTCAAGGCTGGATTGACCCAATTACATGCCGTAAACTCTCGATATTATCGGTCGCCACTATTAGGATACGGAGTACTTCACAAGGGCACCAGAAACGGTATCACGGTCATGCCTTCCTCTCAACCCTTTGATGGGTCGAAGCACCCTTTCTTTCTACGTCAAATCTTTCAGTTGGTCCGTCCTGTTTCCATAGAATCCTATTTTGTTACTGGGCCTGTCTCCTTTTTGGTAAAACGATCGATGAGCTAGTTGTGTGGTCACTCCCAAACTTTTCTTTTTTATATTACGTTCGAACTTGTGGATGAATGGAGGCGTGCCAGGAGTTTCTACTAAAGCTTTGTTATTTACCATCATGATACTAAATACCATGCGCGGATGATCTTGTCCCGCTAATAAATCTTAACTTGATACCACTTGTATTCTTATTTGGTTGGCGCTTTTCTACATTCATAGGTGGCTTTGTTTAGCACGTGGTCGCCATGTGGTTTTTAGGGCCACCATGTGTACAAAAACTACACTTCACGTGATATAAGTGAAATCATTAGAGTATTGGCATGTATTGTTTATCTGTTTATTAGTTTTTTTATTTGATTCTTTTTTTCCTTTCTCTGCATAACTTGAGTGATGAGCCATATAACTCTGACATAAAGTGTAGGAATGACAAATGAGAAGCCATATTCGCTGAATCCTTGAAAATGCAATCAATACGCAGAACAATGCTGAATGCCGAAGGTATGACAGCATATACATCAACTCTTGAACAAGCATTATGCACGTCGAGGGAGGAAAGAAAGAGAGATACTAGACAATATAGTAGGAGTGTAAGAAAAAGAAGAGAAAAAGGTAACAGATCTCTAAGGCCACGCGTGTATGCCAAAAACCAAACAAACAGGGTAGAAGAAAAACATAAAGAAACGCCTCTCTAATGCTGGTAAACTTTCGTGTTTCAGCCTCCACCGATATCTCCACACATGGAATCACGAGTCAAAAGAAAAGAACATGGAAAATCGAGTAGATATAAATATGGGGAAGACCATCAACGCGGGTCATCTCTATCACATGATCCATCGAGATCGTAACATCTTTCATGGGTCGTGATAACTTTGATTACAAAAGAAAATCATGCCAACGTAGAACGGCTCGAAGTTGTGTATCGGGTTCTGGTGAATAGAGGATAAAGGCAGTAACCAGATAAGTGTTTGTGTCGGCGTAATGGACGAGCGAAGAAACTGCCGCGGCGACGTTCTGAGTTTTGATGTTGTCGGAGTGTCGTGAACCGGAGTCATACGTACGATCGAACTCTTCGGCTGTGGAACGCCAGGTTCGGCCCTTCCCCTGCGTTCTGTACCACCACAGGGAAAAGTATTTTCGGCTCAAAATCATGATTGTAAATCAACCGCAGGTACACGGTTTAAGTCTGATGTCATGACCGAGCCGAGCGACTCATCGAGCGTTCCGGAACTTGAGCTGGGGTAGGCGAATAAGACCTCGTAACCCCGATCAAGTCTACGTCGTGCTCCTGGAGAACATGAGCGTACTTAGGGTCGCGCAAAAACTTCGGGACAGAATCCTATGATAGGTTAGAGATCAAAACGCAGAACTTTCCAGGTGTCGGGAGGTAACTCACACTTGACATCAGTTTGAAAACAGAAGTCTGCGCCATCTCGAATAAGTGCACGACTTCCTGAAGACTCTTGAACATTGATTCGTCATCGCCTACAGCCTTGGTCATGCGACTGGCCAAACTGTTGCGCAATGCGTGGTCAATGTTAAGCTCACAAGGAGATCCGGGGGCCAAGAAGGCATTATAAAGACCTTGGGAAACGTCAGTAATGGTTGCACTGAAAATGAGATGAAAAACGAAAGCTTACCATATGCTGCAGCCAGAGTCTCACGAACAGAATCAGGCTTCTTGAACGTGCCCACCTTCTCCGCCTTGTGATAAGTTGCAGTAAACTCTGACACATCCAGGTAGAAGGACAAGTTCTCTTCACACAGAGAATAGCGGAGGAATTCACGGAAGAGAAGTCGCAGAGCAGGATCATGGAGAATGTGATTCAATCGGGCATTGTTCGAATCCTTTGGAATACCGCGGCTATCGTAGGCCGTAGTGTCACGAGACTTGTCCCGTGCTATCCATCCACAAACCCGTTGGCCTCGTTCCGTGATTCCATAGATTGCGTTCTTGGATGGCTGGAATCCAACTATCGAGTTGTCCGGCAGAGGTATCATCTTATCTTCCTGTAACATTGTGATCAATCCATATTTGACAAACAGTTCGGCAATGAGAACAGTTTCCCGGCGTTCAATAGTAGTCGAACAATCCATCAACCAATCCACCGCGACCTTTCCAGTAAATGTGTTGGCAACAATCTTTTCGTTGATTTTACGCTCCTTGGCCATCTTAACCCCAACTAGACCATTCGAATAATCGCTCAGCGAATCCGAGTCCGAGGTGGAAATACTGCTTTTGACATTCGGCCCATCCTGGCCAGCAAACCGGCGAAATATAACTTCGATAGTGGCTCGGTCATGCGATAACTTATCGGTTTCAGAATCGCGCTCCAGATTGACAAGCTGCATTGTATTGCGAGGAGATTCCAACACATCGATCACATGGCGTGCAGTAATCCCATTTCTCTGACAAAACCTTTGCAAAATATTGATTCCTTTGGGAGTAAGTTGATATAAAGCACCCTTCAGCGGGAAAAATTGGGAAGCTTTGCCGTCAACAGATTCGATGAACCGAGCGTCAACAAACCGTTGACATACTGAGCGAGCCATTTCCTTAGCCATGGAGAAAGTAGTTGTCGTTGTGGTCGTAACGATCCGAGACGGATCCTTAGGGTCTGGCATGCGGTTCGACTGGGAAAACTTAAGGGACCCAAGATTGTTGATTGCTTCTTCAGATGTGAACGAGTGGTCATATCTCGTAAATCGTACGCGATGCGAATCTAGCTTTAGGCTGACCATCAGGGTGGAGAACAAATCCATAAAATCCTGCAAAGTCAGTACCGTTGATAATACTCCATATTCAGGCGCTTTGGCCTATTCGGCAAAAAAAAAACAACGCCGTATTTTGAGGGACCCTACCTTTGTAAAAGGACGATCATCTTCGGTCATACGCAATAGCCTCGACGATGTTTGATGCATTTTTGACGGGATTATAGCTTGCGTCTGTTGTCCTACCAAAGATGGAACGTGTTGAAGGGTCTGGCGGCGCCTTTCGACTTGTTCGGCCACAGCCGGGGAAAACGGGTTGGCGGAGGACTCAATAGGCGCGTTGCTCAATTGCTCGCTGCTAGTACTGCTGTCGGATAATGGCGGAGTCAACGGCGAAACTCCTGAAGCTTCACTGACGCTGACTTGGGAAGGCTTGCGCGAATGCTTCGACAAGCTTCCGGACGAGGCTGAAGAGCGTAGGGTAGCGTTTGCAGTACCTCCAATGGCCGAAAGGTTGGCAAGAGCGTTCGAAGTCTTCTCACGAGCTAGAGCAGCGAAAGAACGGCGATTGCGTCGCGAGATCGAACCAATTACGGAGCCAGTGAAACTGGTAGTGCTCGTGAAGGTAGCAGTTCTGGTCGTGGGGGGTGCGACAGCCGCGGGGGTAGCGGAGTTGAGAGGACAAGAGGGAGTAGAAGAAGAGAAGTCGTCCGGGGAGGTAGAGACCGGCACAGGTACAGTAGAGAGAGAAGATTGGGTAGGAAGACGGTGGTGAGAATGACGAAGATGTGAAGAGGGAGGAGATCCTTGGTCGAGGGGAATGGAAGATATGGTTGGCATTGAATAGTGCGAACCAGATAAGTGGGAGCAAGAGGGGGGAGGGTTTGTATGTAAGTATGTATGTATGTAAAGAAAAAAA